GCATGCGATTAATTTATATTATATATTAGATGATAATGAATGAATGAACAAAATAAGTTTTTTTAGGAAAAATATTAATTTTATATAAAATAAAAACGTATGTAATAAAATTATATATTATGTATAATAATAATTGAAAAACGTGAAAATAACGTCAATCTTCAAAATCTACCGAAAACATCGATCACAAACCAGCGATTAAAGTAAGGGAAACTTCCGAAACTCGCGACGATATTTAATGAAGCCGACGCCTTAAAGTGACACACTACGTAAGCATAAAAAGTGCGTAATTGGATATTTTCGATTAGGGAGCAGAAAAATAATGTTACCCACCTCTTGAGATAATTATTATAACGTCCACCGTGCATATATCACAAAAACTAAAGTGTCACTTTTATCTTGAGGCATAAATCCAGATTACCACTTACAGCTAAGTGCATCGACACGGTCATACTTACTAGCGCACCACCTCAGACACCTGGTGGTCATCTAGGCAGCGAAAGCTTTCCCTTCACTCTTCTATCCTGGCCAACCAAGAAAAATAAAAAACACGATGCAATTCCAAATTCAGCAATTTGCAATATAATGTCATTTGGCAAACCTCTGAAATCAGCATCAGCTATCAATAACCACCACCATCATCCAGTAAAATAGTGTTTGCCGGAATATTTATCTACCTTTGGCGACACACGCCCCCTTCGGAATAATTACCGGCGTCACAGGCCTCATCTGTTCAACCTGTTTAGTTTCATGTAAACCTAATTAGCAAACAACACACCTGCAGTAAGATTCTTCTCACTAGGTAAACCAAACTAGGCAACCCTATGCCTCTACATTTCCACCAATCACTTTCAGCAACACATGTCTCTCCACTAATGCAGGCGATCGAGGCGACATAGGGTTAAACTTATCAGGACATATTAAAGTGCTTAAAACAAACGAATAATCTAATCACTTCATTGATTATTATGATCCGCGATCAGTTAGATTAACCACAAAATAGCTAATTTTTCCAAGAAACTTCCACAAGCTACTGGAATTCTATTTACAAAACTTCCTCCTGTTCTTGTTGACTCGAACTTGCTAACGTTTCACGAATCATCCTGTTGGCTTCTTTAGAACTTAACCGAATCCGGAAGCTCCTCAAAATATTATAAATGACAGAATTATAACTGTTTAGGCTAGGATGAATAAACATTCCAAACACCCAAATTGAAATATGAGAGAGTATCAACCACAGGTAAGGACGCCGACATACTGGTGACAATATCATTTGCTAGCATCACTTCATAAATTAGTATATTGTTACAGGTTGCTTGCTACTTTATTTGTTTAAATCATTTAGAAAATAATCATAGCTATAATCATACGAGGAGTTGCGTTGGCGACAGTAAGCGACAGCGCCAGGAATCAAACTAAAAACATAATCTTATGTTGCTGCTTTGTTCTTGATACTTCACGTATCAAAAAATATATGTGGAGACTTTCCTTCTAACCAAACCAAATTTGCGTTACTACCAGCACAAAATGAAAATGTTCATTCCGGCAATCAGATTTTCAACCTCTTCTCTTATTTAAAAATGAAGACATTATGGCATGAAAGCGCTGCCAAAGTCTTAACATCTTCGCTCGTCGATTTGAAACGAACTGTTTAATATGTAAAATCGGTTTTTCAAACATCATTAATCATGTTACAAAATTAAGTGTGTAACACCTTCGAGGGGTGTCGTCTCATGGTCGCTGATGGAAACGCCAATGCACCCTTGTCAGTGTATTTCTGTGCTATTGATATATTGATATATTGCTTTGTTTAGAGCTTGGATCATTTTAAGTAGTACTTGCTTAGTATAAGAGGCGTTTAGTATAATCAGCTTTAATTAGCAAGCAAATCAACGCAAATCATTTAAATAAATGAGACAGTTTTATTTCATTATCTAAACTAAATAATGAATGAAACAAAAACGGGGTTACTTAGTAAAAAATGAATTGATCTATCTAGTCCTAATCTTTTTATAAATTTCTGAAATTTTGTTGTATATTATATGCAAAATATATTACGTCTACAGCATCTATAGCAGGAAGCTAAGTGGCCACCTCGGTCGAAAACCATTTTTGACCAAAAAAACCTTCACTCTATTTTTTGATTCTTTATATACTTTTTCCACTTTTCTTACCAAGTTTTCACTTATGCCATTTTCTTTCATAATATATAGTATACTATGCAACAAGTGCGGTAGTAGTATATTATGCAACAAGAGTGGTAAACGGCTTTTGATCTCTGAGTTTATTTGACATGAGCGGAGCGCAGCGGAGCGAGTGTTTAATAAACGAGTTTACCAAATGTGGTGCATACTATACTTTTTCTACGACCGTTAGTTTTTGAGTACATTTTCGCAAAACAACACCAATACATTCACTGATATGACCGTCAGAACTGACAAACATCAAAATTCAAGGCATGGGAAATATCTCCGAAAACATCCGATTACTCCCAAAGACGGTAATATTCCGGAAATGTCCGAAGCGGCTTGGACCGTGGGAAACGAAACCGACGTGGTAAAATGACACTTTCCGCACTCTAGATTGGTGTATAATTATGTATTTTACAAAAGGGAATATAAAAAATATTTTTCTACTCCCGTCTGTAAAATTACGCACCGATCTAGCGTGCGGGAGGCGTCATTTTAAAACATCAGTTTCGTTTCCCACGGATCCGAGTCACTTCGGACATTTCCGGGAATTTAAAGCACGTGTTTGGGAGCAATCGGATGTTTTCGAAGATATTTCCTTCAATTTTGACTTTTGTCAGTTCTGACGGTCATGTCAGTGAATGTATTGTTGTTTTGCGAAAATGTACTCAAAAATTAACGGTCGTAGAAAAAGTATAGTATGCAACACGTTCGGTAAACTTTTTTTCTACACCCGTCTGTAAAATACCCAATTACACACCGATCTGTACTTAAATATTCGTTCAGCAAAATTTAACAGTTTCTTTGTCATGATTAATTGGGAGCCGCCTATGATGTCCGACCCGCTTTAAAAATAATTAAGCAATACTTTACCCGCCTCTTAATTGGAAACTTGTACGAGGATCTTCCCAAATAATTTAAATGACAAAATATTAAAAGACCAATAAAAAAATCTATGGCCGCGCGGTCCTTAAAAACGAAGGAGTAAGAAAAGATCGACGGTATGTTTTTAATTAAATCTACTCTCGTGTGAGAAAATGTTGGTAAGGTGGATTCCCTTAATTATCTGCGTTTTATATTTTTTGGAGTCCAATTAATGCCGCGCATGGAGTTTTAATATAATGAGCAACAAACAGTGATCTCCGCCATATGTTTATACCATTTAACACTTACATAATAATGCATTCGCAAATGGAGTGCACAACTGGAAATATTTATTCGGTTGTAAATTTCTATATATCTACATATATTCTTATAAGAGGGCACGTAAGATAATTAATAACGATAATAACAGTCTTTCTAAAATCGTTTTCTGCATTTGCAAAAAAAATTTTCAAGAATGCTTCCTTCGCTCGAGTGTTAGAAGAAGAATTATTCAAGCCAAGGGCTTTACAAGCCATAGAATGGGAACTATTCAACACATAGTAAAATAGTTATTATTAGATATAGGTTTTAGATTTTAGTTAACCTCATAATCAAATTAAAAATGAAATTCGACCATTTCTAAGCATTTTTTTGTTTTTCGGAAAATAGAGAATAAGTCAACAGCTTGAATAAGAAGCAAAGACAAATCGACCCTATCAGCATTCCAAACTTTGTTGGTTTAGAAATTATAAAAAATGAACGTAGAATAATTTATAATATATTTTATACATGTACATCACAAAAATAGACCAAACTAAGACCACAAATCAGGTAAACCACGCCCTTAAAAAAAATTAATTTTAAAATTTTTAATTTTAAGAATGGCGTACAGACCGAGACCGAGACTCCATATTGGCATGTTTTATTTTATTTTGTGCCAAACGCTTAACTCGTAATTAAAATACACGATGCTTGACTTTGTACACTTACATTTAGAGAATATGGCGAAAGTTCCGGACAAAGTGTCAGATAATACGTACCATCCGTTGAATTTCTATTGCACTTTTATATGCCTATTATATATGTAATCATATGTAAAAAAAATTACAATAAAACTCTACAGCCTCTTTTGCAATATGAAATATTAGTACTCCAAAATTTTTTATTACATCACACATTAATTAATTGTAATGTAAGTAATTATATTTAATAATTGCAACAGCCAAACCTTTATGGGAAATAAGTCAATTTTATTTAAACGGATTTATTTTGCATGTGTTTTCCGACTTCACTGTTTTTAATATTCAAAAGTGATATTCTGTTTCCCATTCCGTTTGGTGACGTTTTTTCTTTGCCGCCAAAACACCACTGTAGCTTTCAGTAATAGTGCAGTATGCTTGCAAAATAGAACGAACATCTTGTAAAAATTTGTTCTCTGCCAGTACTCCCTCTTTAAATGAGATTAAACTAATTAATTACATGTTCTTATAAACCTCAAGATTTTGATAAACTTGAAGCAGTAACATATCTTGACATGGAAGATAGATGTTGACTATGTGGCGAAAAAGTTATTTTGGTCATAAGTTATCTTGAAGGTCTTGTCTTTGTGTTCATAGATCGCCGCATCTGGTCTTATCACTCTGGGGAAATTGTCTCATATCAATAATTGCAAAATCTTAATGAATCTTGAACTCTATCATCTTTATACATTATGGAAAGCTTACTTTTGGTTAAAAAAACATGCAGAGTTTTGTTTGCTTTCTTTATTATTTATTGTTTGTCCAACGAATCTTAAGCATTGTTGGTTCGTATGAAAGTTTTGAAATAATATCAACTTCACTCTACTCTGAAACCGGTTACACTTAATTTTGAGAAATTTAATTATTGTAGGTATGTCGAAAATTTCAGAGAAGACGGCCCCTACCTTCCAGTGTTCTCGAAAAAAATTGTACCTGAAATTTTGTTGTAAAAAACCACGCAAGTTAAACAAACAAAAGATCAACAACCGTTCTCGATCGCCTATTATAAAACAATTTACGCCCGACATTGCACAAGGCGAAAGAGAAAGTATTGTTTTGCGGCGGCTTTTAGCGGAACGTTATAGTCAATGAGCACAATTACGAGCTAAACTTTTCGGTTTCGAAGTCGTTTTTTCGTCTGCTGCGCACACAATATGCGGTTCTGCGCAATAACTCTCGGGATTTTGACGATTTCGGTTTGGGTGCGCGCATACGACCCGGAAGATGCCGAAATAGCCACGATTTTGCCCCCAAAAGGCACGTTCGAAGCGTTCTACCCTCGAGGCGAAGAGATCGGGTCGTCCCGAGCAGCCCATTCCCACGGAACTTTCTACAAGCATCGGAACCCGGCTTTGGTCGATGCCAGGAACGCTGCTGCTTATGGATTTCGCTTCGACGGTGGCAGGCGATTCAACTACGATTGAATTTAACCGAATACTCACGCTTTACTATTGTAATTTTATGTCACGATTAAAGGAGCAATTGATTTAAAATTTGTTTTCGATTTTTCATGGAAAACCACCCCGTTCCCCTGTATTATATTTTCGTTGTCACACAGATAATTACATTTATATAAAAGATGATGAATGAAAGATTCGAACGGCGTAATAACAACTAGGAGATTTCCGTTTTTTTTTATTAAACCTCCTGGCTCCTGCCCATTTATCAATGAAATTAACGAATAATATTTTAAGAATGTAAGTATATGAGATAGCAGGTTTTGCTTATTTGTAGCATGAAGTACATTTTTTGTTTAGTTTATGGTTTCAAGAAGAAAACTTTGAAAAATAAATAAGAACTAAAAGTTCAGATTTTCACGAAATTATATATTTTCACATGACAATTGTTTCGACCACATTTGATAAAGACACGGTGTTGTCGAAACAATTGTCATGTGAATATATATAATTTCGGGAAAATCTGAACTTTCAGTTCTTATTTATTTTGTTAAATGGATTTCCATCAAGTAAAAGCCACCTCAGTTCAATTAATAAAACTTTGTTTCGTTTTTTAATACTTATTCATTTTGTTCTGGAAAAATACTGTCAAAATTTATTGAATAGCTGCTATTTATAAAATTTGCATGCTTTTTGTAACAAATGGGCATAATTAGGGTTCCCGCTATTCAAATTTTAAAATCTGGCAAACCTACAAAAACAAATCGCACATTTGTCTAAAGAGCAAACAGATTTAACGAGGCAAATCCAATTAGGAGGAAATATATAGGGGATTAAATAAAAGAAAACATAACCTTACTTTCCTACTGAGGTATAAATCGAGTCTGCACTGTTGGAACAATCTCTATGATATAAAATAAAGAAGAAGATACAAATAAAATAAAAGATAAGTAATACTTGCTCGAGAAAAAAATGAAAACAGTGACATATGAGTGAAGAGAGATTATACAACTAAAACAGTGACTTTCTCGTTCACTGATTAGTGAAAATTATTGCAATTTTTTTAAAGGAGTGGATATCGATGACACACCATCACCATTTTATTTTCCTACTCAAATTCCCTATTTTAGTATTCCGCGCCATTTAGAAATGGACTTTAAAAAATGTTTTGAATCTTAGTGGACAATTAAATTGCAATATATAGTTCTATGAAAAACTACAAGCTGCAGCTAGATAAGAAAGTCATTTATTAAGTAAATACATCCCCGCTAAAGATGTCAGCACGATCGTTGATGACGTCTTTTCGACTAACACCTGCATAGTAAGAGAGAATCATCTCTATCTTTGTTGTTAACTAGCAATAACTACTTACTAACTCGAGCAAACCGTAGTGTTATATAATTATTGAACGTGTTAAATATCTGATTTAAAACAAAACGCTTTGAAGTTTAACTTATTTCAAAATTCTGAAGTTTTCACAGTAAGGAATAGGCCTATAATGAAGTGCCCACTCTGTACCGGTTACCGGATACTAGCACTTTCTTATAAAGGATGTCAAATACGGTTTTTTTATATATTACATTATTAGGACGCTACCAGCTGTTGAGCCTCTTCCATCTTTGTTTAAATCTTCTTAAAAGTCAAATAAATCAGGCAAAGCCCAATTGGAGTTTCATTCAGCTGTAAACCACACTCGCGTTTGAATAAATTTTCATAAAATCAGCTGTGAGAAAAAATAACGTGACTCAGGCCACGTACCCTGAAAAAAATAACTGTAATCTTAGTATTATTTAGAAGGTAGGGTCTATCAATTATGGTAATTTTCGGTTTTAGTCATCGCAAGCGGGCAACGATGTTAAGAAATGTTTGTTGGATTAATGACGATCGTAAAATATAGATACGACCGTTTATTCTGACGATATTATAAGAAGAGGAATATTCCGTTAATTATTCCCGGAAATTTTTAAATGATATTAAGTAAAAATCACTTTTAACGAGCCGCGAACAAAAAGTACTTTACAGAAGCCGCCGTTTCTTGTTGTGCTGGGTTTTATTAAAATAATATTGAGATAAAATCTTCAGTATGAATTGTTAAAATGTTATATTCTTTTAAATTATTATAATATTTTACGTTGCGTTTCCTCTTTAACACTTTGCATATATAAACAAAGCTGAAGGAGGTAACAAAACCTTTTTTGTAGTCCCGTCGGTAAAATACTTTTTCTGCTCCCCTCTGTAAAATACCTAATTACCCACCGATCTAGTGTGCGCAAAGGGTCACTTCACCACGTCAGTTTCGTTTCCCATGAATCCGAGCCACTTCAGACACATCCGGGATTATACCCGACGGATTTGGGAGCATTTTGACGTATGACGGTCATGTCAGTCAATGTATTCGTGTTGTTTTGCGAAACTGTACCCAAAAACTAACGGTCGTAGAAAAAGTATAGTATGGAACACGTTCGGTAAACTTTTTAAGTGACTGGTTCATTAAGTACTCGCTCCGCTAGTGTCAAATAAACTCGTGAGTCAAATGCCGTTTTTCTACTCCCGTCTGTAAAATACCTAATTGCGCACCGATCTGGCCTGCGGGAAGCGTCGCTTTACAACGTCAGTTTCGTTTCCCACGAATCCGAGCCACTTCGGATATTTCCGGGATTTTACCGCACGGATTTGGGAGCAATCGGATGTTTTCGGAGATATTTCCCACGCCTTGAATTTTGACGTTTGTCAATTCTGACGGTCATGTCAGTTAATGTATTCGTGTTGTTTTGCGAAAATGTACCCAAAAACTAACGGTCGTAGAACACGTATAGTATGCAGCACGGATTTGGGAGCAATCGGATGTTTTCGGAGATATTTCACACGCCTTGAATTTTGACGTTTTTCAATTCTGACGGTCATATCAGTAAATTTCACACACTCACCTGCATACTCCACTTTCTTTCTAAACAGCGATATCCATAAACTTAACTCATTTCTTTTGAACTACCGTAAAAATTCTACATTTAAAGTTAAAAAAATGTCAGCTTGATGAACTGTTAGCGGCCATATTGGTTGTTATAGGTCGCATGATATTATTGGTTGGTTAGAAATGACAGATATATTGGTAAAAGTCATAGATTAAATATTTGGTATTTGGTCTATAGTTAAAACTGAGATTTCATATTTAACCTATTTTGATGATGGAACATATAGAAATAGATATTAGTATATTATGCAACAAGGGCGGTAAACGAGTTTATTTGACACGAGCGGAGCGTAGCGGACCGAGTGTTTAATAAACGATCGACTTAAACAATTTACCGAACGTGTTCTATACTATGCTTTTTCTACGACCGTTAGTTTTTGGGTACATTTTCGCAAAACAACACGAATACATTCACTGACATGACCGTCAGAATTGACAAACGTCAAAATTCAAGGCGTGTGAAATATCTCCGGAAGCATCTATTCATGGGAAACGAAACTGAAGTGGTAAAGTGGCGCTTACCGCATGCTAGATCGGTGAGTAATTAGGCATTTTACAGGCGGGAGTAGAAAAATTATTACGCAAAATTAAGACGCAACAATTTTTGTTATAGTATCGAAAAAGCTCTCTAGCGGTATCACAAATAAGACGTTTGTATAAAAAGAACCAACCAAATCAAAAATATAATTGAAAGTTAAAAACGAAATCCTAGGAAAAGAAAACATCCGAATCTCTGTTTCTCGAAAACAGCAAGAACGAAATATAGGTTCGTTAGCTACGCCACTGGTTTAGATTACCGAAGGATCAAAGCGGTATTATTGTTAGCTTTTTTTTTAATTTGTCTCACTTGCACATACCGGCTCCGGTTTGAATCGGATGTCGGAAAATAAATGGATCCCGGGCTATCTTTTAACCAAGACTAATGTTCATGTAAACGGAGAAGAATGCCAGAACGAGATTTTTTTCCTATTCCGCGTTTCATAATATTTGTTTATTTATGTGTTAATGAGGAGACAGGGAGAAATTCTTGGGCACACGGACCTCTTCATAAAATCGGAATTATTTCACAGAAACGCCATAAAAGTAAATGCCGATCGTAAATGTCTTAATCGATATATAAATTTAAGATGAGAACCAGTCGCAAGTTCAAAACTTTTAATTTTGACACGCCTCGGTCGAAATTTTTGTTACCAAAATTCAAAGGACGTGTTCTTGAAAATAATGATTACTTAAGGTGGTCGCCGAACTGTTTAGTACAGGTACTTAACGTCCTCTTGCCCAAACTTGTGTAAATTTAATTGCACTCAAATATGGCACGCTAATTATATCGTTTACAAAAAGAGTATTATACACACACAGTATGCATCAAAGAACTACAGGGTGGCTCCTTTATCATGGAATGACACCTGGCAATGAAATTGTTAATGTTAGTATTTGAACACCGCGTTTATTTGTTTATTTTTAAAATATCAACGCGAACCAACTTACAATATACAGGGCGTTTCTATTAAAAAATAAATCAACCACAAATATATATTATATCAAAAGTGAATAAGAACCTACTGTCTGCAAAACTGAGAATTCTTCGAGAAGATCTCTATTAACCAAGCATCACCGAATCATATGCCTAGAGGCAGACTCAGCAACCTTGGGATTCTGCAACCAGTTACAAGCCCCAACCAGAACAACCATGCCAAAACTAGGACACATATGTATGCGATTTATTTATATTGAAAGGAAAAATTTGATGTTGAGAACTGCGTGAAATAAAAAACAAACAATTTTAAAAAATTGATATGTTTTCAAATTACTTCATTTCTCCACATTATAACGCTGACTATATACTATTAATTATAGAAAATAGTATCTGAATTGCACTTAAATTTTGTCTACCAATAAGTTAAGCGTTTAAGGACGGATGCTAAAACAAATGCCACGATAAATTTATTTACAATATATTAAAGAATTACAAATCTTGCCTAATTTTACATTATTACATTACTTCTGAGCTATCTTCCAAATCAACAACTTTTCGCCGTTTAAAATTTTTCTTGCCTTTAACTTGTTCCATTTTTCTTTTCTTCAACGTTTTCTTCATTTCATGTCTCTTAATCTTCTTTTTCGCATACACCTCGGGGTCTGTGACAGCTAACTGATTCCTCGACCGCTTTCTCTCGGCCCTTCTCGCTGATAAATTACGCTCTAACTTTTGCAACGCGGTTGTATATTCTTCCAAACCGATTCTCTTCTTCAGATGGTTAGCTACTTCTTTCGCCAACTGTCGCAGAGGTGCATTCTTTTCGTCAGTAGTAATCAATTCCCTTACTAATGGCGCAAGCAAATGGTTCATGATGGGCTTTATATTCACCAACTCTAACGCTGTTCCAATACCAGCAATCCACTTAAACACTTCCGTCCTCAGGACGATACTGGAAGAATTTTCTATTACTTCTCTGTTAACTACCTTTCTTATTAGTTTGGATAACCAGAGTAAGTTGATTTTTTTATCACTATTAATTGGCACTTTTGCTAAAACTTTGGCAATTGTAAGCAGATTCTTAATAACTTGTTCTGCTAAATCACTCCTCACGTCTTTGGCTCGTAGCTGATCACACAAATCTAATGTTAGACTCTTAATACAATTTTCTGGATCACCAAACAAGTAACCGCATTCTTCAGACGAGTTATTTAGTAGCAGCGAACCTAACTGATCCACGTCCAACACTGACAGAACATAGCCTAGAAACTGTGCAGAAGCCAGACGCACCCAATCGTGCGGATAAGCTAGCAACGTTTGAGCGTGATAAGCTAACTTTTCAACAGTCTCTTTGCCTTTAAGAAAAGTTGGGCAAATTGCACAAATTTTCAAGATCAATTGCAAAACCTGGAAATGATGGTGATCTTTCACCCGTTGCTCCTCTTCAGAAATGTCTTTGTCTTGTTTTAATTTAACAAATTTGCCAGGTGTATCAGTCAAACCGAACTGCTTCATTAAAAGTGGAGTCAAAGAGGGCAATCTGGCGGAAAACGAATCTTTTTCTACCGTTACAAATATTCCACAAAGCTGTGCTGCCAAGCGCCTATGGCTTATCTAAACAAAAAAGCCTGTTAATGAGCGAAACAACAATAGGTTCCTAATGTAGCTTACATTGTTGTCTTTCAGCCAGACCGTAGTGATTTCGAAAAGAGAATCTCTATCGACTTTTGGTAATCTGGTTAGCATTGAAGAAATACAATCCGCCACCTTTTTTCTACATTCGGGTACGTCGTCATTTATTAGTCTCGCTCCCAGAGATACAAATAGCGAGCCGCTCTGCTTCTTAAGGGTGACCTGAATTTTTGTATAGAAATTACTAGATCATAAATAACGAGTCGTTCATTTTCACTTGCAAAAAATGAACAAGTTTTTTTTTGGAAGTACCAAAAGAGGAAAACGAAAAAAGAAAACAACACCAAACCTCTTGTATGATCTTATCATTTATCCAAAGCGTATCACATAAAAAAAAAACGCTGTTGTCAACAAAACCAAAGTTTTTTTGTTGTTATTATTTTAGGACGCGTTCTTAAAAGTATCCAGAAATATACATTGCGCAACAATGTAGGGCAATGTTATATAGTAAAAAATAAATTAATTAGTTTCCAAATATTATCATTTTTTCTAAAACGAAACCACTGAACGACTTAAAAAATACAAAGGTCTATGGTTTTACTTGAGCACGTAGCCTATCAGCACTTAATTGCTTAGAGTTATGTTAATTTTTTTAAAATAGTGAACCCCTACGTCTCAGAAACGAAGCTTTCTGCTATATGTTTATATGAACCATGACTTTAAAAAGGTACTCTGTCAACTGTTTAGAGTTGCTACTGGTGGCATCACCCTAAAAGAAATTCTACAACACACACAAAAGACTTACCAATGGAAAAGAATTTATCAGCATCTGAATCATCCCAATGGCCGATTCCCTGCCATACTGCATCTCGTAACTCATTTGCGACATATAAAAACCTAAATGTCCGCCCAGTGAATTTCCTAATGGGTATTCCATCAAAAATTGAAAAGCTACCGCCCTGGCTTGGACCCTAACATGGTTCATATCAGAAGTTATACTTAACTCCGCGACTTTACCCATGACAGCCTGTATCTCTGCAATTGCTAATTTTCTGGCTATTATCGCCTTCAGCAAATTAAAAGCTGTGGCTTGTTTATCGTGATCGTGCATATCTTGCTCGATATATATGATAAGAGTCTTCAGTTGTGTTAGGTCGACAGTGTAATACTGAATATCTCGAACAATCACCGCCATTGCCTAGATTTTATCACAATGTGGGTGAAAAGTATCTTACTACACAATAAACTCTACCTTAAATGCTGCTGCGACCAAATCGAAATTATCGCCTTTACTCAAACCTGCTGACGCGTACTTGTGAAGAATTCCAAATATGTTTTTAGTTATTGCTTTTATGTGCGTTTTCAAGGACGGTATATCGTATTTCAGCATCCACGTTAAACATTGCAGTGTCAAAGTACACAACTACAAAAAAGTTTCAAAAAATGATATGTTTTCACTAGATCTTTTAATTTAATTTGACTATTAAGGCATGGCTGTATGTGCAGGGATGAAAACTAATGCATCTTGGAAACGTTTCGCTGTAGAGACTTGCGTTAAAAAAAAATTATCACTAAAGTAGTCAAAAGAAGACCGCGGAGGCGTTAACTGTTTCCTTAAATTTTAAGTAAAATTCATCTAGCAAATGCACCAAAAAAATATATACTTTTTAAAGCTAAACTTAATTTAAGTAGTTTTTGTTTAACACTTTTTGACATATGTATTAATATAAAATGGTGTCATAGATCCTTTTTTTAATTAACAGCTGTAATAGCTCAACCACTCAACGGAAAACCATTTATTGCCTCATCATTTATAAAAAGTATTTTAACAACTTTAAGACCATACTTGTGTTCAAAATAAACACAAATTACACTGCCTGTATAACTATAATTTGAATATTTATTCAAAAGTTGATTTTAAGCAACTGTTTTTATTCCATGGCCAAAGCTTCATATTCTGCCTACTCTTGCACTTTCGTGTTAATTAATAGTTTTTTTTATTCATTTTTTAAATAAGAGCGTTCATAAAAGGAATGTTCTTTTCTTCTTTGTCTTCCACCACATTCTCGCTGACCTAGACAATTTTTGAAAATATATCAAACACACCTTAACATGCTTGGAAGCCAAACAATCCCTAAAAATCAACACAAATGGATCCAAGAATGGTAAATATTCACCATCTTTCAACTTCTCCCTCTTTAGTAAGACGTAACATAACCGCAAACCAAATTCGACCATAACATGTACGTTAGTATCTGAAGACATTTTCACATTTGCTTCCCTGAAAGCCGTCCTATTTCCCGGTATTTTTGGAATGATAAAACAATCCTCCCTTCCGCTCTCGACCTTCAGCTTTTGAGTCAACTGATTTTTAGAGACGGGTAGCAATTGCGGGATTTTTTGAGCAGAAACCCCGTAGGCGAACTTCAACAACGACTCTACTGATATAAATTGATTATCAACCAGGCCCAAGGCCATGTTTCTTAGTGCGTCTTGGGCTTTTTGTACTGTTTTAAACGAGTGATTTATTTCCAATAGATCTTTTATGGGTTTTATCACGTCCAACAGACATTTCTCCGTAATATATTTCCCCAAAATTTGTAATGTATCAAAACTTTTAGTTGATTTAGCTTCTGAAGTTTTTCTCATTATTTTTACTATTTCCTTCTCTTCAGAAAGGACTCCGAAGAGATCAGCCATGCATAGCTAAAAATAATGACCGATACAAAGTTTTCTAATTTAAATTTTTTTTTGGAAGATAAGATTAATAAATTCAAACTCACATTTAATACTGTTAACACAATTTCGTCAATATCGCCAGCTTCATAAAATCCCTTTAAGCAATTCAAAATTCCGTGTAGCGTAAAAACCAATACGTGAACCTGAAATCCTCTATTCAGTAGTGGCGCCATCTCACTTAATAACATTTTCAAATACTTCGGTCCTAACGTGAGCATGACTTTTTGTAACGTCTCCCTTGCAACACGTCGTACAGATTCCAACTGGGATTTTAAGAAGGTGCAAATCTTCATAAAGACGCTAAAAATTTTTTTTTTCAAATTAACATTGCAGCTTAAATTATCCTACCCTACCCTGGCAGATTCAGTTCAAGTATTTCTTTCGGCAAGCGTTGAAGCAACTTAACTACTGCCAGTGAAATAGGCACTTTTATCAAATCTTCTTCCTCTCTTTCAATACTAGTCCTTTTTCTGTTAACCTTATGAGATGAGTCGTAATAAGTTAACTCAGCCAGTGACTTATGCAACTGCGGTAACAACACAGACTAAAACAATCACATTGCCTGATAGTTTTACAGAATAACGAAATAATTACGCACCTTAATTGTTTTTAAAACCCTCGTTGCATTGGATTTACAAAGAACTGTAATCTTTTCACACACTTTCAGAACTTGCGCCTTGTCTTCCATTTCTACTTCTATCCCTTCCCCTTCTTCATCGTCTCCTTTGAACGTTTCTTCCAATAATTCACCAATTTCTTGAGAAACCATAATGTTAGTCATATCATCAAGGGGCACTATATCTTGAATACTTTTGCCTTTCAAGTTATTATCGCCAACCTCAATATGACCTTTACTTAAATCAAAGTGAAAACCATCCAAAATCACCACCACCAATTTGACCAACTGCTTCTGATACTCTACTTTATATCTGAGTCTCGACAGGCTATATTTCAGTACTCCTTCATATTGATGCCATGGTAATATTCTGCATATAGTACCAACCATTTCAATGGCAGCATCAATCACACTGTTTTTACCGACAAATTTCTCGGAACACAAATAGTGTGATGCTAGAGGAAGCAGAAATTGAGTGAGCGTGCGTGGATTTACTACAACAATGTCCTCTTTTGTAACTTGACAGAATTTTAGTAACGCTCTAGCATGTCTGTGAAGTTGTAGGTGAGTTAAATTCTCAAAGAAGTCTACTTCTAGATCTTCCTTATTTGTATATTTGTTTAGATCCCTTAAAATGAAGTTACTTTCTGCACATTCTCTGGCTAAGTGACCTAGAAGTGAGATGCTTTCGTTGCGAAGGTCGTTGGTACTTTGCGCCCTTAAGCCATTTCTAATTAGATTAAAAAGACAATCATTTAATATATAATCAATATCCTTTTGACTATTCTGATATTTTTTAATAAGGTATGGAGAAAGGCTTTTCAGAGTGTGGGACGAGTTGTCTCTCAAAGCCAAGTCCTTTTCATTTCTTATCATAAAGAACAAATTATAAATTAATATGGTGCCTACATTTACGTCAATCATGTTATTCTCTACAGCTTCCTGAATCTTTTTAAAAGCATGATGTCGCCTTTCAAAATCAGGTTGATCTACCCATTTAATATCCCACGCATTCAGTTCTGTCACTAAATTAGAAACCAAACTTAACCGCTCACACTGCGATTTTTTAGTAATCAGTTCCAAAATTTTTATTAACATTTTCCTGCAAGACACTTGAACTACCTCCCCAAACATCGGAACCAGCTGCTTTAGATGTGTTTCAGGCGCATCAATATTTTGGATCAAATTAAAAACACTGGTCAAAAACTGCAACAGGACGTCTTCGTCAGCAGAACATCTTTTTCTAACCACGGGTAACAGCAACTGCAAAATCTTGTTGCTTATGTCACTCTCCCAAACAAGTTCAGAACTTCTGGATAAGATAAAAAGCTCTCTGTTGTTCAACGTCCTGTTTCCGCTTTCTAATTTTCGTTTGACCCTTTGAAGTATAAGAGGAATATGTGGCAACAAAATGCAGCTGCCATAGTTAAGCTTTTCGTTAACTTTAACTCTTTCCAAAATAGACGTGTCAATTGTCAATTCATTGTCCACAGTTATTTTACGATTCTGCTCTTCATCATTTGGCACATATCGAAGCATGCATTCAATCATTTCGTAAATGGCGTTAACAACGGAAATATGACTCTTGTTATTAACCAACAAGTTGAAAATATGTGGCAAGATGTATTGACTAGTGTCGCACTGCTTGTATTTCACTAAAAGACTGAAGTATTTTGGATTTGAACCCCATTGTATAAACAATTTCAACATAGAAGTCGGACTATGTATGCCTTCAACATTCAATTTGTCCAAATAAGGCCATACAAATGTGTAAAACACAGCATTTATTTGACAATTTGTCCAGGGATATTTGTCGAAGTGTCGAAAAAAACTTTCCAAAATTTTTGTGCAAGATGTTCGGAGAGTCCTAAATATCGCCAAATATCCCACATGTAGATCTGTGATGTGATCATAAGTCCCTTTAATTGAGGCGCCAATAACAAACACTATTTTTAATAAATACGTCAATAATCTGTCACCCATTAGTCCTCCAAACTGATCCAGTATCACATTCAGCAAATTTACAGTGCTAAGCAGTTTTTTTGGAGGTAAAGACTTTTCCAAATCGATATTTTCAGCCACTGATCTAACTAGCTCTTCGTCATTTTCCTTTAGGTATTTAGCATACAAATTAAAAGACATCTCAAGAAAGTGCAACATTTCGCTCTCTTGACATCCCGCCAAAAACCTCAAAATTAAATTTCTGCGTAGTTGACCGGACGCTTTACCACCAGTTCTAAGTCCAGTTTTACCGCTCATTTTGCTGAATACTATTTGCAAAATGACAGGCACGAGTTTTTCTCTATGCTCACTCAAAACTTTATCGCTGTCTTGATCGATACGGAAATTAGTTATTTCGTGCTTGAAATTTTTATCGTCAACTAAATTGTAAAGATTGTCTTTGTAAGGTACTAAGTATTTAAACCGGTAAGTCATAATGCAGTCTAATGCGACCTTTTGGATGTCCGCATTTTTGTGTTTGAGGAGATCAAAGTATAATTTGTAAAGCTCTGGTTCCCGGTACATTGATTTTGGACTTTTAATTTGTGAAAATACTGCAAGTTTGTGAAGTAACACTCTGTAAATAATAAATTTCTTTGTTAACTTCTTTCATTAACGTAACTTGCCATCATACTAGGAACTCTTTCCATCCATACATGTCTCATTTAATTATTTATTTTATTATGTATGTGAGTTAAAAGTACAGGGTTATTCACATTATACGGGACGGAATATTGTTTCCAAAGACTTTTGAAGGTTGTTCGAGAAATGTTCAAAGTATCCAACTATCAAGGTTTTGTAATTAATTAGAATTTTGTTAAAAACTAACCTAATTTTAATTTTTTGAATACTCAAGAAGCATTTAAGTTATTTAAGCCAAATTTTAAAGAATAAAGTAAAACCATTTGATAGATAATTAAAAGTTACAACCCCTGGTAAGTTAAAAAAATATGGCCTTCTATTTAAATTAATCACGTCATAGCCACTTAAAATTCTTACTAGATTGGATGAAACAAACATTTTTTGTCACTGATAAATGAGAACCTTCAAATAGTGAACATTAACATAAGAACAAGAAGAAACAGGTAAGGTGGCTGAGGTAAGTTTGCACGACAATGTAAACAATTAAAGAGACTGTAGTGAATAAAAAAGAACGTAATAAAAAAAATTCCAAAAAAACTTACTTAATAATAACTTTTCGTCCAGGTTTCTTGAGAATTTTACCATACAACTTTTTGTTGAACCCTTCAGATTTTTCAAGTGGATTGTTTTCACCCGCCTCTTCAATATGCTCATCATTTTCCTTAAAGTACTCTTTGACGCTACAATATGTGGCTAATTCGGAGTTCGATTTTGTATATTCAGATCTGAAATCAATGTTTAAAAAACTGATAAATGGAGTTGGAAACCAGACTGTTTTCAAAGAATCCTAATTTTTGTTGGTTTTTGTATTTTATAGTAAAAAAAAGTGCTTACACGACAAAATCTAATAACAATCCAGACACATCTCTTGTTTTAGCTTCAGCAACATTTGGAAATAACATCAAACTCTTCCAGAGCAACAATCTGTAGTTAATGAAGTCGGGTTTGGTAGATATTTGCTGAGCAGTTTGAAATATCTCCTTCAGTGTTTCAAATTCTGACTCAATATCACTGATTGCAACATTTTCCCCATCTCTCAGAGTAGAAACGACATTTTTTAATTCTTGACCAAAAACATCCCAAAAATGGTTAATATTAAGACCATGCGCGTGCGAGGAAATAATTTTGGATACCGGCTCCCAAAGCAACTGGAAATTCATATATAGCACGCCACATAAAAATCTAAGCGGCAGTAAATTGAAGTCAGTTTGATTACATATTATCATTTGAGGTTTGTTAAAGTTCAGTTTCTCAAGTAACTGAAGTTGCTCTCTATATGTTGAGACTTGAGGATCTATCGACTCAACTGCATGACACAGGGAAAACACTTTAAATTTCTCGGGAATTATGCCTGGATCAGAAGAATGTTTAATCCTGAAGTAAGGCAATTGTTCGAAGAATGTGTAAATATAAGATGTAAAAAGCCGCATCTGAAAATAGATTTATGATTAGCAAAAATGGAAAATTTCAAAAAAAGTAATGAGCACTAACTTGATAAACTAAATGTAATGGGAGCTATTATTACCTCATGATATGGCGAGTTAAAATTGAGAGCACACTGTTTATCAATCTTCTTCAACAAATCAATAGTAGCAATCTCTTCATCATCTCCTAAGACGGATATTAATAAGCTAAGCGTTTTAAGAGCACTGACGAAATTTATGTCAGCTGAAAACTTCAGCAAAACATCGACCAAGTCAATAAAATGTTTCTTTAAAATTGGTTTACCTTTCAAATGCAGGGCACATTCTACTAGCAAATTTAATATGAATAGCTTTACTTTAATATTTACCACATCCTCTACAAATGTGCGTAGTAATGCCTGCATGGTCTGCTCTAAGCAATTTAAGATCTTATTTCTTTGAAGGGATGTTAAAATCAAATGTGGAACGCATACAATGCTACAAAAATATGTTTCTAAGTCCTCCATAGGATTGCTTGTATTCAACCACTTTATAAATAAATCAAAAATCCCTTCACTCGATTCTCTGAAATCTAGAGGATATTTTACCCATTTCTGCAGTAATATTCCGCTAGCACATAAGGGAGCTTTTTTAAGCACCAATTTGGTTAAAGCATACAGGAATTTTTTTTCCAATTCCCGCTCGGCACACTTCCTAAGAAAATTTGGAAGTACTAGTAATTCAAATGAAGTGCACATACTAATATTATCGACAAAATATAAGAATAATTCATCATTTTCTAGCAAAAGAAGCTTCCGTAGCAATTGCGAAACTTGCTCCTGTGGTAATTGAATGCTCTTTGAGAGCAACAGTGTTATGGAAATTTGAATTATTGTCAGCAACACAGGGTCAGTCCATTTTGGACTGCTCAAAAATTGTACTAGCAACCGCAAAACCTTTGTGGGTTCGCGTAACAACTTGCCATCTTTAAATTTAATCGTTTGATCCATTAGTTTGAAAATTAATTCAATTTTATTGTCAATTATGCGATTCTTGTTGGCAAGAAAGTCATCCAAAAGTTTTGATAATATATCTATGAAGCTCTCCCACAACAAATCAGTCTTTTGAGGATGAATGTGTATGGCGATATTGGATACAATTTCTTCAACAATATTAAAAAATGTTTCTTGAGAATACAGGTCATTACATAGCGATTGCAAATAAAATGGTAAGAAACTTTCGGCACAACTATGAAATTGTCCATTTACTCCATGAATAACTTCAAACAGTAGTTTTCCACAACCTGAGATTCCCTGAAAAGAAATTATCTTTGTCCACTTTTCTGTTTTTATGGACGGGAAGAGGAAAAGGGTTGCAAAAAGTGGATACTTACATCTTTTTTGTTTGTAACAGCTTTTAACAAATGTTCCAAAAATCCTTCCTTGTCTTTGACCTTTCTGGCAATAAAAGCAAAACTTTCAGCAGCAAATGAATTAATATATTCAGGTCGACTGTCCGACAAAAGAGGCAAAAGTGAATTAAAAACATTATTAATGTTTTTAATTAATGGTCTCCATAAAAATTTAAATAAATAAGCTAAACAATGAAATGCCCACTCCAGTTGATCAGTGTCCTTTGTACTCAATAAGCTGATGAGCACTTCCAAAAACTCGGGATAGTGTTTATAAAACTCTTTTTGCAAATCCTGAGCTACTGCGACTACGAGCCTACAAGAAAATAGGGTCATAATTTAAAAAAAAAAGGTGCTAATGTAGTAGAAAAGCTTAAAGCTAATTGCTATGGGACAGAAAAAATTTACTGTCGCTTGTGACATGTAGCACTCACCTGCAGCTTACACACAAACATCATGCTTGGGCTGCAAGGAATCAACTTTGTGTATGTTTTTGCAAAACTATGCATACATATGTTCAGTGAGTGAAATGTGACATGGCACTCAGAATTGACAAACGCCAAAAATCAAACCATAGGTAATATCACCGAAAACATCCAATTGCTCCCAAACCTTTGAGTAATATCCCGCATGACAGATGATTTTATAATTGAGTATTTTAGAAAAGGGAGTAGAAAAACACATTTAACTGTTTTATTTAATCGAAGGAGAAGAAAAATACTAAAAACAGATACTTACTCCAGCAACGGTTGAAGGCATAACGGATTTTTCAGTCGCAAATGCTTTAAAAGAATTTCAATAATATGATCTTTTGATAATAATATTTGAGGCAAAGTAATATGATTCTCCACCCGAATTTCTTTTTTAAAATTGTCATAACCCTCGGTTAAATTTAAAACATCCCATTTTTGAATAGCTTGGTAAAAACAACTTTCTGTCTCATCTGATTGGGACTCGTACTCGTGGCGAACTTTATGGAATATATTGACGTCTACAGTAGCGATTCTTTCCGAAAATGGTTGGAACTAAAATAGCAATTGTACTAGCAACAGCTTATTGGAAAAAGAACAAAGAAAAATTACCTTGAACGTGTTCTGTTCCTTGTGACGAGTTGATTTATTCTTCATGATGAAATTTAAATTTTATTTGGACTCAATAAAAATCATAACAAGTACACGTGAAGAATCATAACCTAAAACTTCTTCTTTACTTTTCATTCTTGCATTATGTCACTATTACTGCAGCTTTATATTTATTTCGCAATCAACCAAAAGGTAGTATTTCTTTTCTATTTTTTAATCAGAATGCAAAAAACCTTTGCTGCCAAGAACTCTAGTTCGGCAATAAAATGTGAAAATGTGGATCCTTTTCTTCTTCGTTTAATTGCTTCAAAAAGGAAGAATCTCGAACTCTATCTTGTCAAAACATCTGGAAAATTTGTATTTGTTATGGAAATGATTATTCATAGAACTTGCACTGTGAAATATTAGATACAATTTGGAGCTTTGTTCTATAATTGGTCTGTAAAAAGAAGCAGAAGAAGTACGGCGAGTATGTTGGAAATATTTAAATAAAGGTAAAAAGTCTCTGATGAATGGTTTCCCTAATTTCACTTTTCCATTTTTTTAAGATGACGCAGAATAAATGTCGACATTCAAACATCTTACCCATTGGGACGTGCTGTTTTTGCAACTCTTCCGCTCCAGAAAAGTTGTTGGATATTTGTTTTAATTATATAAATAGGAATTTGATGTCAATATGTGAGTACTTCGGTTACTCTGGCTATCTGAAGCTGAAGAACGGCATATCTCTACCAGTGGAAATGTGTGAAAGACTTTTAAATATTCGCTCCAACAGTTTATGTAGCATAGATTCTAACTTTATAAATATTTTTAAAGACACCAAAAACACAAGACTAAAAAGAGTGCGCTTACGGAAAAGCAAGATTATGGATCATGACCTGGAGGTGTTACTAGCACATCAGCTGATAGAATTAGAAATTTCACATAGTAGGGACTTGACTCATAATTGTATACAACACATACACAAATATGGTTCAAGTTTATATTCATTAACTATTGGAGAAGGCACAGATATTTTTCCAGCCTTAATATATGGAGATCTGGGTCAATGGAATCAGAATTATATATTTCTTGCCCCAAATTTAAGAAGATTTAGTTTGCAAAGCTGTCAAGATTTGCCGGCGTCATTTTATGCATTGCTTTTAAATCCCATGACAAACTTGACTCACTTAGATTTAAGCAATTGCACCGACTTGGGAACATTAAATTACACTGAACATTTAGTTAATCTTCGCAGTTTGGTATTATACAATGTTTCTTCAATTGCAATTTTGGTACCTTCCATTTGCAAATTAAAAAATTTAACCCACTTAGATCTTTCTCAAAGTAGAGAAGAGCATAGGAAGTTTCCAAACTCAACGGTGATTTTAACAGCTTTAGTTGAGAGTCTACCACATTTAACTTCTTTGGATATTTCCGGAACAAATTTGGCTGGGACTGGAGTGGCAGAAACAGACAGTGCTAGAGGCTCAGATATACCAGGTCTCATATCAAGAGTGAATAATCCATTTCATTTCTTAGGATTATATGAAACTTCCCATGACGCATCCTTAAGACATGACATTCCTGCTAAATTAGTAAGTTCTACTACAGAAACAATGGTATTTCCACCAAACTCTCAAGTCACTTATTTATAATTAGATTGCAGGTAATGCAAATGAAGAACAGATTCTTATAGCAGCTCTAGCCTATTTGGATAGAACAGAAATGCTTCAAAAGGTGCTAAATGAATTATTTCATTTTTTTCGCTTCGATACATGTCGATATATAGGACAGGCATTGAATGTTGTTTTAGAATCAATGAATCGACACCTTCATGAAAGACATATACAAATTTCTGGAAGGTAATTTATAAATTTTCATTTTAACTTACAATTAGCCCTGTATTCTAGGAGAAGCATACCGCTTGGAAAGCAATTTGTAATTATGTCATTTTTTAATATATTTTTTTTAAATATATTCCAAACCGCGGCGACAACAAAATTTTGAAGATGGTTATTCTTTTTTTATATATTTTTTAAGGTTATGCTGGAAAATTATTTTGGAAAGTTTTAAATAATGCTGAGAAAACGATAGTAGTAGGTATAATTGAACACCTTTAAAAATCAAATTTACACCACGCACCGAACATTGCCTTGATATTTTGGATATAACATGATATTTTTGTCCAACATCCTGTCATTAGCAACCTGTAATTTGTAATAGTCAGCGAACATATATTTTTGGCAACCAGCATGACGTCATTACAAATGGATATATTTCCGACTATAGTACACCTTTGAATTAGTAGATAATAAATTGTAACCCCTGTCGTGTAACAATAGCTATTGCTACAAAGATTACTGTTTGATTGGCATGCCAAGAGATTGGTAATAAAAGAAATATAAGTTATGTAACACAAACTTTTCAAAGGTGTACTAGTAAATAGGGAAAGAAAATTCTAAATCAAATTGTACTCTTCAGTGCCACATTATTCTACATTGTCAAAGGCACCGATAGAGAACTCCATGATGCTGTTCATGTTAAGCGAAGAATTATTACCACTTTACTGAATGGCATGAGCATTCACCGGAATGACGAAACAATGATGAGAAACGGTTGCCTTACCCTTTGTCAGTTCAAAATACCCATAGATGTTGTAAGTGATTATATTTATAGAACTATTCAAAGAGTAATAATTGAATTTTGCTTCAGTTGTTTGAATATGAGAGGTTGGTGGATGTTTTACTTTACTCTGTGCATGGAATGACTGCAGAAAGCTTCGTTCAAAGGATAGGAATATATTTGTTAAACTCTTTGGCATGTCAAGTGGATGGTCACCAAAAAGTTCGACTAGGAGAACTTGGTGCCGTTAATGTAAGATTTTTGTTACCATTCCTTCCAAACAGGGTAAAAATATGAGAGGTGTTCAAACAGTGAAACATGTGGAAAACTGCAAATCTCATTAAAAAATTAAAAACATTTACATAAAATGTATTTAATGGTGGACACCACTACCCCACCCCCTTACCAGGGGCTGGATACAAGCAACCTCGATATTTACTAAAATGTAGCAAAATCGCGAAATATCTCAAAAAATTATAAAATGATAAAACCATTGTTAACTTGAAAAAATCTAAACTCTATCACATTCTTAAATATAACCGTCCTTTTTTTGTCGGATGTTCTAATTCAACGGCAGAAAATATATAGGCGAGGAATTATTATTAAAATAATCGTACCTTTTTGGATACACCACCACCACTCCTCTAAGTATTTCTGACATTTGTAGAAAATGATATGGCTGATATCTGAAAGACTTGAAAGAAGATATTGCGATGATGTGTTGGAAGTTGCCTGGTCTACAATGTGGAATGTCACTGACGAAACTCCTTCCAATTGTCGAAAGTTTCTCGAAAGTAATGGTATGGAGTATTTCCTTTCGTGCTTGGAAGTAAGTGTCTCGCGCTGTCGATTGATAATAGTCAAATTTTTACTTCCCTCAGAGGTTTCCGGATAGAGAGGAGTTACTACGGAACATGATGGGTCTCCTGGGAAATGTGGCCGAAGTAAGAGAACTACGGCATTATTTGATAACGACAGAATACCTCTCAGTTTTCTCCGATCTGCTCGATTCACGATGCGACGGAATCGAAGTAAGCTATAATGCTGCTGGGGTTATAGCTCATATTGGTAAGTGCCTTATTGAATTTTATAATTTAATTATTGAAGTGCATTAAAGCTGTAATTAGTTAATGACCCGACAGATGGCGTATATTACTAGATTAGATAATTATTTATAGCATCAGACGGTCCTGAAGTGTGGACAGTGCAAGAGCCGTCAAGAAAAGAAGTGTTACGGAAGTTGGTTTTGGCCATTGATAGGTAAACTATAAGAGTTTTGTGAAAAAAAAAACGTTTATCTTCTTTTGTTACTAGATGGGATTTAAATTCGCAAAGAAACATCAACTACAGGTCATTTGAACCAATTCTATACCTGGTAAAGGTTTACCACACCCCGGAATGCCAACATTGGGCAGTATGGGCGTTAGCTAATTTAACAAAAGTTTATCGTACGTTTTCTGCCTTCAGAAAAAAGCAAATACTTATTGGATAATTATTTTTAGCCGACAAATACTGTCATTTGGTAGAGAAAGAGGGAGGTCCTGCGCTATTACACGATTTAATCCGAGACCCCATACCGCCCATGCCGGTCAAGCATTTGGCGGCGATCGTCATCGAGAATTGTGCGAAATACAAAGACCAAGATTGGCAACAAGAGCTTGATGGTTAGAGCGGAGAAGGTGCAAAACAATCCGTACTAGTTATTTTGCAATCTATTTTTTTTGAAAAGTAAAAAGGAATAAATACTCATCAAGGCAAATAAATTTTGTGATTAAACACAAAGTAAATTAATAGGCGAAATAAATTTTTGCGGGCAATTTTTGTTATAAAATAATAACTTTATTTATTTAGTTGTTGTTATGTATTAAACGCCTGCAAATTGAGTGACACATGTGGAAACAGGGAATAATGAAATATTTGGAAGAAATAATATAGTAGGCATTTTGAGGACTGTTCATAATTTTTGTGAATTATTATTTAAAAATGTTTTCTGGGATTTTTACTAAACTTTGTTCGCAACTTATGTTCATGCAAATACATTATATTTAATATGCATTGTTTTCTTTAATTGAAGCAAAATCGTGAAATTGAGTATAATTAAGTTATGCTTGCTCCATTTGGTACATTGATTTTGGATTTGTAATTGACCGGATGTTTGCTAGAGGGCACCCATTGACTTTTGGTCGCGTGAATTACTCCTAATGATGAAACAGTCCTTGGGTGAGTAAAACCCTGTTGAACGCCAAACCCATACCAGGCGATTCTATTCTGTGGAAGAAATAAATTATTCTTTCACTGGGAGTATGGAATTCCTCGGGCCCAATAAATTAAGCTCTTAAGGGACGACTTCCAGGTGGTGCGTAGCCGTCTTGCAAATAAATTGCAGTTTGGAACTGGTGCGGTACTCGTTTGGTAAATTTTAAAAGTTTTTATTCATGTATATAATTTTGCGCAGCTACTCAAAGTGACAATAATATAACAAGATTTTAGAACAAAAACATAAAATAAGGAGAGCTGGATGAGAACAAAACGAAAAGAAGGGCCCAGTGATTCCAAATCTATAATGTATTTAAATTAGATAAGGCTGTTGACGTTGTAAACATGATTTTTCCATGACAAAATCGTTTATGTTGAGCAAAGGGATACATACATACATACAAAATTTAATTTACTTTTATTTTAATTGAAAAAAGTTTAAAGCACCACAAAATTCAAATTTCTCACATTTTTCAAAACCGAGTGAGATTTAATATATATCACAAAATACTAGTTTAAATAAATTCAAGCATATATCTTTGAAAATGTCATATTAAAATGTGACTTTAAAATATTTTTATTAGTTCCATATGTGTAAAATCACATATGTAGATAGCGGTTAGCTACTTCTTTGAACAAGTCGGTGCTAAATTAAGATGAGGGTTTAGTCTGTTTTTATTAGTAGTTGTTGCGACATATTTGAGTAAGATCACTCAAAGTGCCTTTTTTGATCGGAAATTTCTGGAAAAGTTAATTATGGAAAACCTAAATAGGGATCAATCTGACAATCTGGTAATTGGTATCACATTTGTAATAAAAATTACAAGGGTTTTGATGAAGGTGTGTGCAGTATTGATCATAGAGGAGTTACTGTTGCTTCTATGGAAGGATGTCTCAAAACCTTACATGAAGCAAAAGTGCTGAAACAAGTGTGCTTAGTGGTGAAAGCATCAAGGATGAAATCTGCATTTTACTGGCACAATTTGGTTATTCTTCATTTAAAAAGATGGATTACCTTCAAAATGTGGTTATTCAGTTAAAAAATGGGTAAATTAAAATAGGTGTTTTAGTCTTTGTTGTTAATTTTATACTTGATTTGATAGGGTCAATTAACATTTCCTATCTGTTTCCTGAACAATTAGGATTTTGTAGATAAGAAAATAGATCAATTGATACTAAAAAATAAAGAAGGCAAACAATGTTATCTAAGACATAAACTCAAAATTTAAAATAAAAGTTTATTTAGCAGACTTTATATTCCTTACACATCTCACCTATTACATAAAATTTGCTCTTTACTAAATAAAAACTTGTAAATTGAGTTAAATTATGATGAACTTAAAAATTAAACGCAGTGTGCCCCTAAACACAAACAGACTACCTTCCTATAAAGCCTCTGATAATACAAAAGTTGAAACCAGGTGCTTCTTGATTAGTAGTGAGTTGTTATTTCTGATTTACAGCAAACTTTTCCTATATTATTACAGCAAGTTTAAAGACATATGTTCAAGATTCAACTGATCAACAAGCATCCAGATCACTTACAGAATGTCACAGGCAATTTGGGCCACAGCAGATGTTCCATAGGTGTCAAACATGTGGGCAGACGGTCTCTGTGGGGCATTATTCAGAAACCGCCTGTCCCGTACAATGTTATGGTAGCCTAAAAGGTTGTTTCTGGGACTGCTGGGCTAAAAGCAGCTGCCCTCAGGGGGCTGAGCTAACTTCATATTCTCTTTTAAAGTCATCAAACGGCGAAGTTCTTGCAGGACTGTCTTAATTGTATAATCACGCTGCCACCTGGCTAAAACTGGAACCTGTCTGTTGTCTACCTAAATGAATTAAATTACATCATATACACAGCTTAAAATTAAATAAATATTCTTTATCTTCGGGCGAAACAATATTTTTTAACAAAGTACTAACCACTCCTGTAGTATTGTTAATGCAATTCATATTGATTCTGGAAATAAACTTGGCTAGCGGAGGTTCATCAGGATATCTCTGACCACATTCAATCTTAACAGAATACATTCTATTTTCATATGGGCTTCGAGGTGGCCCAATTATCATGCCCATCCAGTGTGTAAGAGTCATATCATCATCATTCTCCAAGCCCCAACTGATGGTACCATCTGATACACCCTTTTGGCCGGCTTCTAGTTCTTCGAGAAGACGAAAGTTCCTGGGAACAACTGCAAGAAAACGTGTACAAAAACGTCAAAATCACATCTTAAACATAATAAAAGCTGCACTCACCAACACCGGCAGATGGGGTGGCCATATTTGAACGACTGGGATTTTGATTATTCCGTTGGGCAGCAGACTATTGTATAAAATTCTATTTTATTGTAAGAAATTTTTCAACGGCAGCAGCGTTGACAATAATGAAGCAAATTGGCAACTTTTTTTATGAAATAAAAAAAACCGATAGCACTCTCACCCAACCCGATGAAGGCTGTCAAACGCAACATCCAAATTGGTGTTTTATGATTCACAGAATACGATCAGCACGTAAGTTAAGAGCTCTTAAACTAAAATCACATCAATCAAAATCACAGTTTAAAATGATAATAAACTGAGCCGCAAATTGGAAAAATGACAACCAGTTGTAAAATACCGAGGAAATAATTATATCTGCATCTGTTTTGCCGTTTTAGCGCAAGGGCCCACCGCTACAGTGACGTCATTCGAGGAGTTATATTTGTAAAGGAGAAGAATTGAAAATAAACCTAAATGAATCTGTTTTGAATAGTCAATATTTTCATGAAATTCTTAAAAAAAACAATAATTATAAAACAATTTTTCACATATCCAATCATAAAGTCATTTTCATAAATTAGCTGCATTACGTAGGCAAAGCCAAATCATAGATTCATATTTTATATTTATGTACATATTGGAAGAACATTAGTACACAGCTTGTAAAATAAAAGTAAAATCCTCCAGTGATATTAACTTATAATTCCAAGACTTACCAAACATATATGTCGATTTGCCCTGAAGTAATCTAATGTTTCCAAAGAAGAAGATATTTTTGAGGTTACATGTTGCCCAACAATTTTTGTGAAACGCATCATTGAATTGAGGTTACATGTAGTAGGTATTGATACTAAAAATGTTTTTTTTTCTCAACTTCGTAACCTCGTAAATAAATATTTTTATAAATATTTAAGAAAAAAAATCTTCGATTTTAGATTATTTAATTATGCAACTTTTTATAAAATGTGCGCTAAAAGAACACATGGTTTTAAAGGTAAAAGATTTAGCGGCAATTATTTCATTTACTATCAATTGCTTTTACAGTTATTCAGTTGAGACTCACAGAAGACTGCCACAGTTCTCATGAATTATTCGTAAAAGAACATTTAGTACAAAAACATGATGAAGACAAGCCCAGTGGGAGAACATTATTTATAGTCAATGTTCCTCCATATATCGATGAAGATCGCATGAGAAAGCTATTTCAATTTGCTGGTGCAGTTAAATCGGTTTGCTTCCAAAACTTTCCAGATGAATCTGACTTCGAAGTTGGTGGTTTTAAAATGTGTTTTGTTGTATTTATTAACAGGGAAGCCCTTTTAAATGCTTTGACAGTAAATATCCTAGGATTTAATAAGGCAAACTTGAAAACAGGAATAGATGAATGGATACAAAATTACAATAGTTCAATTTGCAATGCAGATGGTCTGTCTCGTGAGATTACTGAGTACATGAGGCATTATGATAAGATCGAAAATAAAAAGAAGAATAAAAAGGATACTGATGAGGATGGATGGACTGTTGTGGCAAAGAAGGGCCGTACTCCTGGTTTATCCAGGAAAGAAAGTGTAGTTGTCAAACTTAAAGAAAAAAAAGAGAAGAAGTTAAAACAGAAAGAACTTAAGAATTTTTACACTTTCCAGATAAGAGAAAACAAAATGAAGAGCCTGGCTCAATTACGTCAAAACTATGAGGAAGCAAAAGCAAAAGTTAATTTGATGAAATCTGCTAGAGTTTTTAAGCCTTATTAATCAGTTCTTTGGGACAAATAAATTTTTATTTTTTGGGAGTTTGTTGGTTTTAATTATTGAAAAATATATTATCATCGTATCATGGCATGATTGTTTTAAATTATTTTTGTCTCGCTTAAATTTAGTAAATTTAAAGGTTGTTTAAAAAAAGAACAAGACCCATAAGAAGCAGAGTTAATTAATTATAGGAAAGTTGGCCAATAGAAGTTAAAGAAGAAAATAATCGATGGATCTGAGGTTATGTTTTTAACTTTTTTGATATTTTGTAGTTTCAATTTGCAGACCCCGCTGTGGTTTCTATTTGAAAAAAAAAACTAAAAAATATGTCTCGCAACACTGACGTATTTATTTTACTCATAGTGCTTACAACAACTTTTCTTTTATATATAGTCAATGTCCTTTTTCTAACTATTTCGTGGTTGGAATCTCCCCCAGAAAATATCGCCTGGATCGTTCACGGAATACGCAATATTCTTGGCTATGCAACTATATTTTTGCCAGGTTATTTGATATTTAAGTATGTGACCAAAACCAATTATTTAAATAAAAGTGGTCGAGGTCCAGTTGGAGGAATAATAAGGACATGCTTTGGTGAAGATGATTTGCCCCTACTTAACGCCAGCAACCATACAAGCACACCTCGTACAGCGCTCCAAGATCTTCTTCTGTTGTGTTTTTATTTTACTGGGCTTCAAGTATCCTATCTCACATGGGGTGTTTTACAGGAAAAAATCATGACCCAGCAGTATGAATCGACAAATGGAAAAAGTAACTTTAAAGATTCTCAATTTCTTGTGTTTATGAATCGAATATTAGCATTCACAATGGCAGCAATTATATTAATGTGTGTTAAACAGCAAAGACATAAATGCCCATTGTACAAATATGTTTTCTGTTCCTTTTCAAATATTATGAGTTCATGGTGCCAGTATGAAGCTTTGAAGTATGTTTCGTTTCCTCACCAAGTGTTGGCGAAAGCTAGTAAAACAATTCCCGTTATGATCATGGGGAAAGTAGTATCAAAAACCAAATATGAATTTTATGAATACATTACTGCAATAATATTGTCAATTGGAATGATATTTTTTATGATAGATACAGGCAATGATCGAGCCGACTCCACTGTCACCACAGTCAGTGGAGTAATTCTTTTATGTTTATATATAGTTTTTGACAGTTTTACTTCCAACTGGCAAGGAAAGTTATTTAAAGTATATGAAATTAAACCCGTACAAATGATGTGCTTCGTTAATTTTTTTTCCTGTATATTCACTATTGTATCTCTTGTACAACAAGGTAGCTTTTTAAATTCTGTAAGTTTTATGTTTAATTTTCCTAGTTTTAGCATAGATGTTATACTTCTGTCACTGTGTTCGGCTGGAGGTCAAATGTTTATTTTTCATACAATAGAAACATTTGGACCTCTGGTTTTCGTGATAATCAGTACAATTCGACAAGCTTTATCGATTTTATTGAGTTGCATTATTTATCACCATAGTGTAAACATTTTAGGAGTTTTGGGACTGTTTCTTGTATTTTTAAGTATAACCCTAAGAATTTATTGTAGTTATAGAATTCGAGCTGTTAAGCAAGGGAGTAAAGTTCTTATAAAAAGTCAAATAGGTTGAAACGTTCAGATATCTCCAGTAGTTTCTTTACGAAGCTTTAATGTTAAATTATAAGCAGCTTTGAGATTGAATATTCAGAAAATTTCCCAAAATGATGTCTTAAATGTTATTGACTAATCTTAATAAACAACTTCCAGGTTAGTATTGCTGTCTTATGTGTTTACAATAAATTATAATTTTTTAAAATTGTATAAGTTATCAACTAATATCTTGTGATGTTCCATAAATCAGATAAAATAGTCTAGAAAATTTTTAGTGGAGTTAGTTCTTCAAACCTCAACACAATTTTTATTTTTTTAAGCATATATTCTTACAGGTTTATTTAAACTAAAATGAACTACTGTAATTGCATTTATTGCATTAATTTGATAATACATATATACAAACACGTAAGTTTATATAAATACTATAATCAAGATTTACATTTATCACAACCTACTTTAAGTAACAATTGCAAGACTTAAAGATTACAGTAAAGTAATCTATTGATTATATAAAGCACTGACGGGTTAGCGCAAAAAAAGTAAACAGAACAAGAAAATAAAATAAAGTTACAGGTTTTTGAGAGCTGCTGAGAAATTTTTAGTTTTCATAAAAAAAGTTTTAAAATTGTTATAAAATTAATTGAATAATTTATTCAAACAATGTATAAAAGTTATCAAACATCCTAGAACATTTAACTTATCCTGTACAATTTTTGTTAAGGTACATAGATAACATTTCGAATATAGAAACAGCACATGTCGCTAATACATTAAATAAATCAGATACATTTAAAGAGTGAGAGCAAAGAACTTAAGTAAATAAGCAAGAAAGTAGAACATTTTACTTTAGATGAATTTAAAATATTTCACTGTTTTCTAGTTAATTTTTACATATATTTACATAGACATACAATAAATAACATCTGCCAAGCAATTTTGTTATATTCTAGACTTATTCAGTTATTACATGTTTATAATAAAGAATGTCTAAGGATGACACTTCAATATATGTATTCCTCATTCAGAAATAGTAGCTTTTTTTTCTTTTCGTCAAATTGTTAATAACTTTAAGAAAATCACGATTGTCCAAGTGACAGTAGTGTTGAATCATATTCTGAATTAAAAATCAGCGTTTATAAACAGTAAAAATATTTTTTTGAAAATGGAAACAGTAAAGTCAAACAGTCTATACTTCAAGAAAGCTGTGCGTTGTCACCTATATCGACAAAATTAAATAAATAAATTCTTACTTCCATTTAACTATTAAATTCGAGCTAAAGAATGTTTTAAAATTTGAGTTTCAAGCTTAGGTGGAAATTAAGTCAACCGACAATTGTGTTACATTATGGTTTGTAGACAAAGATAATTTATTTCTATGTATGTCTTTAACAAAGATACACATTCAATAAACAAACATCTCCATCTTCAGATTATTGGCTGGCTGATTTTACTTCGTAAGAGTAAAATAAAATACTGCCTTTTTCCAGAGGATGAAGTAAATCTTTGATTAAAACATGGTGGTGCTCAGAAATAATTAAAAGCTTAATTAATGTGAATCAGCATTGCCCACAGGCAAAATGGTGAAGACTGGCCTGTTGAAATGATGTTTCTTGCTGCTTAATGCCCTTTCAACGTGTGGCGACTCTGCCGCTATCGGGTATGATGTTGCCCTTTTCGCTGACCTATTACATGCAGACAGAAATTACCAACTCTACATAGAATTACATAATATTAAAGGTGTTGCTGCAGTATTTGTTACCAGTTTAAAGGAGTAAGTATCAGAAGAAAACATTTTTTAAACCTTGACTCTTATTGAAACGTGTATTATTAGCAGTAAATTTTCCCGCAAAAATCCCGCAGTTACGGCTATACGAACAACAAATAAGTGACAACTAAAGATTTGAACTGGTGCTATTAAATCAGGTTGTGCTACACACAAATATCTAACGCAGTCCACTAACAATATCCATTTATGCGATTGTTTTTTATAATTTTGATTCATTATATATCGTTTACGTTAAATATAAGCTGAAGCAAACAAACTGAGAGTACCAATAAAATTGTCTACTTGCCCAGCGGTCCAGCTTATATTTTATTGAATGTATTTATCATTTTAATTTTATTAAATTGTTGAAAGTTGTTTTATAAATCTGTACTTTTTAAAGACTAAATTCTACAATTAAAATTTACCAAGATCACTACATAAGTTATATACCATGCAGCTTTGGTCGATATTAGGACAACTGCGCCTATTATGGATTTTTTAAAACAGAAAGAAAATAAAAGAGCTGAAAATGGTGTTTAAATCAACAAATCACCAAAAATAAATTCAACACGACTTGAGATATTTAGGCGACCCCCTTACACTAGGATATAGAAAAGTTAGTACGACAGCGTCGAAAACAGAGACCGAAAAATTAACACAATTATCGTCGTGAAAGTAATGAGGAATCAGTATGTCCACCTAGCGAAATAATTTTCAAGCATGCGCATACACAAAATACTGGAAGAAACACTTAAAACATGTAGGGGGAGATGTAAAGGAGTGGTAAAACAGTCAATATAACAACACCAGGATAACAAGAGCGAAAAACTTCCTTCCGACGACATATTTCTGTGACGGTAAGAGAAGGAATAGCACAAGACCATAGAAAACCCTTCAAAGCAAATAACGGCACTAAAGGCAACGAGGGGCTGGCTGAGGTGGAATATTTACCCTAGTCCAAAACCGACACGTTTTTATACATGGGACATAAAAACCTTGCGTTTGAGAAATGCTGCGGTAGCCGCTGATGTAGCACTCACTCGTCCAGGAGACGATATGCCCACTGTATCATGGCTGAAACACATATACCGGGGATATGTTGCTATTTCTTTTAAAAATGATTAGGTTGGTCTTGTAACACATGTCTATTTTAAAAACATCCTACATCCCTATGTTCAGATTTCTCTACGGAAAAACGGGAAAGTGCAAAAATACATTCATTTCATAGCAGTTTTACCTGTAATAACCTAATCACCTAAAAAGCGCAGCAGTAAGGTTTATCTAGAGACGAAACTTAACAGTGGCCATATCTATACTATACTAATACTATACATTACTAAAAATAAGGATTTCACTATGATGATGATGATATTTTACTGTTTCTCAATAACATATTTAAAGACTGTAGCGGGACGCTGCCATTTTGTTTAGACAAAATATTTCAAAAATAAAAAATCAACAGTGTGGGCGCCCTTATTAAATTAGTATTACTAAGGCTTGGTGTATCGCAAATAAAAATAAAATTAAAATAAGAATAAAAATAAGAGTAGTTGACCTTACGGAGACCTGTCTCGGGAGTTTATTATAGCATAAATGATTTTCCACTGGAAATTTGCTACTGCCTTTGTTATATAGAAAAAAAAAACCTGTCAATGTTTAAAATTAAACTGTTCGTAGAGAGAGTAAAATAATCCAAAACTAACCAATCAGGAAACCTAGATATTGAACTGAGGTGGCTTTTACTTGACGAAAATCCATTTATTAAAATAAATAAGAACTAAAAGTTCAGATTTTCACGAAATTATATATTATGACATGACAATTGTTTCCCATAGGTGAAACAAGATTTATTAGATTGCTTAATAGTATCTTTAGACCAAAATTATTTTGAATTTAATGGACAGATTTATATTTCTAAAGAAGGTTTGATTATGGGAAACCCACTTAGTCCTTTGTTAGCTGAGATTTTTCTGGATAATTTGGAAAATATCATACTAGAACATCCTTTAAGTAAAAGTTTTTTATGGTGGTATAGATAGGTGGATGATATCTTTGCTTGCTTTGTTGGAACGGACAGACAATTGAATTATTTTTTAAATTACATTAATTCATTACATAATCGTATAAAATTCACTATCGGGATTGAACAGGATAACTCTATTAATTTTTTAGACTTAACGATTACGAAAGTGCAAAACAAATTAGATTTTTCATTCAATATATCATAAATCTTCAAACTTTTACTTAAAGGATGTTCTAGTATGATATTTTCCAAATTATCCATAAAAATCTCGGCTAACAAAGGACTAAGTGGGTTTCCCATAATCAAACCTTCTTTAGAGATATAAATTTGTCCATTAAATTCAAATTAATTTTGGTCTAAAGATACTATTAAGCAATCTGTTGTCGAAACAATTGTCATGTCATAATATATAATTTCGTGAAAATCTGAACTTTTAGTTCTTATTTATTTTGAAACCTAGATATATTTCATATTTCATTAAAATTCGATCCTACAGGTGACATTTAGTGATGGAAGGATGGATGTATATAGCTTTTTTTTCCTGTACACATAATAGATTTCAGATGTAAATAAGAGCAACCTTTTCTACATTAAAGTAACTGATTATTATCCTGTTCCCAGTAAAAATACAAAACTTCTCTGATTGGAGGAATTGAGGGTTTTATTAGTGGCAGTTATTAGCAAAAATGGTTTTGACATCGTGAAGAACAATTTTTGTTATTTTAATTTTAATGTTAAATTCACTGCTCTCGAACATAAAGCTATATTTTTGTCGGTCACACGATGAGCTTAAACTTTTACGAATTCCAATGCACGAAGGAAAATTTGAATTCAGTTCTAAAATCATTAGAGCTGCCCTTTACTTTTTAAATCAAAAATTTAAAAAATGTAACGACATACCTCCGCCTTCTGCTAATAGCCTGTCCGGGCAAACCAAAATATCCTCTAGGTATTACCATCCGGGCGTTGCCCTGCGCAGGTCTGGACCCGCCGTGACTCAAAAGTGAGGCAAGATGGGCGGCGTAACCTTCACTCAACACGGTCGCCAGACTGTGTTGCTTCCTAGATACTTTACCGACGATGTATATCTCTTTGGGTTTTAATCCTATACTTGTATATACACTAATGTCTTTGGCGCTGCCGTACGCCGCGTGCACTATAACTCCATGAGTCTAGGACAAGAAATATGCGATTTAATCCTAGTCAATTATTTATTTATTTAAGGAACTTAAAAGGGACGTACCTACAATAGTGTTTGCAGCAAGGTACAATATTAATAATATAATTAACCATAATTACACAAAAAACTAAAGTACAAACTATTAATACAGGTAATACTGAAAAACACGTTTTTTTAAACTTTGCAGATTTGCATATTAATGCATTGAATCTTTTGTATAATTTGCTCGTCTTTGAGCCAAACAAGAAGTGTTTTGATTTCTAAAGTGTCGAGATGGCACAAAAAATTGATTTAAAACAATAACTCTGAATTATTATCATATATAATATCATATAATTTGACATTCTCAGGGGCAAATTAAATTAAATTTTTGTCTCATATATTGAGTACTCCTTACTGTAAGGTATATCAAATTTTGTGGTAGTTTCTAGTAAAATTAACTATTTTGGCAACACTCATAACCAAATAAATTTGCTGACCTGTATGAGGTTGTTGAGGTAAGCCGCCTTGTGTCCCAGAGGATCGGTTGAGAGGCCGTCGGCAAAAGAGACTAAGCCGTGAGGAAAATTGTGTTGGGACAACCAAGACACCACTCGTCGATGTTGCATGTCCGGCCTGCCTGTTATGTAGATTATAAGATAGCCCAATTCTTGCCAGTGCCTACAATAAGGGCTCGTAGGTGAACATGACTAACTGCTGACTAACCAATGATATCTAACCTAACTACGTCGACAGCTCCGGCCCGAACCTTAGGATCCTTTCCAGTCACTGACATACTAGCGGTAAAAGACCCGTCAATACTGAAGACCACACACTCGGTTTTAGGTGGTACAACTGCTAGGAAAAAATCTACAGAAGTGTGGTCTCCTCTTACAATCATCTAGAAGAACACGGCGGTGTAACAAGTATGATAATTTTCTACATTACCCACCTTAAATGGATATAGCCCATAACCCAGGGACTTTTCATCTGGAATAGTATAAGTTACCCTGCCGGTTTTATCAGTTACTTCCGTTGACAGCAGCGTCCACTCTCCAGAAGGTGGATCTTTCATTACGTGAATATCCACCTTTTCACCAGCAAGTGTTATCATATCCAGCGGACCATACATGAACCGGGCAACTAGTATCTGTGAAGCGCCCTCTCGTGTGATTATGTCGTTAGCTCTGTGATTGGCAGCGACATTCTAGAAAAACCGGCTTTGCACTAAAAAAACTAAATTAACTGTAACTCCACCCTTACTTTCAACTTAACGGATGTCCTTTTTTTGTTCCACTTCTCCCGGGGCTGGCCCGGTCGAAAACTGCTCTCCCTCTCTTCCATTCCGCTTGACATCCCGCCCCCTTCTATCCCGCCCACCTGCCTCAAGATAAAGGCGATAACGTCGCAACTTTCCCAGTAGCTCGCGTGAAACAAGTGCGGCAACGCGTTAGTGGGAAAATTGGAAAGACCTTCCGGACAATAAAGGGCGTAATCTAAGCGTTTGCCGCCCCACCATTTTTGCTGCACTGAAACAAAAATAAAGTAATCAGGGCTATCCGGGAATGTTCATAAATATATGCTTACGCGTGCTTATCGTGTGAAGTGGTATAGATTCTATCAAACCGGAAACGGTACTCTGGATAGAAACTTCGGATAATCGCCTGGGCGGGGCTTGATCATTAAAAATTTGGGGATTGGTTTGTAAAGTTTCCACTGCAAGAAATCGATTAAGCGAGAATGTGGCTATTCGACAATAAACTTACGCAAATGGTATGGCTGACCATTTCCCAAAGGATATTTGGCGTACCGTGATACATTAATGGGAGGCAAAATGGCAAATCTAGCGGATATTAATGGTTCCAGTCTAGACGCCACCGGATCTGTAGGGTGAAACATGTTGTAAACTTGAAGGCAGGATGGTCGAGCGATAGACACTACAACAATAGATCTATTTACCATTTGATGTATGCCTCCAAGTCGGTATTTCTTACCAGCTTTCCTTAATCACATTATTTTAGATATGTTGAGTGAAATAGTCAAATAAAATTTACTTACCTGACTTTTCGTTGGCAGAAATTTTCCTATACGCGAGTACCAACGCCAAGGGACTACCGAATAGAAAGAAATCCGACACTTCGAAATCCAACTTAATTTGAGTACTGTCGCCCAACGAAGATTTTCTTCGCTGCGGCAACGCGGAAAGATAACTGGTGTCGATCGACAAATCGTCACCTAGAAGAACTGAAGTCTCCTTTCAGTACCCTATCGAGAACAGAGTCCTGCTTATACCTTTACAGTCGTCCAGAATATTATTTTCGCTGGCATGTCTCGAACAATACTTGCTAGATCTGCAAAGCGCGTCGTACCCCAGTACTGAACCTATGGAATCAGCCACAAATGACACTTGTCCCGAGAATCCTTGCCCTTCGTCAGACTTTATAAACTCTAAAAATCACGGATCATGGCTGCCCTATGAAAATGTTGAGTTACAGACCTTGGTATGTCGCATTTGCCGCATTGATTGTCTTTGACACTGCTTCGTCATAGTCACTATTCGATGTTGCTAGTATTGGGATCGCACCGATGGGTATGGAATCGTGAGTTACTTGAGGAAATTCGACACTAGATGGTGAAACATCAAAACTATAGGGACTAAGACTGAAAAGTTAAGTAAAAGTATTACAAAAATCAGCGCACACCACAAATTTTACCTTGACAAGATACCTAAACTCTCTGTACAAACAGAGGGGCACAGGACCAGCCTCACGGCGATATGTCCAATTAGGCAGGGGTAGTGCTGACGCATTACTGATTCGAACGCACCTCTAAAAGTCGTGACGTCCGATTTTTTCGCCGCTAAATCAACGTCGGCGTCTAAAACGGTAACCATTAAGTTTATAAACTCGACTAAATTAGGCAACACTTACCCAAAACGCTTCCCGCATGAAGAACCAATATTAAAACTGTAGTACTGCACGGGGCTTGCGTAGTGGTGGGCGAATCGGAGCGCGTAGTATCCAAGGAATTTACCTTACCTCTGTGAACAACTTTCCTGGTGCCTCGTTCGCTTGCAACTCTTTGGAGGAATGTCGGCGAAAATATACTGTCATCTAACATAACGCATGTTAAAAAAATTAAGAGTTAAGAATTTTTCATTCACTACCATTCTTGTCATTGCTGATAGTGGGAGAAGCACTCTCCAAGTCCTCTTCAGTTAGCAGATCGAGGGAACTCCATTTTGCAAGGGAAGACGAATCTAAAACGGCTAGTGGAACAATCTGTTCGAATATACTTGAAGCTCACCTTCGCAGTCGAAAAACTCTTCGTCCGATCCCGACTCGGAATCCCTTCCAAGGCTCTCGATTCTCCAATTTGCCACCTGGAGATCAAAACTCTTTACTGATGCTGAACTCGGTGAATGCAAGCTCCGAGGTTGTTGCCATAGTTTGTCTTCCACCCTAAAAAGGTACCAATTAGCGGTATTTACCTACACGAATTAGCGACATACTTCAAGGGCAACCCCATTTCATCATCTGCTGACAAATCACCATCCGAACTGGTAGTAGTCTGGATATTCGGAATGTTTGGGTTTTTTCCTAACAGGGGACTATCCTCTGAAACTTCTATACTGCCTAAAGTGGCGGCTAAAGTTTTACATGGGTCTTCTTTGGAGGTGCTGTTGTTCAAGTTATCATCTTCATCTGCCCGAAAAGTAATAAATCGTTTAGTAGAATAACAATAAACAGAACACAATATTTATCTAACCAAATTCATCTTCCACCTGACCCATTTTTCTTTTTAAAGCTAGCTGCGTCTGTCTTTCTATTTCTCTGATATCTGACATTGTTAATCCATGCCACTCGTCCTGCCACGCCCACGCTTGTCGGTGTGCTCTTAACATCGTTTTTCGCAACGCTAACAATAACGATCACTTTATTGTGTGCCCGCGTTTATTCATTATTGCTCACCTATGTCGTGAATGAATTTTTCGATTTTTGTTTGCATTCCCCAGTACCTAAATTCAACGCGGCACAGTTTGTATGCACACATGAGGGCCTTTCCAGAAGGTGAAGGTTGAGATTTGCCTTTTACTTCGTCCCAGTAAACTTGCAACCAATTATCCGTTAGAGGACCTCTTCCAGATTTTTCAGAAACGTAATATAACGGATCTTCTTCTCGTACGTAGTCTGCACCATAGAGCTGATCCTTGACTACGTCGATCAAGTCTGGTCAACGAAAAACCGGAGAACCTAAGTTGCTTTACTCAATAAAAGACTTGAGATTTAGGGAGTTTTTATTTAATTTTAAAATAATCAGTTAGCATTTTATTTGGTAATTTCAATGAGTTGCTGGGTTCTTGTTTGACTTTTCTTTACAATTATGTCAGATGATGCTTTCTCATATGTCTCTCTCATAGCACGATTAACGATATTTCTTTCCGAAAATGCCGAACCACTTGTATTTTAAAGATAGAACAAATAGCAATAAAGACTAAAATTGAAGTTATCTCAACTTTAAAACCGTACTTACTCTAACCATGGTAAATATCAGAAAATTTTGCAAATCAGGTCAATTACGCCCCCTTGTGGCGATTTGATTGATCGTATATAGCACACATAGATGCTGGATAAGACGTATTTTTTACTGAGCACTTGTTTAAAACAATACTTGTTCCGTTAAAAAAACAAGCCCTCACCTACTATTCTGTTACGTAAGTCGCTTCCCGTCAATCCGAAAACATTCTCCTGATGCCCATTATCTCCATAATAATACGTTTCGATTTCTAGATAAAATTTCTCAACAAATGGACAAGTGTATCTCGTCTTCGTATAAGGGTAGGCGTTCCACGCCTCTTCCTCTACCATCAGGGCTGTTTTTGGTAGTATGCCCTTAATCCAACCTATGAAAAATCATACAATAAAATTAAACCGATAGTACAGATTTCAACTGATGGTTATAAACCTGGTAAATGACTTCCAACGTGGTAAAGTTTTTTGGTGTATTGTCCCTGACCTCCCGGACCATCTTTGTAAGGCTCGTTAATTAGAATTTCTACGCCACTGCCAGCGCCACTGCTCTCATTCCGACTTTTTTTCTACATTTTAAAATTTGTCAAATATAATCAAATTTTAAACATATATAATAATACAGGGTGCGGCAGCATAACTTCCTTTTTTTAAATGCGCGCCATTCAGTTAGTTGATGTCATAGTGGGGCGCTAGTGGTCTCGTTCAAGAGGGGGTACTGTAAAGTTTTGTCTCGACACGGTTCAGTCGCCATCATGCGTTGGAATAGTGAGGAGCGTGCCTTTGCCGTTGAGGCCTACTTTTCAAGCGGTTGTTCGGTTGTTGCAACACAGCGTGCATTTCGGAATCGCTTTAATTTAGCCCCGTTGGCTCCCATCCCAGACCGCAAATCAATTGTTACATGGGTCACTACATTCAGACAAACTGCAAGTGCGACAAAACGAAGAACTGGAGTCCCTCGGCCCGTTAGATCACCTGAGAACATTGAAGCAGTGAGAGCTTCAATGTTGCGATCACCACAGCGTTCTGCGCGCAAACACGCATCTGCCCTTGGACTATCCGATCGTTCTGTGAGAAGAATTCTTCGTGATGATCTTCATTTTCATCCCTATAAGATGGCGATAGTGCAGGAACTTACAGAACGTGACTTCAATTCTCGGATGAACGCGTGTGAGCTTCTTCTTGATGTCGTTCCCGAGGGTGCTATTGTTTTTTTTTAGCGATGAAGCCCATTTTGATTTATGTGGGTCGGTTAACAAACAAAACATGCGCTACTGGGCTGACACCAACCCTCGACAATTGCATCAAAGGCCTTTGCATTCACCCAAAGTCACAGTGTGGTGTGCAATTTCCTCAGCTGGAATTATTGGTCCCTGGTTTTTTGAGGAAAATGAGGTTACAGTGACAGTGAATTCGGACCGGTATGTAAACATGCTACAGATTTTTTTTTTCCCACGGCTAGAAGAGTTGGATTTGGGGGACACTTGGTTCCAACAAGACGGTGCAACAGCACACACTTCAAGAGCATCGATGGCTGTTTTGAGGGAACACTTTCCAGAGCGCCTTATCTCAATTAGAGGCGATTTGGAATGGCCGGCACGCTCTCTCGATCTGTCCCCTTGTGATTTTTTTCTATGGGGTTTTTTGAAATCCCTGGTTTATGTGAACCGTCCAAGAACCCTACAAGATTTGAAGACCAACATCGAAGAAAAAATTGCCAACATAACACCAGCTATGCTAACAAGAGTCATGACAAACGCCAGATATCGGTTTACGCAATGTATGGAGAATGAGGGACGTCACCTAACAGATTTGATCTTCAAAACAATGTAAATAAAAACTTTAGACATGTACCTACATTATAAAAAATAAATAAAGACTTTCCGATGCACACAATAGTTTTTATTGAGTTTTGAAAAAAGGAAGTTATGCTGCCGCACCCTGTATAATAGGACATTCACTTGAGACTTACTGCTATCATATAGAGCTGAGCTATACGGTACTCTTCGACTGTTAGGGGAAGCGGTATGCGGTACTCCTTTATAAGCATGACTGGTCCAGGACCCGGCGGGCCAACTTAGCAAGTCTAGGCCGCGCCAGGTCCAATTAAATCCCCATCTTAGCACAGGTTTAAGTGTTTCTGAAAAAATAACAAGTTTAAGACTGTTTAAGTTTAGTAAATATTTTAACAATCGTTCCATTTTAATATCATTTCTGTAAGTATAAAGTAAGTCACCCTATTCTCTTTATTTTTGTACCATTAGAGATATCCAGCCGAAATTTTGGAGATCTAATAAAAAAAAATGTATAATAGTTTTTTTAAGTTACCATGATGACGTCTGCATTGAGGCTGGCGCTGCGACACCTATGCCGATAATACAGGAACGCATGAAGCAATAATGAATCAAAGTTTTTTTGAAGGTCCATTCAACATGCGCATGGGCGAGATTTAAACATCTGTTTTTTTAACCAATAACCTAGCGGCCTTCAACAACTAACATGGCGGTCTATAAGTTTGGACGCGGCATTTTTACGGCAATATGTTCTCAAAATTTGTTATTAATATGCTAAATATGAAAACGAGTTAAGTGTGTGTAAATTGCTGTTTAGAAATAAAATGGCGCAAAATGGGTGAAATGTCGAGGCATGCGCGGAAAATGATTCCGTTCTCTACGAAAATATCAATGCCGCCTTCGGCGCATCAATTTTTACTACTATATAGTTTATCTATATGGCACCAATTAACGCTATTTTTTAAAATTAAATGGGAACATTTTATTATTTGTTTAGTGAGTTTTCAAAAATTTTAATTTCAACAAATGCACTTTTGAAATTTATATCCGCATCTTTTAGCGAAAATTAAACTTATTAAACTTATGGCTCAACAGTAAACAACGCAATCAAGTTATTAATAAATTTATTTTCCGGTGCCATTTCTATATAATTTTATTTTTTGTGGTAAATAGTATTTTAACTAACTAAAAAACCAAAGGAAGCGAACAAATTATTTTTTTAGGAAATAAATCTTAACTTTACCGAAATTTTATACTACAATAATTCAAAACATTGAAATATTTTTTATGGTACCTATAGATTTATTAGCGAAACTTTCAAATGTCTAAAATAGCAACTATTGATTTCCCCTAGGGCATATCGATCTTTGTAAAATTAATTAAAATACTCTCGAAATGAACCTTCCATATGTCAACTTAAAGCGCCCTTCTACGGGCTCAGGGAGACGCATGAATGATTAGATCTCGTCCATTTGCTATAACTCGATCTTTGACGGCAATGTCAACAATTTATCCGCCTTTTAACTCTCATTTATTTGCAGCATTATGATCGATAGGCCAAACAAAGATTTGGAACGACTGTCGATATTAAAAACAGCTTATCTCTGTTGTTTGGACTATAAAGCATCGGAAGTCCGAAATAATACACAATGTTATACAGCGTGGCGCAGATAGTGGACTGAAAAACGTTTTAATAGATGTTGGGTAAAATCGAAAGATAAAAAGCTTAAAATTAGTTTCTTGAAAATTATTGAAAAAGTAGACTAATTAACTAATTAATTAAGAATTAATGTAATTTTCAATTTTGGTTTACCAAAACAATTTAGTGGTAATAGGAAAACGTGTTCTTTTAAACATATATATTTTTGGCAGATATGTTGCCAAAGTCAAATTTAGATTCAAAAACAACTAAGCTGCCTATATAATAGAAAATGGTCTCAAGTCTTTAGATTTATTAGAAAACTTATTACTTACTTTGCCACAAAATTGCATATATGCGCATAAAACGAATAAAATAAAAATAACGGACTAACATTAGTGTTACCTGGGCAACACCCACGTATAATAGCTATTTGTTGGTATGAGTTACTGGCACATTGATTGCAATAAATCGCTTCTTCATATTCTTGTAGATATATACCATTACCATATTTTAGAAAAATTTCACGGAGCATCATTTTATTTGTGGCATTTTTCGTTTTACGTAAATTTAAACAGAATCTCTGGCACTTTCACGAAGCGATCGGCGAAAAATTTTATTTATTGATTAACTGTTGACCATTTAACATTTCACGTATAATAAATATAACCAGAGAACTAAAATTAGGCAAGCATAAACCGTGCTATTTTCAAACGCTTTGAGCGTTTTGTTTATTATAGTTAATTCTTAAATTCATAAAATAGTGCAAAATTTTGCTCTAATTTCGACTAGTCCTATGCTAAAAATTCAGAATGAAGTGACAAAAGGCATCAAACTATGTAAATGAAAATATACACTAGTGATTTAAAAATTTCATAATTTTTTTTGTGGCCAAAGTACCAGAAAAGTCCGAAGTGACTGGCTATAGTGACTAACGAAGATTTCAAAGTGACACTTTCGGCGTATAATTCAGTATATTTTTAGAGTAAACAGTAGAAAAAACAAAGAAAGCGCAGTGATTTTTTTTTGCTCGTCTATAGAAATAAAAAATTGAATATTATTATATTTTTCTAATATATATTTATAAACTTGATATACTTAAATCTTCTCAAAGAAATATTAATTTTCAAAAAACTTGTACCACTACAACGATCATAGAAAAATTACAGCGTACCAACACGCTGATTAACTTCTTGTCAAAAAATAGCATTTATCAAACTTCCAGTTCTAGTTCTATTTTATATTAAAAAATTTCAGTGAATAGAACTTGCTAGATAATATTAAATAGGTGAGTAGTTAGATCAATTATTTTGCATCGTAGTCAAAAAGTTGTGAGTTCATGGAGCCTACACAATAAATCAATAATCAACAATTTTTTTAATACCAAAATAACAAGAAATAGCACCCTATGAAAAATCCAGCAGTATTGGAAATGCGAGGTTTCTTCAATTTTCGTTTTAAAACATCTTATGAGAAAACTATTATACATGACGTTACTTAAGTAGAAAAGTTCCTATAATACCATGCCTATTTTTCAAGATACAGGGTGTCAAAATGTCTTTTGTTAATCTTTTTTTCAAATTAGCATTTCAATCATTATGTTGTTGATATATTTCTCGACAGTGTGGTAATCCCAAGTAGAATAGAATTATGAAGTCCAGTGGCTTCAATTTGCGTTTTAAAACATCTCATGAGAAAACTATTATACAGGGCATTACTTAAGTAGAAAAGTTAAGAAAAGATACAATCATTATGTTGCTCATATATTTCTCGACATTGTCCATTAGTCCCTAATTGAATAATCACAAAAACTAAGGTGCGGTGTACTCTTGTTTTTTATTGTTATTATTTAGCATTTTTAACAATCTAATGATTCTAACGAATAAAAAGTAATATATAATACCTAGAACAACCATCTTCCAGGGACAGTTCCTTTATAATCTTCCTTACAACATGCTTCCAACGAACAAAGGTTAATTTTTTTTTTCAAAGAAACTTCCACAGGCTAATGTAATACTTTTTATAAAATTTCTGGATTCCTCCTGCGTCGGTTTTTGTTTACTCGAACTACCTAACGTTTCGCCATCCTGTTGGCTTCTTCAGAGCTTGACTGAAACTGTTTCCAACTGAACTAACCAGTATCAGTTTCATTCAAGCTCTGAAGAAGCCAACAGGATGATTGGCGAAACGTTAGCTAGTTCGAGTACATAAAAACCGACGCAGGAAGAATCCAGAAGTTTTATACAAAGTAAAGGTAATTTAATTAGGTTTATTTTAACTGTTTATTAATTTTCATTGCGGATATGCAATAATTTTTTTTTCAACGAAAATAAAGCCCGGCACAAGTAAAAGTCACGTTTGTGCCTTTGTTTTTGGTTGTCAATTATTAATTAATTAATTGAATTCATTATATATATATATATATATATATATATATATATATATATATATATATATATATATATATATATATATATATATATATATATATATATCGAAAAATGACCATAAAACCTTAATTAATGTTGAGAATTTAAATTCAATAATGGTTGTCCAATATAAATTTTAGAACACGATCCGCATTTCAACCTGTAGACACCTGATTTTTGGGATTCTGGACATTTCGTTTTATTGTTTTTTAAATATTTTCCTATTGTGTTGTTAGTTCTGAAAGCTATTTTTTGACAAATGTTTTGAAAAATTTTCACTAGGTTCTCCTATGTATGTAATTGTTTAAAATAGTTTATTGTTGTTGTTTATTACCCAACAAACTTTACCTTACAATTTAATTATAACAAATTTTAAAAAGGAGGATATTAGGCGAAGTATCACCCAAAGGGCATCCAAACAATCAAGAAAAGTTCGCAGTCTTTTATACAAATCATATCATATAAAAAAAGTTTTTAACCTTTATCTTTTAAATAAATAAGTCATTTAAAAATCCGCTGATACTTGAAGAATATAAAAAAGATTTTTGAAACAATGTCGCGTTGTATCGACGTAAAAACTGTTTTTTCCTTGTATTAGTCATGAAGTCGAAATTCTGTTTGTATCGCAAAAAACATAGATTGAGTGGTTTGGATCTGGAGAGTTTTAATATTAATATAAATGGCGTTAATTTGCAGTATGGGAAACATATAAAATATTTGGGAATTGTATTAGATCCACAATTAAATTTTGATGCACATTGTGATTATATAATGAAAACGTTCTCACAAAAGGTGGGTTTCATATCTAGAGCAGGCAAAATTTAACAAGTTATACAAAATTGCCACTTTACAATAGCTTGGCGACGCCACATCTGCAATATTGTTCAACTTCATTGTTTAGTATATCTAACTATAGACCAACCGAACTTCAGAAAATACAAATCAACAAACAACAAAAAACTATGTTAAATGTGTTAAATGCCATTTTAAATAAAGGTTTTAAAAGATTAATTAAAACTTATGTATTGTCTGAAATTTTAATCTGATTTTTCTTTTATAATTGTTTTTGCTGTCATAGACTTTTGGTTTGTGTAGTTTTGTACTTTTATTCTTATTTAAATTTTCCTATTTTGCTACTGGCTCGTATATTTAAAATGTTGTAATTGTTTTCTGTTACGGTTTTATGCTAAATTAAGACGATTATTATTATTAGTACCATATATGTCCCCAAAAGATACAAGCTTTTTAGTTTTTGTAAGATTCCGCTCGTAAGTTAATAACTACAAATCTTGAAAACACTCCGGGTAGAAGCCGGGGTCAAATTGTCACTTTTTTTCCGCCACCTCCGGCCACCTTCATTTAACCGCCCGATCAGTTTCCAAATTAAATAAATTATCATGTCGCTCAACTTACAGGAATTATTGCAAATGCATCCATAAACACGGTGCCCTATCACTGCAAATTCAAGGACGCACGGTCGTATCCGAACTGCACATTGAAAATCACCAGTGCGTTTAGCCGATACGAAAAACGTGGAAAAACATTATCCCCTTTTTCGATTTTTTGGTGTTATTCTTCACGGGGGCGGACGGAAGGACTTTCGCGTAGGCGCTTCTAGGCAACTCCTCCACGAATGTTGTCCTGGCTCGGGCTGCTGCCGCCGCCAGATCCACACACACACACACAATCGTTACGAATTCCAGAACCGTCTTTGGCGTATCGGCCCCGTATCACCTACATTTCCGGCTTCGAGTACGGAAGTCGGAAATAATATCTGCTGATCGGGCGAAAATTCCAAATTTGAATTTACGACGGGTCGTTTAATCGAATTTTGCAGGATTAATAATATACAAGGGGAGCCAACACGGCGGCGTACGTTAAGCACACTGGTAGCTCAAGTGATAAGAGAAAGAGAAAGCAAAGTTGCAAAGTTGATGATAGTATATTATGCGCCATTTTAGTAACGAGCTTGATTTCGGAGCGAGGTGAGCGAGTGCTTAATAAACGATTGACTGAAGCACCGTATCAACAACGAATGCTTATTATAAAATATAAAATAAACTTTTTCTACTCCCGTCTGTAAAATATCTAATTACCCAGCGATCTAGCGTGCGGAAAGCGCCACTTTACCACGCCAGGTTCGTTTCCCATGAATCCGAGCCACTTCGGACATTTCCGGGATTTTACCGCACGGATTTGGGAGCAATCGGATGTTTTCGGAGATATTTCCCACGCTTTGAATTTTGACGTTTGTCAATTCTGACGGTCATGTCAGTGAATGTATTCGTGTTGTTTTGCGAAAATGAATCCAAAAACTAACGGTCGTAGAAAAAGTATAGTATGCAACACGTTCGGTAAACTTTTTAACTCACACGTTTATTAAAAACTCGCTCCGCTCGTGTCAAATAAACTCGTGAGTCTAATGCCGTTTGCCGCACTTGTTGCATAATATACTATAAGTCACTCGGTTATTAAACTTGTGACCACACTTGTTGCATAATATACTATCTCAAAATGATGTTACCCATCTTAGTGGTAGTTTATAAGTTGCCTGAGTTGGCTCCTGCCGAGCGTTTTACAATAATTACTTGTTGTGCCCGTAAAAAACCAACTGATAACACCCTAAATAAGGGTAGACAAACAAGACGGCAACCATACGAAGTCAGGAATTTGGCGGGCTTTAATATGGATTACTTAGTTCACCGAGCTGGAAGTCGTCACTTTATCCAATTAAGCAAGGTGATATTAACCGTTTATATATAAAAATGTTGCAAATACCTACGACACATTACGGTCAATATCACTTCCTTTCAAATATCCGACATTCTTCACAAACGTCCGAAAGTAAAACCGCCGGGCTATAGCTAAAAATAGTAAAGTATATAATATGTAGATTGAAGTATAAATATAATTATCGGCAGGAAGTTTAAATTATAGAGCTTCAAATCTCACCAGACGGATTCGTGATAGGTTATTTATTTGATGATCGAATAAAAATAGAAATTAAAGTTTTACCGTGCTGCGCTGATAGGAAGTCAGTAGTCACGCAACATGAAATGGAACGATAATAGTACATTGTGTAACAAGTTTTATAAACGACACTTTAGTCACGAGTTTCTTTAAGCACGAGCGGAAAGTGTTTAATACACGAGTGCCTTTCAATTTCAATAGTTTTGTTGTTACATTTTTTAAGAAGATGAAAATCAAAAACGTTTTGTAGGCCTCTGCTAAAACAAAAAATTAACTTTATCATCATGCACCATACACGTGTAAGGTAAAATTTAAATCATTCGATAGATTTTTGTTTTTTTTATTATACACATTCTTCGATGTAAGATTTTTCGTGACGTTGGACCCGTTGTTAACTATAGATGTCTAGGTATGGTCATATACCGGGTGACAAAAGAAACTGGGAACACTCTATAACTTTTAAACTGCTTTAGTTAGCGATTTGGAATTTGCAAGGGATAATATAGGCTAAATGTTCAATTTTTTGACAATATGTAGTCAATGGCTGCACTTCCGGTTTGAACGGAAACTACAGTAACTTTCGAATTTTAAATAACTCACAACCTATATTTTTTTGCATTTTTGGATTCAGGAGATCATTCTATGTAGGATAGGACGTTTTTGTTTTTCATTTTCTTTTTGTTTTTTTTTTTAATTTTTACTTAATTTTGGAAATTGTGTCTAGGAGGCTGTGACCATCATAAATACTATTTACCGGATCACCTGATCATGGGACACTATTAATTTTTTAGGATGTCTAGTTTTTTCAAATAGCACTCTAGTGGGAACAAAAATTTTTTAAAACCGGTACTTTTTTTACATTTTGACACAAAAATTTTGAAAATCCGTAATAAAATAAGCTTACCGGAAAGAAAAAACCAGTTAAGTAATAGTATATTGTGCCAAAAGTGCGGTAAACGGCATTTGGCTCACGAGTTTATTTGACACAAGCGGAGCGCAGCGGAGCGAGTGTTTAATAAACGAGTGAGTTAAAGAGTTTACCGAACGTGTTGCATACTACACTTTTTCTACGACTGTTAGATTTTGGGTACATTTTGGTAAAACAACACGAATACATTCACTGACATGACCGTCAGAATTGACAAACGTCAAAATTCAAAGCGTGGGAAATATCTCCGAAAACATCCGATTGCTCCCAAATCTGTGCGGTAAAATCCCGGAAATGTTCGAAGTCGCTCGTGTCGTCGATTCGTGGGAAAGGAAACTGATGTGGTAAAGTGACACTTCCCGCACGCTAGGTCGGTGGGTAATTAGGTATTTTACAGACGCGAGTAGAAAAATACATTTTTTATAGATGGCTTTGCTTCTTCATTATTAATTGTGAAGTCGGTAAGATTGAAAATGCAGAAAAAACTCTCCGACAAGCTCAACACAGCAGGGGAGAGACGGGAATACAGTCAAAAACTACCGTAAGTATTGTATATATAAGTACGTTATAAGCTAGAAGCACTTTTTACCGGAAACTCAGAAGAACAACAATATTTTGAAAATCAACGTGAGTTACCGTAGGACAAGTTTTACATTGACACAAAACATAACATCCATTTATTTTGGAACTGTATTTTTGTATTTACACATTTGAATTAAATAAGTGTGATAGATATTTACTTAATAACCAATTTATTTAGGGATGAAACTTTCATAGAATGTTTTTAAAATGTCTTGCTTCTTATATACAACACTTCCTAACATTTCTGGAATTATAATATCAAAATGTATTTACTTATGTTTTTTCCTTCCTGTGAGCTTATTTATTAACGGATTTTGAAAATGCTGGTGTCAAAATGTTGCACAAAAGTATCGTTTTTAAAAAGTTTTTGTTTCTACTAGGGTGCTATTTGAAACAACTAGGTTATCTTAAAAAATTAATAGTTGATTACAGTAAATGATATTTGCCATTAAACAATTAAATAAAAGTTTCATTTACAATTTTTCCCATAAAACATTTTGTTAAAAAATTGGAAATTCAGTCTACATTAACCCTTCCAAATTTCAAATCGCTATCTCAAGCCGTTTAAAAGTTATAGAGTGTTCCCACTTTCTTGTGCCACCCGGTATAGCTGCTAGATATATAGTTTGTATATGTATATTAATATTATAATAATACAGCAATTTTTAAAGCCACCGTGAAAAAAAAAATGTCGTGCCAGTCAACACGCCCACGCGCGGTCATTTCGAATCTCTTTTTCAACCAATACGAATTGTCACTTTACACGAACCAATAATCGACGTCCTCGCTAACAGTTCATTAATTTGACAATTCACAGTTACAACGTAACGATATTCGTAGTCTGTTGCGATATGTTAACCGCGAATGATAAACAGTCGCTATAATAATAATTGGGTCTTACGTCAATTGAAGCTCGCGAAAGTATTTTTTCGTCTGTTAAGTTCCAAAATTATAGATATCGAAAACAAAGCAAATCATAAATATTTGTTTTCGATTGGAACTATTTTTTCCACAGTAACGTTGTTTTGAAATATGTATTTTTCATTAGCGCTAAAAAGGAAAATGGATATTTTAGTTTAGTAGTGCCGTCTTTTAGAGGGGGGAGTAGCAATCTAAAAGACGTCATTACACTAAGTTAACCCACGGCCCCAAGCGGCTTCGGAAGTTTTGCGATACTTACAGATACAAATCTTTTCAACTGATTTTAGGCAGGTATTTTGATGTTTTTCAGTCCTGATTATTACGCGACACTTCAGTGACTGTATTCGTGCTGTTTTGCAAAAAATTACCCAGTATTTACCCGTAGAAAACATATAGCATGGAACTATGAAATTGAAAGCTTGAAATTCGGCCAATCATTTCCATTTATTTTCATCTGTTTAGCAGTCAGATATGTTTACCTTAGCTTTGGCACTTATAGTTTTACGATCATGCAGCTTGAAAATTACGACTTTTTTTTCATTCACGAATAACTTCAATTCAACTTCAATAAAAGCAATTGAAGTAATTTACGTTTCATTTTAAAGCCAGCAGCGTAATATCTGACAATATCTATTTCCGAGCAGAATTTGGTTCTGTTCACTTGTAAGGTGTTAGCAATTAAATGATATAGTGGCCCTCATTGACGCCCCTCGGGAGGCTATGATAATCATTTAACAAAATCTGGACATATTTTACGAAAATACCCGCCGAATTGAGGAGGCGTCAGCGTCCATGTTGCTTGTTGAACGCCGCTAGATCTTATTGGTTCAAAACGAGATGCCAATATTTTTTCATCATCGCTTCATCGGTGTATTATCAGCATAGGCACGGTCTATGGGTGAAATGAATCACAATACCAAATATGATTTTTTTAAGCTAAGAAATGTATGAATCAACAATACCTACTATGCAACGTCCTCAACATCCTTTCCTTTGTAAAAAAAGGCGGTAACTTTAATTTTTAACAAAGTATTCCCTCCAAACCCCCGCCCACGTATAATAATAATAGGGTCATGTTCAATACACCTACAAGAGACATTTGAAACAGCTCTAACGAATAACGAACCCCTTTGCTCTTTATACATTTTAACGGCGCAAATGTACGTTTGTTTCCACACTTCTGGAAATCTGTATTCAACCTTTGACATTTAACCAGATTGGTCCGCGTAAAAGACTGGGATAGAATAGGACATAAAACCGGCGCCGTCGCGGATGTTTGGCCACAGGGCTTCCAAGGAGGCACAAGTTCAGGTCCGGCTTTAATAAAGTCTGATTTCAGACAAACTAATTTATCGTAGGCCAAGTCTATAATCCAAAATAGGCATTATATTCACACTGGATAAACCTATTTCACTCGTTTTTCACAAACCAATGGCAACTTTGGAATTCCAAATGGAACGTTCTATTATACTCAGATTCGGATCGTCCAAAAATTAAATAACTTTTTTTAAGAAAATCGCTACGAAAATTAAGTAGAATATTTTCGACAATAAGCGAATGAAGAAACTCTACATGTTATAATCCCGATATGTCACACTAGGCTTTCATTAAACACAACTCGTTTTTTTAGCAATTGAATAACTTTTGTAATCAATGTCCCTATTCACCAGGACTGTCAATACGACCATGAAAGCGAGTCAACAACGCGAATCAACTGATAAATACAGGGTGATTTGCGGACGATAGTAAAGAGGGACGTCAAAGGAAAAGAAATTTAGGCAATAATCCTCAAAGTCACGAAATATTTAAGAATACGTGTTTGGTTTGACTTTTCAAAAAATTTAAATACACTTTAATTGAACAGGTGTGAAAAACACGTATTATTCACATATTATATTAAATAAATTGAAATTTAATTATGTCGCTAGATATAATAAATACTAAATTCAAAAACATAATTGTCTACATACAACATAAAACACATACTTACTTATCAGTCCAGAGAATTGTAAGACAAAAATAATGAAATAACAAAATATTAAATTTAATTTAAACGCCGTATTTTATATATAGCGTGGTTCATAAATTTAAACTTCACATTTCACAAAACATTCCTTTACATTTTATTTACATACAATTTACACAAATTGATTTTTCAACAACAGCAGTTAAAATTTTGGTATGTACCTAATCTTGTATTCAAAGAATATGTCTTCTTTTGCTTAAAAATTTTAACTAATGTTTAACTGTGAAGGGTGAATTTTCCGATCAGTCAAAACAAACTTGAAATATTAATGTCCCTTCCAATAAAATTTACAGATCCGACCAATCTTACGACCGACCCATATCAAATTTGAAAGTCGATAACGGCGATATGTCCAAATTATTGACCCAGTCTTTTCCTCATGGCCCAGGAGCTATAGACACCCCACGTTAACGAAGAGTAAAGTGTTGTCTTCTGCAGGTGGTATTCTGTGCTTCTGGGTTCATAATTGTCAAAATTTAATGTCGATAAAAATTGTACAGTATTTTATAACTTTACTTTAATCTCCTTTATGACTCCGTGTAATTTTAATATGGAATTATGTGTAAAAAGCCGCACGGTATTTTCTTGTTTTTGTGCTTAACTGTTATTCAAGGTACCCACAATTTTTCTCAGAAATGGCCAAATTTTCTTTAACTGGGATTTCTTGTAGGGTCCCAGATAGTATTGAAGAAGTTAGAGGTCGACATCGGCAAAAACGTTACTTTGCGATGTCCCGTCGATTTGACAGATGTTATGTGGGTGAAAGAAAATCGCACAGATGACGACCATGCCCGAATGAAAGTTTTCAGCAATGGGACATTATTTATAATGCATGTGAATATAAAAGATTCTGGCGCTTACTCTTGTAGACGAGCCAACGTTGTCGAGTCTCCTATTCAAGGCAAAGTTCAAGTGAGAGTAAGATGTAAGTAATTTTGCAAGAACTGCAAAACATTAGCATTAGCATTAGTATTAACAGTGTAAGGAATGACAAATTAAATTATTATAGCACCACCTCTTCCCCTAAATGTAACTATAAAAACAAGTACGGTATTAGCCGTGGTATTTTGGACTGTACAAGGTAATGGTGGATATCCAATAATTAACTTTACTGCACAGTACCGACTTGCCTATACAAATGACAGTTGGTTACCAATTTCACCAAATCATATTACACCTAACTCTGTAAGTGGGGCATGGAAATAAATTTGTGTTTTTTTTTTTGATAATTTTTAATGGATTTAGATTTTATATCTCTCCAGTTTTATTGGGAAAGTTATTTTAGTTGATTTATATTATATTTTTGTGTATAGTTGAGTTCAAATTTTACCTTTGGCATTACCTTGACTGCCATAAAAGCCTATCAATATGATTATTCCCATATAAAATGGCTCAATCCTCCTTTTATTTACTTGGGACCTAGAAAATGAGTGTTAATGAGTGGATCCATTCCAGTAAAGGTCAGTGGTGTAATTTGAACTTTACTATATATTGATTATAGTTAAGTAGTGGTAAGTCTGTTGGTAGATTATTCTTCAATTTGGTTTTTGCTTTGTTATGGAAATTATTTGCAAATTACACTTAAAAGTTGTCAGTATTCGAAAATATAATATTATAATATGCCTTATTGACATGCACCCAATCGCTTAAGCAGAAATTGTGCTTTGAAGACATTATATCCACACCCTTTTGCCTGTAATCAAATATTGTTGATTTAATTTATTTGACTTTGAATGAATTCTCAGGTTTGTTCTTGCATGTGTTGTACCTCAAAAATTAAATAGAATTCATTAGATAACATCATTTTTAGCGGCAAGTTGATGTGTACAATTTGAGGCCCAACACAACATATGAATTTCGCATTTGGGCAACCAATCAATTAGGTAGAAGCCCATCGGTAAGTGTGTATGGAGTAACACTGGACAGTTACAAAGAAACAGGTAATAGTTGACCCTGTAATACATGTATGTTATATGTTAATGCTTAATGTGCAAACTTGTCCTGTAAGTCTTTAGGGAATAAAGTGTAAATGCTTTAAGCTAGGTGCTTATTTACTTTGCAAAAAGCTTCTATCTCTTCATCTTTTTGGTGTTCCCCTCAATTTCCTCTTTGTTTTCTTCTCAAAAGATTTAGCCAGACATTTGTTAAAAGGAGCGGACCAGTTTGACACTAGAATATGGGCAGCAGCTGTGGGAGTCGTCATGGGTACTTTGGTGCTACTAGGGATTGGCACTTGCATTTTGCTGTATCAAGAATGTAAAACTCCAACGGGTAAGTACAATTGTTTGGTTACTTTAAATGGATGCAAATGTATCTCTGCATTTTATACAATGTTTTCGTTTAGTGGAAGAAGAGCAAGAAATCATCGAATTAGTGCCGAACATAATTCTTAATCCTGGGTTTGATGACAACCAACAAAACATGCCGGCGCCTGATGAAAATTCAAATAATGAGCATCCTCAACGCCTTAACAATAATTCTGTGGTACAACCGCAAAATGTATGAGCGACTATTATTTTAATTTAATTAAGGCGGCCATCTAAATATTTCCATCTATAAACTAAATTTAAAAGAAAAGCACCAAATTGATAATATACTTAAAGCTAAAACCTCAAACAAAATTTGCTTTTAATTTTATTTTATCCTCATCACGGGAATAGGTACCACATAGTTTTTTTAACTATGCAAAAGAATACAAAAATCAAAGAATTATACAGCGGTATAGGAGCACATGTAAATAATATTACATCAAACAATAAATGTACCATAAAACTTATTTGGCATAACCCGTTTGAGTGACACTATAATTATTAATTCGTGATATTCGTAATATACACCCTATGTATATTAAATTTCGCTTTATTATGTGATTTTTGTGATAATTATTTATAAGCAATGATTGTATTGTTTTTTTATGTATAGTTGCTTTATTCACTACAGTAATTCCACAAATACACATTAAAATATGCCTAGGTACATATCACGTCTTAAATAATTTTTAATAATAGTAGGTGAGCTAATTGTGTTTATTGTAAACTGTTGAGCTTTCAAAAATGCTTCCTATTAAAGTTAATTTAAGTCTAAAATCCCAAAACTGCAGAATCTGCTGCTTTTATGACAAATTAAGTATTTGCGTGAAACTTGAGTTGTGAAAAAGTTCCAGTATAGATACCTACAAAAAATTATGGTTTTAAATAACACAGAATTTTCTAATCTAAGTGTTGCAGTAACTTTGACCATTTATATAGAAATTGTTCTGATTCATAAACTTATGTATATATTTTTTCTTGTTATGGCAAAAATATATATCATATAACTCTTTTTATTCGAATCACAAAATAATTGAGGAGTCATATCATTTTAATAAGTCAGAAAGTCTAAGAACGCACCAATTTTTAATTGTTCAAATCTCAATTATGTTGATGTGACGCCTAAAATGTGTAATGTTTTTAAATATATATGGATTTTTAGCAACTCGTGGAAAATAAATGGGCAAAATTATTTTGAAAAACTCATTGGTTGTAATACTACATGTATCTTCTACAAGTGCCTGTGTGTAGGGCATACATATTTATATACAACAAAATTTAAAAAAGCTTAAAACCATGCCCAAAATTGTAATCTTCATTACAAGTGCCATTTGAGTCTCTTCAATTTGTGAACATGAAAAATTAAAAAATTTTAAAGCTTTTGCTTATATTTTCAAGAAAAATAGAAAAAAAATGTGCCTCTACCAAATAAATTTGATAAAATTGCAAATATTAGTTTGAAGCACATCTTAATAATTATTGTGAGATAACCACAGACTGATTTATAACTTAGACATAGCTAGCTCTTTTTAAATAATTGAATTTCCATGACTGACATTACATAAAATTACATAGTAAATCTCTGATAATTTGGGTATGTTAAATGAGAGAAAAAGATTGATTACTGGATAACTTTCACTAAATTTCAATTCAAGAAATAACCCTTATATAATACAAACTAAGACAGCAACTTTTGGAATGCAGTGAACGTATATAAAATCTCTTGCATTTCCCAGGTTTTACCATGTAATTTTTTGTTGGTCGGTATTTGTAGTCTTGTGTTCTGACAAGCGCACCATTTAACATAAAGTTGTGGAAACTTAATTAACAAAAGCTTTTATAGTGCACTTCCAAATCGTAGAAAACAACGCCAACAAAGTGATTTGTAACAGGAAGTTGCGAAAATAATTTTTAAAAGCTAATGAGACTTTAATTTTTATTGCATAAAAAAATGTTTGATTATCAAAATCTATGCATCAAATTTTTACTATTAAATTTTTTGTATAACATTTGAATCAATATTTTCCAATATCTGTTTCCTTTATATGGAAAATGTTTTGGCAAATCCTGTGTTACATTTTGAAATTAGAGAAAAAGAAGTCTCATTGGACTTGGCTTTTGTATATGGAATTATGTGTAAGTGTTTTCCTTTTATAACAATAGAAAAATTCAGTGCAGTATTAACTTGTTATTGATTGCTATATGCAGCACTAATTCTGTTTTACAGACATGATTTTCTGAGCACACTGTGAGCAGCTTAATAATTTTATTGCGCTTATTTATTATTGGTCCGCTTCTGTTTAGAAAGCTAGTTATTTATATAATCTATGTTGTCATATCTGAGCAATATTGCGCTATGGAATATTTTGTATAAATATGTTCCTAATAAAATAAATTTTTACTAAATCACATTATTTAGTATAATTTCATTTGTCTTCACAAATTAATATACCCTGTTTTGTAACACATTACCTATTTTCATATTTCTTTTTTTTGCAAGTGTTGTAATTCTTAACTTATTTTGTTTATTAAACATTTACAAAAACTGTAATATGGGATCTGGTGCTCCCAACTTCCAAATATTTACCTACCAGAATAATTAATAGGTAATCAATTTTAATGTCATTATAGGCTGTAGCTATGTAGTAAAAACACTTGAACCAACCAAACTGGCAAATATACCAAAAAAAAAAAAAACACTAGATTTTAAAGACTGTGTAGGTAATATCGGTAATTGGGGGTAAACAATTCTTTTAGTGGCACTGAATATTTCTTGTAGAACCTCCTGTCTAATTCCAACAGATTAATTCTCTAAAAATAGCTAATTTAAAAAAAAATATGTTGAAAAGTTGCAAATGATTTATTCTTAAAAATCAAAAATTGGTAACAACACGTACATATGTATTATTTTATTTAGTAACAAAACTTCCGCATAGGATTAGCTGGTTCCTGCTTGTTGATTAAATTTAGCAACTGCTTCTTGGGCTTTTGAAAGATTTTTCCTAGTACTATCAGCCCTGGCCCGAATCTCTTCTTCGACTGATTTATTTAGAGCTTTCGTGACCACTTGTTTCAGCTTTTGCATTTCTCGCATCTTCTGTTTTTTAGGTTTATTTGGACGATCTGATAAAAGTACAAGTTAAAACTTAGCGACCTTAGTGAAGACCAACTTACTCAATCTTTTTGTAGCAGCTGTTCCTTTCTTTTGTGACTGTTTCTTGATGTTACTTGGTAGTCTTGTTTTTACTTTTAATTTGCCTTGTGCCATTTTTGATATTTATTTGATTGAGGGATTAGAAGTTCTTCTTTTCTTCTAATTTTGGAGTAGAAGTTCTTCTTCCTTATTTCTGTCGCCAATACTAAGATTAGAAGTTGGGTTCTTTTGCTTCTTCAGATTACAGTTTGATTCTTTGACTTTTTATTTCTATTAACATAGTTCAATAGGCTCATTCAACTGACCATAAACAAGAATGAAATAATTCTCTGCATCTGTGGACATGTTTAGATTCTGTCTATGGTTAGAATTATTAAGAATGGCTTATAAGATAAGGTAAGATGTAAATAAAGTATTAGTGAAGTTCCAAAAAATTCTTTAAATTTTTAATTTTTCATTAGATTAAAGGAATTTGATAATATTCTGGAACAAGATATTATTGATCTCAAAGCCCTTAAAGAGTTATCTTTTCATGGTAAACAGTTTGCATGGTATTAGGTGAGGACAATTATTATAATTTTCCAATACATATTCTACAGGCATTCCCGATGACCAAGGTAAAAGGGCTTTATGCTGGAGACTTTTGTTAAATTACTTACCCCTTGAAAAATTACACTGGACTACTCATTTAAATCAAAAGAGATTTTTGTATAAACAGTATATAGGTATGTAAAATGCCCGCAGCTGTGTTTTCTTTGTTAAAAATGTAGGTTTTTAGATGAACTAATTGTAATGCCAGGGGAAAATGAACCCAATGGTGATGTTACTTTAGGAGATCATCCGTTGAATGCTAATCCTGATAGCGAGTGGTCAACATTTTTTAAAGATAATGAGGTGCTGTTACAAATAGATAAGGATGTGAGGCGTTTATGTCCAGATATATCATTTTTTCAACAACCTACTGAATTTCCATGCTATGAAATTGTCAATAGCAATGATGTAAAAAGATTGCACACTAGAGTGCAGAGAAAGGTTTTAAATTGTGCAAATGTCGAAAGGAAAGGATTGGGAATAACAAAGGTACCTCTTTCAGTTTTCCTTTAAATTTTAATTAAACAATTTTTAAATGAAGTATATTCTTACATGCCTCCCTTCAACTTTAGTAGCAGGTAAAAGACGTGCATGAGGGAGTGACAAGTTGATGTTTTTTGTTAAATTTATATTTGTATGGTTTGGGTGTTATACTTGTGGTACTGCAAACTTTTATAATGCACCAAGTATGAGGACCAGTAATTTTTCAAATTGCATGAAACTTTCTTTCTATTTTTTTGCCTTTATTTGGCAAAAAGGTCTAAACCCAAACCACATTCTCATTGCCTTTTTTTTCAATTTAGATTCTTAAACTGAAAAATAGAGATATATTTTTTTTAATTTTTGTTATAAACATTACAGCACAGGAAAGGCTTCTCTCAATTAAACTGTATAAAATTTTCAAAGTTTCATGGCATTCTGGTATGCTGCAGAATCATCAAATTTACCCCAATTGTATGAAATTTGTACTAGCTAGTGTGTCTTAGAACCAGATTGGGATAAGATTTGAATTCCTATGTAGAGTTTGTTTTCAAGTAGAAATGTGCACTTAATTATTCAGGAATGAATTTAATTTTTTTTATTAGAGTCTCTATATATTACAATCAAAACATATTTGCTTTTCGGTAAATGTGACATTTTAGATAGCCCTTTCAGTTAAAAAGGCTTCAGGGGATTATGCTCCTATGACTGAAGGAAAGGAGGCTCATTGGGAAGTGGTTGAAAGAATACTGTTTCTTTATGCAAAGTTGAATCCTGGCCAAGGGTATGTGCAAGGAATGAATGAAATTATAGGCCCCATTTACCATGCATTTGCTTCAGATCCTGATATAAGTTTCAGAGGTGAATAAAATTAGAACGTAAATTTATTGTACATTTGTTTTTTATTCTTTTCTACAGAATGGGCCGAAGCTGATAGTTTTTTTTGTTTCACCAATTTGATGTCAGAAGTAAGAGACTTTTTTATAAAAAGCCTGGATGAAACTGACCATGGTATCAATAAAATGATGAGTCGCATGCTGGTAGAGCTCAAAAATAGTGATTTGGATATATGGTTAAAGTTCCAGCAGTTAGATTTAAAGCCACAATATTATAGTTTTAGGTACAAAGGTTATGGTTAGTTCATTTAATTTTATAAGACCGAAAAATTTTTAGGTGGATAACTCTGTTATTGTCTCAAGAATTTCCCTTACCTGATGTACTGAGATTATGGGATTCATTATTTTCTGATGAACACAGATTTGACTTTCTGATTTATGTGTGTTGTGCAATGATCATGTATGTATTAGATTTAAAATTAAATTAAAATTTATATTATTTTTATTAACAGAATTTTAAGAAATCAATTATTGCATGGAGATTTTCCGTCCAATTTAAAATTGCTTCAGAATTTCCCACCAATGGATGTGCAGATTATCCTATCAAAAGCACTGGAGCTATCAAAGGTCAGGATATTTTGAAATGAGATTTTATTTTGTTAATATTACCGTTGTATATCTTCTAATACATTTTGTAAAAGATAATCTGAGTAAACATATAAGAAACCATTATTAACTTAATCATACTGCAGCAATTAAATAAAAAAGTTTTTATTTTCACAAACAGAAAAAAATTGTGGTTACTAGTTATATTAGGCACTCCTCAGGTACCATGTTTAATTCAGAAAACTGTAACAAAACTCCACGATTCTCAAAGTTACTTTCTGTATGTACTATGTATGTAGTTGGTTACTGTAATCATTAGTTTTGAATTATTTAAAATTTAAGACATTAAGTTGGTAATTTTTATTGATTTTTTAAAATATTTTCTACTTTCCTGGAACATAGCACATTCCAATAACTAAACTTTGTTCTCACAAGAATTATTTTAAAAAATTATGGATAAAAGCAGAAATGTAAAAATTTTTGTATAATTGATCAATATATATTTTTTCTATGGTGTAGTATTTGTTTGCAGCAGGCCAAACTATCTGATGTTTCTAACCTGCTACTGCTCCTTTTGAAAAAAAAGGGGTTTCAAATGCTCTCTTTATTTATTGTTTTCACTTCCAAAAAAGTCTTTTGCAAAAGTTTGGGCTACCAATAATGGGAATACTAATGTTGCTTCCGCATAAATTTTGACAGGTGTGGCGTTAGGTCTTATTTTTCCCCAAGATTTTGCTTCATCAGGTGTTGCTCCTGAATCACTACCATCAAAGTCTGAAGCAGTATTTAAGTATACCGCGAAATCTGCACCATTTCTCTAAATTTAGGTTAGGTTAATTGGTTGACAGGTAAGGTTTTCTAATACTCCACTCACCATTAGGTTGGCATTGCATATATGATGTTTTATAAGTCCTCCACCTAGTATAATAGCACCAGTATTCACCGACTTCATTGCCATTAAATTTAATCTTCTTAGATCTACAATCAATATGTTTGTTTTTCAAGTAGATATGGCATGCCCACTTACCATGCAGAATATCCACAACTAATCCTGGATTTTTAAAAGAGTGTAAGAACATCATATCTCCTATACTACCATCAGTCAAAGCAGGACAAAACACAGGTATTTTATTTTTATTTGCCCAATAATAAATACTATTTTCATTCTGTATTTCATCACCTAGTCTATTAATTATTTTGCTAGGAGTCCACAACATACCGTTTTCTCTCTGTTCTCTCAACATCTTATCAAAAATTGGCATTATCCAATTTTCAAAATAGCAATAATTGTCATTTGGAACCAAAAGATTACCTATTCGATTAATACCCTTCTCCCGCAACATTTTTCCATCTAAATGAAAGTCTCCTACAAAAGTGGGTGCTAGACATTTTATAAAATCTTCTTCAATGCCTCCTGCTGTTGTTACAATGCAGTCTATCTAAAAACTTTAAAACTATTTTTCAAAGCATTTCCTCTAGTTCCAATGAGGGAATAATAATATGCATCAAAACAAATTTATTTCAACAATTTATTTACCATTTTATGTTGGACTAAGAACTTAATTGTTTCCCTGATACCACTAGAAACCATATTGGAAGTATAACCCAAAAATATAGTGCAATTGTTTTTAGTGCTTATAAATTCATCTTCTGTATCTACATATTTATCCTTCGGTATAGGTAGCCGACGGCAGGCTATCATTTTGTTTATCTCGTTTACGGCATTTCCAAAATTTGTTGCTTGAAATCCACTGAGCATATAACTTTTCAAGATTTGCTCGTAATTTAAGCCCAAGTTCCAATCATAACCTTGTACAACTTCTTTTAGTAGATTGCTATCAGAAGTTTCCTTCAAAACTGCTTCTTGTGTTTTTTGTAACTGAATTTCATCCATTATTTTTAATTAGAAAAATTTAGTTTTGTTTTTTTTTTACTTTATTTCGATTTTATTAGACACTGCTGCAATTGCAATTTCAGTTTTGGTTACCGTCCAAAACTAATTCTTCTTCTTTTCTTCTGTTGGGGTTGGCGCTGCTGGTAGGCAATTTGCCAGCACTATTTAGAACTGTCGCAGATAATCGAGAATGTTCTCCTGGGGAAGGAAAACATTCTTTTCAGACTAATGTTTCTATTTGAGAGGCATCTAAAGCTGCTAAGGAGCTAGGGTCAGTTAATAGGCAGGTTCAGAGCTCAAAAAAATCACAAACAAGCAAGACTGTCACATCTAAAAGCAAAAGGACAAACAATTTCCAGCACTATGGAACTTGGAACAGGCGTTCCTGGCCTAGGACGGACCATGGGACCAGGCTCGTGAGATCTGAGACAAAACAACAATCAAATACATACAATTTAAAATTCCCTCGTATTGTTACTAGGGAGAGGCTGTCCCCGACCTCGACTCCTAACTTAAAATTTTATCCTATTATAATCTAAAAAGCATATGTATGATCTCCGCATTTGGGGTGCTTAACATATTTTCAACACAAAGTGGTAAGTTAAGTCCGAAATTTCTAAAGTCTACGTATAAATCCACACCCGGGACCTTTGTTATAGGGCACTCGAAAAATATATGAATATGGTTCTCCACCTTGCCGCACTCGTAGAAAGGAGAGTCCCTAACGCCTATCCGGGCCAGGTGTTCCCCACCGCGCAGTGTCCAAAACTAATTCAATTCACTTTTCCACACAGTCAATCGTCTTATTTTTTTCTTGCCCTCCTAAAATATCTTCTTTTCCAACGTTTTCTTTATTGCACTAGAGCTAAATTGCCAGAATCAAACTTCTATTGACTCAAAGTAAACGATACATTTCTTGTGGCAATGGCTTGCAAACACAAGATGACTTAATATTTAGCTACAGTATTTTGTCCATAAAGCGGCAAGTGAAAAAGTTGAATTTACCTACTTACATACCTAATGTAATCATAATAATACCTATTGATGTTTAGAAAAAGATATACAAAAATTAGATATTTTAAGAATGAAATCCCATCATAGGCAGTGAATCAATTTAAATCAAGTTTTGTTATTTAAATGCCATTGTATTGCATAGCTGCTTCTCACGGCAAATGCTTTGGCGAAAGCCAGTAAAGATAAGAAAGAAGATCAAAATATAGCAATAACCTCTAAAATTGTGGTCTCAAAAGAAGTATTTAAACTTTTGCTCTTGTAGATTTTACGTATCAATGTGATCTAAAGTAATTAAGTGTTTCTATTTGATATTAGTTTAAAAAAGAATGGCAAGACTTTTACTTACAAGGCACTTTTCAAAGACGTCTAAAATTAGGCAGGGATATGTCGTGTTGTAAGAAGTTGGAATAAGTAGAATGATTGTTTAGACTTACTCCATGGGTTTTAGAGTACCGGAAATAGGGGAAGAAGCGACAGATAAGAATACTCTTTATGATGGTGATCATCTTCCAGAATTTAATAATATGACTATTGAAAAATGCAGAGCCTCAATAGCCAAACAGACATTGGACTTTGAGAAAGGCATTAAAGAAATTGAAGATCATCTGAGTGTTCAGCCATGCCAAGATATATCTGTTGAAGTGTTCCATCCTTTAGAAGAATTGGGAATGCCTTTGTATACTACATGGGGTTTGGCAAGGACTTTATATCTAGGTATGTCTATTGTCTTTTCTGTGCCATATAAATTGGGTGATTCAAAAAATAAATTATGTAGGTAACAATACATTGATGCCTACATCTAGTTTTTTGCCAATCCATGAGCGGGCACAAAAGGCTAGGGCAAGTAAATTTCATAGTAAACCCATATATGATGCTGTGTTGAATGAATTATCTCAAGAAAAGACCAGGTCATTTGAAGAAAATAGGTTGTTAAAGAAATTTTCCACTGAGGGAAAATTGAATGGGCTTGGGTTGGATGATAAAAAAAGAGATGCATTGAACTACTATTTATCAAAATTAGCTAAAGAGAGGCACTCCTTCAAATGGAAAATTGACTATGCAACCAAAAAGTTTGTCCATGTTGTCACAGATTATAATATTGTTAAACATTTTCCATCAAGTTTGCAAAAAGCAATTGCTGTAGACCCGAACAATGCTCTGAATGGACCTTGGAAGTTTAATTTGCAACCTTTGGTTTTCAAATCATTGATGGAATATTGTCCTGATCGTGAAATGAGATGGAATCTTTGGCATGCACAGGTAGGACGAGGCTGCTCTTTAAACGAAAAAGAATTAAGAACTGGTGTTAATGTGGATGAGATAAGGTACCTCAGAAAGGAAATTGCAAAAATATTAGGCTACAATTCCTATGTGGATATGTCATTGGAGACAAAGATGGCTCGTAGCTTGGGAGAAATTAAACAGTTCATGGCACAGCTTTATGAAAGGTCTAGACCTGCTCAAGAAGAAGACTTGGGAAATCTGTTAGAGTATGCCCATAATGAGGGGTTTAAAGGCGCAAAGTAAGTTTCTTTGTTTGCCAACATTTGCCGTATGACATATTTTATTTTGTAGGCTGGAATTGTGGGATGTGCCATATTGGAAGAGAAAACAAATTTCCAATCTGTTTGATTATAATGAAGATAATCTAAAAAAGTATTTCCCCTTAAAGAAGGTATTACAAGGTTTAATGCAACTTTGTGAAAATTTGTATAATATTGTCATCAAACCCAGAAGTGGAGTATCTACATGGCATAAAGATGTTGTGTTAGTTGAAGATCATCGTTTATTTTTATTTTTCTATTATCCGTATTTCCAGGTTTTATGATGTCTTTGAATCTCATAGTAGCGCCCCAGTTGGTAGTTTTTATATAGATCCTTACTCAAGAGTTGAAGATAAATTTAATTCAAACAGTTTCGGCTGGACTGTGGGAATTCAAAATAGGAGCAAAATCACAAATTCAAATCCCATTTGTGCTCTTATATTTTATTTTGAAAAGTTCAACAAATATAACGATGCTTTATTAACAGTTAAAGGTGTTATTATAAATACTTTCAATTTTCCCCTTTATCCCTGAATATGTAAACTTTGTGCTTTTTTAGAGATCGAGGTGCTGTTTAATCAGTTTGGTAGGGCCATGCAACTGGTGTTAACTAGAGCCAACAGCTGTGAATTAGCCGGGTTGACCAATGTTGAATGGGATGTTTCGGAGGTGTGCGGGGATGTGATGTCCCATTGGTTATTTAATAAGTATGCTTCTTAAATGTCATTAATTGTTTGAAACTAATTTGATTTTGATTTTGTAGGCAGGTAATTGCCAGCATTTCATCACACTGTGATAACGGTGAAAAACTGACTGATTTAATGTCTGAAAATTTATGTCGAGCACAAAAGCATATGGTCAGCATCGATCTCTCCTACGAGCTGTACCTTTCAGCTTTAGATTTAGAGTTGTACTCCACTAATGATTTTTGGTTGGATATCCAAAAGAGATTGTGGCCCTACTATATGAGTATTCCTCTGCAAAAGGTTGATTCTCAGCCATTGTCGTTCAGTGAGATATTTGCTGGCGAATGGCCAGCTGCCTATTATTCACATTTGTGGTCCAAAATGTTGGCGGCAGATATCTACAGCGCATTTTACGATGCTAAAGGTGACGAGCAAAAATTGAAAGATGTAGGACGGCGCTTTCGAGATACATTTTTGGCTTTGGGCGGCAGTCAAATGGCAAGTCAGACATTTAGAGAGTTCCGAGGCCGGGACCCTTCCCCTAAAGCTTTGCTAAAATCTTTAGGTTTAAAGAAAGTTAATCAGGAGAGATAAGACATGATCATTAGGTTTGAAATGTCTTCTTGATGTGATATAATTAGTTTCTTTGTTAATAAAGTACTGTAAATAATCAAGGATCAAGGATCTTTTATCTTACCAGAAAAGTATCAAGGACTAAATTTAAAAAATATGGTGTATTTCCAACAGGAATTATAACAACACTAAATACAACAAATTAGTCTGATGAGTCAGATTTATAGTTATTTGGGTCAAAATCCTCATCATCTTCATCATCTAAATCCAAATCATCCAAATCTTGAAACAGTGATTCATCTACTTTAACCCTATCGATTTCATCTAAGAATTTAAGGTCAGATTCATTCAGGGTATTATCAGTCATAAAGAGTTCTCTTCCTGTTAGTTTTCGACCTTCTTTCTCTGCTAATTCCCTTTTTTTGTCGATACCCATTTCTTCCTCAAATTGTTGCTTCCATTTAAGAAATGATTCTATAGTAACCCTGGTTCCTTCGAAACGCTTTCTTTCAGCTTCTTCTTCCTCTTTTATTTTTCTGGCTTCCTTTTCTTCCCTATCTTTTTTTATTTCATCATACTTAACATTCAACCTTTCTTGTGCTGAAGATACTAGTGTAAAAACCATTACCATACCTAAATTTTCTTGCACTTGTTCTTGCAAGTATTTGAGGAGCTCGGATTTGTACCCATTGTCGAAGTTTGTTGGATTTTCTATCTCAATTATTGGAGCCTCTTCTGGATATTTTGGTGTATAGGTTATGACCAAATCACAACTCAGGCCAGAGCTAATATCCGTATCATATTCCTCGGTTTTTATGGGTATAGAAAATTTAATTGGGGCGTTAGAGATTACAACAAAGTCTCCATAATAAATAGATTCCAATGCTTCTAACTCGCCGGTTTGTTCTTCATTATAGTCCATTTTTGAATTGATAACAAAATACTGAGGTTATTTAATAACAAATGCGTTTCTAGAGGTTGCCTCTAGACAGGTGATCCTACATAGATCGTAGATGATAGAATATAGGAAACTAAATCTGATCTTCAAAAAGTTGAGCCGTCAAGTTTGCTCAGATATATAAACTCACCCCAGATATATCAGTTTGTTTTTGGTTTTTAGTCGGTTAACTTGAGCTCAACCTGTAAACTAACCATAGGTAGGGAAAGGTCATTGGTTATGACAACCATAGACAACTATATTATATTGACAAAAATGATGACAACCTTAGATTAATAAGAAAAATAACTATTATTAATGTAGTTGATGACCACTCCAAATGCGGTTAGCTAGGACACTACAAGTGATCCGTTCGCCGTTGTCCGGCTCGCCAATTCTAGAAGTTTCGGCCATCTGGATTTGTGACCGTGAACGAGTCGACAAAATGTACTGTGGAGCCTGACCAAAACGTAGAAGAGACTTTTAAACGGTGGTGATTATCTGTGGTGGAGCATTGCACGCGGCGTTTTAACCTCCGTTCGCTCCCGACAGAATCCCTTGTATTCGTCCTCAAAAGTTTGATATCGGTTTCCACTGTGTGGACTTAGTGTTTTTAGTGTTCAGTGCATGTTTTAAAGTGATAATCGTCGTCGGCACCGTCGTTTTTTGCTAGCTGAGCAAATTATTGGTTATTTTTCTTCTTTGTACGTGGTGGTCATTGACCAGAAGCGAAAATCCTCGACGGAAGTCGGCAATGGGCGAATGATCCTAGCAATCGAGCCCAACATTTTTTTGTGAAACGCATAATTGAATTGAATTTATAATTATTGGGCGAATGATCCTGGTAGTCGTGCCCAACAGTATTCTGTGAAACGCATCATTGAATTGAATTGAAAATTATCTGTGGTCATCATAGATAAATTAAAAGTAAGGGTGATCAGCTGAGGCAATAGAGATTGTAAATGTTTAAATTTTGTCATAAAATTTGCATATTACTTGAACTAAACCAAACAGAAAATCATTAATTAATGGCAGAATCCGAGGTAACTCCTAGTGGATTAGTACCTAAAGTTGGAGGTTTGTCTACACTTAGTAATTACAGCATTGCTATTAAGTTTTTTTCAGGGGATACATTCGAGTGTGCTGTATGCTTGCAACCTTGCGTTCATCCAGCACAACTTCCATGTGGCCATATTTTCTGTTATTTGTGTGTAAAAGGATTTGCGAATCAAAATAAAAAATGCGCAATATGCAGACAAGAAATACCCAGAGATTTTATAGAACAGCCTCAATTACTTGACCCCATTGGTATGGGTCCTATTGGTTTGGCCGGTTGGTTTTACGAAGGCAGAAATGGTAACCATGTTCTTTATTTAGAATTGCTTCGTGCAAATTTTTGTTTATGGGGTGTTTAATTTCTTTTATTATTTGCGGTGTTCAAGTATATATTGTCAATTCACGGAGTACTGCGTGCGTCGATGACATTAAGACACTACCGATCGTTAAAAAGTTTAGTTCTTTTTTTCTTCTCATGCAACAGTTGTCGTCGACTGGTGCTTGGGAGGCCCCACTTTCAGCAAAAACACAATTGATGTAGGTTTATACAATTTTGTATACTTCTCTACCCCTTCTCATTCGAGTGTTAATGTAAACTTCTTTTTTCGATAATACATTCCAACAGCAGAGCGAGAAAGCCGCAACCACGACACAAACAATGTTTAGTTTTAAGAGTAAAGGTCCTGTAAAACCAACTCGTAATATAGTTAGAAATCGATAATACATTCCATTTTAAATCTCTATTATACAAATTATACCACATTTAGGATGGTGGCAGTATGATGAACGCACGAGCAAGGAATTAGAAGCGTCTTACAAAAGAGGTGAAAAAAATGTAGAGCTTCTAATTGCTGGCTTCCTATACATCATAGATTTCGAGAACATGATCCAGTTGAGAAGAAATGATCCCTCAAGAAGGAGACTGATCAAAAGGGATTTAGCAACTATTCCGAAAAAAGGTTAATAAGAGTGCTCACATTTAAAGATTTTATCCAAATTCAAAATATTTGTAGGTATTGCAGGTCTTCGTACAGATTTACCACATTCAGTGCACACAGATTCCGAAGCTTCTGGAGTCCGTACCACCATTGAGGGCAGGGCAGATAATCTAACACCAATAACACCATCAAACACTCCCCAGAGCCCTACGAGCGGAAGAGATTCTCCTAACCCAGTTGAAAATTTGCAAGTGACGGTGGAGCGTATTTCAAATTTACGATTAGACTCCTACATGGATAATAACACAGTGGGTGAAGGTTCAAGTTCTTTCAATTTGAATAATTCTAATGGTCGAGAACGCAATGAATCTAATTTTGATATGGAGCAATCGAGATAAATTATTAGAAGAAACACTTCTACATATTGATCAGAACAAATATTTTGCTCTCTGTAAGTTACTTTATTTTTCTATGGATTAGTCAAAAAATGTCCATATGTCAATGTATTTCAAATGTGTACCAATTCAAAATATTTGTGAGCTTCGTTAATTGTTATTAGGTTATTTCTAAAAAATAAATTCTTCGTAACCTAAACGTATGGACTACTTACTATCGATGTGAAGAAAATGAGCAGCAGCACACAAGAGGTTTGAAGAAGGATAAAAGAAAAAAAATGATTTACTGGTAATACTGTAATATTTGTAAAGTTGTAACATACTATATAAAATAAATAAAAAGAAAAGAAACAATTCATGCAATTATGCACTAGTGGGAAAATATCGGTGTATGAAAATTTAAAAACCAGCTTTTAATACAATGACAATGCAAAGTTCGTTTGGTTTAAGCTTGTACATCTGCAGAGTAGCACCTTTGGTAGGAACCCTATTCATAAGAAAAAAATCAGTTTTCATACACACCCAACATGTTTAAAACATTGCAATTGAATTCTTTAAAATTTTCTTTGGCATACCATTTCTGGAGATAAATTTTCATACACCCAATCTGTTTATGGTGTTTCCTTTAAAAGGAACGAGTGTTTAATGAGCAAACCAGTCAACAATAACTGTTATAAGAAACACCACATTAAAAATAAAATAAATCTAAAAATTTCCATAATTTTTGGGCATTTGAGGTATACAAAACATTCAAGAAATAATGGATTGCGATTAACCTTAATATTATGTAAAGTTAAAGTTAGACACTATCACAAACCTGGCTTGGTAACCAAAACAAAATGATAAAATAATTTTTTGGTTATTTTGGTAGCGGAAAATATAAAGATCAAACCAAATAGCAAAAATCAATACACCATCTCTTTTTTGACAGAATGGTTGCCACTGAGGTATACACTGTGATGTAAAAGCACAATAATTATAAATAATTTTATAAGATAACAAAAAATATTTTTTTGCGATTTAATTCAAAAAGTTTTCACACATACAAAAGTTTTACTTTTTGCACGAAAAATACTTTGATATTACATTGATTGATTGAGTGTGATCTAAAGAACATTTTTTCTTGCAATTTGAGTGTGTATACCTTTAACGAACAATCAAGTATTCCTTATATTTTGGAGTTTAATACTGACATTTCTTTTACTTTAATTCTGATCAATTTAAATCTCATTATCTGCAAGTGAGAATCTCGGTAATTATTTTGATTTAAAATGTCAATAGTTTGTGCTAAAGCTGATAATTTTAATACGATCAACAAACAGTAATGTGCGCCATGTGCATGTTGCACAAAGCATTAAATTTTTTGGCACTAGTTACACAAATAAAAAAACAACCACAAAGAGGATGAAATTATTTACCTGAATGGCAATAAGTGTTTCCTAAATTATATTAAATTCATGTGACCCTGTATTTAAAAACTTTGTCCTAGCCCAAATTTTAAATAGTTTAATGTTAACTTTACAACTTATAGCTATTAGGTATATGGAAGGCGTGTCTATGTTGCGCATGAGCTTCTGCAAATCAGTTTGAAATGTGCTTTCAATCGATAAGGATTTGCAATTGGAACCCGATAGGTTTTAGTTAACTATGCCAAAATTTTCGCAAAATATGCCCCGATTCTAATAAATTTAAACCGTGAGTTGAGATCATTATTTAAAAAATAAGAGCACAAAATGCAAATTGCACTGAATGGCCACTATATTGTCTAATAGCTATATGGTTTTCACTGTCTGATATGGTCCAGCATCTTTAGGAACATTAGTGGATGCTTAACAAAATAAATATTAATTAAGGAAATATCAATATTTTTCAGGCAACCAGCGCTATGAAAGTCTTGCATATTTCAAATTTGCCAGAGCCACATTGTGAAGAAATCATCTTTTTACTCATACCAACCAATATGATCATTTTCTTAAATAAACAAAAAGCTTTTATTTAAAGCTTTCAATAAAATTCCAAATTGTTAATGCATACAATCCTTTGATTTTTCTTTGGCTTCTTGAATCCCAAAAATTATCTTGCACTAAAAATCTTATAAGATTCAACAAAAATAAAATTTTTCTGTGTTTATGTTAATCATAAATAACAAAGAAAGTTCTTCCTATTTAAAATAAATCGACTAGTGTTTAACGACCATTGATTTGTGGTCCATGCTTATTCTTCCACAGCCACCCTAATGCTTTGTTCATGTTGAAAAGCATCCAAGGTAGGAAGCTGGCACCCTTGAAAACCCTTCCACACATAAATTTCAGGTAATCAGTAAACTGCATTAAGGAAAATAGTTTGCATATGTCCACTATTATAAGTCTTAATATATGTTTTGTAAACAAAAAGGATATTAAATAGTCCATGGCGGATGTCCTTCATTTATGTATAATACATACATAAAACCATCTTTGCATTTACCCTTGATAGAATAGTAATAAGGCAGAAAATTGTGTAGTCTAAATCTAAAAATGTAAATTGCAGTCTACACAAATTTAAAATTGGTTATCGTTATAGTGCTGGACAATTTAAACTAGTTGATTTAAGGATGGTGCGAAAATCTCAAAAACAGGTCAAATGCTTACCTTCAACCACTTAAGTTAGAGACAATTAAAAACTACAAATAAATTAACCTAAATAAGGAGCATCTTTTATTTTTAAGGTTAACTGGATTGAAGGTAAGCATTTATTGTGGGATATACTGACCTTCTGCGGAACAAAAAAAGCTGTACCATATAATTAGGGTAGAGAAATAACTTACTTTCTTTGTTCATAAAACATAATGGCAGCTGAATTCGTTGTCAACACATGTAAAAATACAGCCTTTACTTTTTTCCTTTCAGGGGTTGTCACATTCTTTAACAGGGAATCTAACAGTAAGGTTGCAATTCCATTTCTACGATATTCTTTAAGGACACCCAATGATAATATATATGCAACTTCACAGTCTGAGAAACATTTGGCCAATATTCCAGCATCTTCGTCATTTAAACATGAATGTGATTTGATTTCTGCCACAATAAGGCCTATGATTTGGTGTCTGTAAATTGCCGCTAAAGAATAAAATCGGCTAAAATTGTACAATCTAATTATGATGAAAACCAAGTTTTTAATAATTTGTAACACCTGTTACTTGAAGTGATCTCTTCATACCAATAGAAAGGATATTCTATAGGAAACCAGTCTTGACACAGAGCCCGCACTTCGTCTAGGTCTTCTGGACATAAGAATCTGAGCTGGACATCAGCCAATGAGCATAGATGTATAGTTTTTTCGCTCATCATCGAAAATCCGCTCAAACATTTTCCATTCGATTGGTACCTATAAATAATTAGAGGAAACAAAACTGGAGCTACATTTATTCTGGTTAACGAAACTAAGTTCACTAACCAACTTATTTCAGCCATCGAATTCTAAGAGTATATCACTTATCACAGTATTCTGCTTTTCATTTTCATAAAATTTTGATTAAATGTCAAACTAGATATTTGCTGAAATTATTTCTTTCTTTTCATATTATTGACCAATTAAAGCTCACTTTACAAGGTGTTGACAATTGACATTAAAATAAAGAGAGATGGATAATATAAATAGGCTAGACAAGGTATTTCTTCTTCTTTAATCTCATTCTTCAACTTGCTTAGGGCCACATTACTAGAAACTTAATGCTGGTGTTAAACTTTTAACACCACGATTAATACATTCAATTTCAAATTAGAGACATTTTTTATTCTTTTTCTGCGAAGAAAGATGAAGAAAAAAAGTAATAATAGCAGTTGATACTAACAACCTTCTAATTGAGCGGTAGAATAGTTTCGGTAACGTTAGCCAGAAGATCCAAGAAGAAGTTTTTTAGTGACGCCATTTGCTTTGAGTAGAGGCGGACGAAATTTTATAATAATTTACCCAAAATAAGCAGGTGTCATAATCCACACTTGTAGCATATTCCTGAGCCAGCCAGATAGCGAAATAAAAAGGTAAGGTCTGCAAGTTCGTGTCAGATAAGTGCTCAAGTAACAGTTCTTTCCATCTTCTAAGATTGTGTTTGCGTTTATGCATACCGTTGAAGTACACCGATTATTCTTAAGTATAGTTCGATTTTGAAGTACGCGAAAGACTTCCAGTAGTTTGTGTTGTGAGTAACCGACGAATATCGAAGTTTAAAGTATAAAAGAGTTTTGTACCTAACCCCCTATCGGAAAAAAATGTATAACGGCGAGAACAGGCGACACGCAATTTTCTCAAAGTGTTTTTATGGTTACAATGGAGTTTGCAGCTTACGGAAGGTAAGATTGAAAAGCAACGGTCCCATGAATGAAACAACTCCAAGTGTTTTTATTTCGACTTTACTCCTATACTTTCAATGACATGGACTTTGTTAACTTACAGCTCTGAGCACAGGCTTTATTAAACCAGGCTGCCGTTCTGTTCAATTTATTACCACAAAAAGAATTTGCAATACAGTTTCTTTATATAAATTTATAAGCTAAATTATTTTTGATACACAAACTCTATACCAAGATTATATTGAAAAGAATCGTAAGTAATAACGACATTTGTACAAAGAGGTTGAACCACCATTAGGCTCGGTCTAGCTAAATATTATTGGCTTAAATCTACTGGAGATTTAAAAAATAATCTCAACTATTTACTGTGTAAAATCTGAGGGGTATGTCACTTAATAAAACCTAAATAATGTTAATATTACATTCTTACCACACCCTTGCGCAATTAAAACTTTTAATTTTAATAATGTACCTAATTCAATATAATAATTGTCTTAGTTGGTAAAACTTTTTTTAGGTAATATTTTTAGTTATTTTGTATGCGGATTTATTATTTAAATGTGGTAAGTTTATTTTGCATGTATATAATTAGAAAAATTTAGTTCCATGCAAAATATCGGGTTGTAAAATTTATTCATTCATAAAATTACTTTTTTAATAACTTGCAACAAACCTTAAATTTTGCGGTCCTTTTTCATGTAACCAATATATGGGGTTTTTAGGCATAAAATATATCCCCTCATTATATTTATTTAAAAGTCTTTGAAGTATATTTCGGAATGGTTGTTTTTTTGCTTGTTATATCACTGTGGTGAAGTCCATTTTTGGGTGTGGGTCCTTACCCATCCAAAGCAGCATTGGGCTATTTCCAGAGAACTTGACCAATGCACGAAAAAGAAGAGCCAGAAAATTTATACAGTTATATTCTATAAGTTTATTAAGTATTGCTTTGAATTGACTGTGATTATAAATAGGAGTGGTAAACTTTCCGAGAGGTAGTAATGTTCTCGGGTAAACTCCAACCTGGTTTTACAAAAAGCAAATCTACGCAAACAGCAAGCTATATATGTTTGTTGGATATTTTTAGAATATTCAAAAGGGGGAATTGCCTCTTCGCATGGTGTTGTATTTATCTAAGCCTGTCATAACTATCTAAATACCTATTCAAAAATGCAAATGTTAAAAATTTTTGTATAGGTTCTTTTAAAATTTAAGAAATACAGTTAGGAACCAAAGTTTAGAACAATAAATTATTCACTAGTACGTTGTTAACAACTACACTAGAAATAGAAGATAAAAAATAAAATGCAAAAATAAACATATCAAATTTATTAAAATATAAATTAAAAACGTAATTTACTTTAAAATTAAACTCCATCTGTTCCATCTGTTATTCGGACCAAAATAACAACTACCTACAGTTACTAAGAACTAAAACTGTCTATTATTAAAACTATACTATTAACTATTATTATTTATATCGCTCAAGTAATTAGAAAAAAAAATATCTATAATATTTCACAACCCATTTGGCATCTTGTGCTTCTCTATTGGCCAGGGCGCTGTATGATGGATATGGACGCGACAAGCCCTCAAACTTGTAGCACAAAACAGGAACTCTTTATTCTCCTTAAATTTACAAAACGTTAACCCTCGGATCTGTTCGAAAAGACTATCTCTATCACACACATTGGATCACGATGGATGCTTACTCATCAACAACTCTTTACGTTTCGACGCGTAGAACTTGTTTGAAACACACAGTAAAAAGCCGCTAATGATCCAGAAGACGAATTAATATGATCAAGAAATATCTCGCCTACCCTTCCCTTGTCAATAAGTATTAAACTCGATAAAAGCTTTATTGGGGCATGGTAAGTCACAAGGCAGTACGACATACTTATCTTACAACATGACAACCAAATTTGTATAAAGAGCCCTGTAAAAGAAGATTTCTGGAAGCACCTGTTCGAAACCCTTTCAAATCCTTTTTCAGTGTATTTAATTTTAAAAGACTCAAGTATTCAATAACAAAGTTAAAGGATGAGTTTCCAGTTAAGTGTGTTTTTAACACATTAACATTAATACACAATAGTCTGTATAAACTTGTACCTGTCCTAATTTTTTTTTGTAATTTTGAATTTGCAAGTATCAAATGTTTTCGTATCAAAAGACAATGACAAAAGTGAATTTTCAAAAAGGTTAGGTAATAAATCTGTGGATATAACTGTACAAACAACCCTTAGAAATAAATAAAAAATTGTACTTGTGCGAAACATTCCAATATCCAGGTAGTATGAAGGCGGTTGACATGTCAACTCAAGGGGTTTAGCTTAGCGAATTACAAATTGTTTAAAAAAATATTAAAATTTCACCAATTACGCTTGATGCACTTCGTGGATGTTGACATCTGGTACCAGTACTTCCATTTCATGAAAGCCTCCTCGAATTGTTTGCAATTTTCAAGTTAATCAAATGCAATTTTGCCTATTCGAGGAGTGACCTACCCCTTGGTAAAATCCAAATACATTATGGGACAATATCTATTCCTATCTATTCCTTTGAATGCGAAAAGAACAACAGCCTGGAGTGAAATTTTCACAATATTAGATCGCGCTTAGTAACTCGTTGTTCTCGGCAGAGTTCATGCCCGATATGGATTCTGGAGATTCTTCTTCGAGTAGTGAAAGTGAAAATAAGAGCCCCAGTCACACGTGGTCTCGATCGAGATCTAGCATAAATTCTCAACCGAAAAGTAGAGGTTCCAACGCTAGCAGATCTAGATCGAACAGTCCACTCAGTAGCTCCGCATCCCCAGAAATTGCGCGTAATCAAGCTGCATCTTCTAAATCTCCGGACACTAGGTCGGTTCGCAGTAGGTATGAAAATTTGTTACACTCTTTTATACATATATGCTATTCCTTAAACACTTTTTCAAAGCCGGATTGCTAACTTTTTAGATCAAGTTCATCAGAGGGTTCGATGTCTCCTCACAGGTCGCCCGCAGCACAAGAAACTAATAATTCGCCGAAACAGACCCTAGGTGTTCAACGACAGAGCCCTGACATAAGCCCCTTGAAAGATCAATCTATTAAATCCCATAGTAATTCACCAGGCAATCAAACGTCATCCCCAAAGAAATTTGCAGATTCTGACAGTGACGATAACCAATCTATAAAGTCAGGCAGCAGTAGTTCTAAAAAGTCTCAGAGTAGCAGAAGCTCTAGGAGATCTCAAAGTAGAAGTTCAAGTCGATCAAGTTCCAGAGGTTCCAGGAAGTCCAGGAAAAAATCAGAAGATGGAAGCACGTCTGATTCAAGTATTAGCAGTGTGGATTCTTCTTCTAGAAAGAACAAAAATATTACGAAACCGAGTGACACCCAAGCTGAAGATGTCTCTGAAGGTGACATGGAATCAGAAAATGAAAAAGAAGAACCAGAGTTAAAGAAAGATGATTTAACACATAGACCAGAACTTAATATCTCTCATGAGGATTTATCTGATGTCTCTGACTTGGAAGATTCTCTGGGTGGTAATACTGAAGATGAAAAAGAAGAGAAAACAGCAAATGAAATAGATGGTGGACAACAAAAGGCTCCAGATAAGGGCGACGTTCTGAAGAGGGAAAGTTCCGAAAAGAAAATGTCACATTTAACAGGAAACGACACAAGTAGACAAGAGGAAGGAGAAGAGCCATTAGACTTTGAAGCAGAGGATGGCGAATGTACAGAATTAGATCCAAAAGAAAAGGATAAAAATGACGACAGAGATAATGAAAAGAAGGAAGGAGGGTCTAAGAAGCCTGATAAAGCAAAAGAGGATTTGGAGGAAGGAGAAGTGACAGATGAAGATGATGTAAGGCCAGAAGAAACGGAACCGCGACCAGTATGTCGGTTCTTTTCGCGAGGGCAGTGCACTTGGGGCGCCAGTTGCAGGTTCCTTCACCCCGGAGTTACTGACAAAGGTGCGCTTTTGAGCTTTATGAAATTTAGGTGTTTGTACATTAAAACATCCTTTTAGGAAATTATACCATGTTTGAAATGATAAGGCCTATGGTACCAGGCGAATTTGGTGTCGGAAGAATGATGGACGAACGACTTTATGGAAAAGTTGAACCCCCCGTTGTGGAATCTGCTTGGGAAAGGGGCCTTAGGACAGCAAAAGAAATGTTGAGAAAATCCATGAAGCGTAAAGAGCAAGACATAGATTTTGAGGAAAAAAAGATGAATTTAAGTATCGCACAAGAAGAATTTGACAAGGAGAACGGCTACTATGGAAGAATTCCATCGCCAGAGCCGAGATACGTTCGACATATTCCGGATTATCCGGTCGCCAGGCCGCCAGCTGAGGAGTATTATGGTAGGCGACAAGTGCATTATGAACCTGAATATGCGCCTCCACTGAGGAGGGAACACCCGCGGCCCTATAGGGAGCCGCCTGTGCACAGAGGTCCGCCGCCTGAATATTATAATCCTAAATATGAGGAAGAACCCGCCCCGGCCCCAGTTCATGTAGCTACAACTGCTAGACGCAAAACAAAAAGGGAAGTTATCGGTAAGTGCCAGGTTACAATTAAATCGCGGTTATGGTATGTGTTTGTTTAGAACATGAAGCTTATGAATTTCTTACTCTGTCCTCGCACACTACGTGAACATTAAAATATATTAGGAATATATCGACTCTAAAAACTGTATTCTTTACTTTACATTGTGTAATTGTAGGTTAGGTTAGGGTAGGGATCATAATCTTCAAAAAAAATTTGATGAAAATAATGCTATATTATTTTGGATATAGTTTTTATATAACACCATAATACTGGGTAATTCTTTTATTACTTTCGAAAAATCGATAAAATCGGATTTTTCGAAAGTATACGCTCCAGTAATTTTTTTAGATTTCGGAAACGGTGGGTCCTACAGAACCGCCATTGGTACAAATCGAATCAGCATCGAAAAAATAACTTTTTTTCTCTTTGTCGCGGGTTTTAATTCAATAACTCTCGAGTCGTTTGAACTAGATGGCTCAATTTTTGATCCTTTTTTTACTGTCCACTAGGTGCACAAGATATCTGAAAATGGCGACGATCGGAGATTTCGGCCATCTTTTTCTTTCGATTTTCGACTGATTTTTTACATTGCTATGAAACGCGATAAATATCCGAAAGTTGAAGCTATCGACTTCATTTTTGGCCTACATGTGAAGCTTGGTTCCCTGACGGAGGCCATTGAAATTGGGGGGCTTGGGGTCGGGAAGTATTTAAAAAAAAAAAAATGCGTTTGCAAGAGTCTAAGAAAAAAATATGATTTCTCGAAAACGCTTTACGCCACCGAAAAAAATCCTATACGAGGAGATGCAGAAGCTTTGGCTCCATAGAATTTTATTCCTGAAAATTTTTAAAAAAGGTACAAGGTACGCCGCAAATTCAAAAAAACTGAAAAATTGGATCTAACTGAAAAATTGTGCGTCTGATGTCAGTTCATTTTCCATGGCGATATAGCCCGCGTAAACAGTTAAAATTTTTATATTTAAGGTTTTCACATGTTGTACAGGGTGTTCAAGATATTGGTATATTCAAAAAATAACAGGTGAATTAAATTTGCAGCTATCGATTTGGCAGAACGGTAGAAATCCGCACCCGCATTTCATCTGTTGCAAAAGGACTTACTCAAATCTCGCAAAGTATTTAAAAGAAATTTTTTTTTGTATATTTTGACTTCCAGAAAAAAAATATTTTCTCGAAAACTGTTAACCCGACCGGCAAAATTTGTGAACCAGGAAATGCGGAAGATCCGAGACTATAACTTTTATTTCGGGCATTTTTTCCATTATATACAAGGTTTTTCAATTATAGACAAAAAAAATAACAGATCCTGGAAATCGTTCTTTTCGATATTAAATTGGTTTAACGAGTATTATGGGCCACAGCGAAAGCTACAATTTTTGTATTTACGGTGTTCGTCGATCACATACGCTGTTCGAGACATTTAAAAAAATCCAAACGAAAATCACAATTTCTCGCCCTCAATCTATATTATTGTCACGTACTGCATGCTTTCAGAAAACAAGTATTGTCTAGAAAACCATGTCGTTTATGACCAAAAAATTCTAAAACATCCAAAAATTATTGGGGATTAATGAAAAACTGCTAATGATGCGATAATTTGATTTGAACAGTATCGTAAACTGTGTCGAGAGAGAGAGATTCAGGTTTCCTCAATTATACAGGGCGCGCGAGATATTTGCAAAAAAAAATTGTAATAATTTAAATATTTAATAAAGTTTGCCGTAAATTTGAAGTTCGGCGAGACTTGAAAGACACTTTATACAGGGTATGTGCACAATAAAATTACATCGATTTTGCGAAAGTTCCATAGTGGTCTCCAGGAACCTGATAGAAAAACAATGTCTCTTTCTATTACAAGAAAAGAAAAATTACTCCAAAATACTGTACTTAACTGGAACCCATAACAATGAAATTGATGAAGATTAGATAGAGTTTGTTAAATTTGATCAAGGAAACTTCAAAAATTTTGCACGAATTGGTATCTCGATTTACCCTTTCAGAACAGCTATAGGCAATAAAATTTTTCGCACCATAAATTAAAAATACTTTTAAAATAGATGGGTTCAAGCAAATTTCTGCTTTTCTTTTTTTGTTGGTCAGACATAATATCAAGGGGTAAACTTTGTGAACAGCGAGTGTTCCCTAGGCAGTACTGGGGGTTGCTTTTATTTTTCTCTAAAGATAGTACTAAGTATTTACGTTATAGTCCAAAGGGCTCCGGAGGAAAGACAGAGTAACCGAGGCGACGAATGGTCAGATCCATGGATGAGGTCGAAATCGCCAAGCCGTCGAAGAAACAGGAAAAGGTCGTACAGTTCTGGATCTAGTTCGTATTCTAGCAGGTAAAACCGGTGTATTTCGGCCGCGTGAGTGTTAGTTTGACATTTTTCAGTTCTTCCCGAAGCAGTACCGGGACTTCCAAGAGTTCGTACAGGTCCCGTTCTAGATCGTTACATCGCGGTCGCGGGTCGAGACCACGTCGCGGTAGGGCTGTGTCCCCCTCGGTCATAGTTTCCGAGAGGAAAGCGGCAAATGAACGGGCCGCTTTGATGAATCCTCCAGCCCCTAAACGAAGAATACCATCGCCAGGTAATTTTTTTGGGAACTTAGGTGTTGAGCTATTTTTTTCAGTTTACGGACGGTAGCTCTGTGTTGCCAGCTGATCGGGTTCGGGTGGTGAGCTGTTGGCGAGAAAGTGAATGTTGTGAAAAGTGTAACTTACACTGGCGGGCAAAAAAAATAGGTCACTCAAGAAATTGCAAATTTTTTGGTTAGTTTTGGTTAGATACCTTATGTTCTGATCGATATTCCTCCATTCCGGCATAAACAACTCTATTAGCTCTTGGGCACTTCTTGGAGCCATTGTATGCCTTCGACTATGTCGTCCTATATTATTCCACACATGTTCGATGGGATTCATATATGGACTGAGTGCTGGCCAATGAAACCCGCCTAATTTCCACCTCATCCAGACTGACAATTCTGGCGGTGTGGAGTCTAGCATTATCGTGCATAAAAATGCTATCTTCGTCTATAGTGAACATGTGACCTGTCAGAGAGTCGTTCTGAATAAAGACCAACTCTGTGCGTGCGAACTGATTCCCGCCCAAATCATAACCAAACCGCCACCATTTGGAAGTCTTTCATCAATACAACCTGGGGCATATCATTCTCCGCGTCTCCTCCATACTCTCCGACGTCCATCTGACCCAGTGGGGCAAAAACGGGATTCATCGGAAAACAGTACATTGCTCCATTGATAAACATTCCAGTCTAAGTTAATTTTGCTATTCGATGCTTTTTTCTTCTAATATTAAAATTTCTAAACTCTTGAAATTGATTTCGAAACAATAGAAGCTGTCCTATTCCGCAAACTTGCGGACACCAAAAATCGATCATCCCTTTGGTTGGTGATCCTTCTTCGACCAGATCCTGATCTTTTGCTGATCAAGCCCGTCTCCTCGTAGCGTTGATATACATTTTGTACAGCACATAGACTCCTACAAACAATTCTTACAGTTTGCCGTTTTTCTCGACCATCTTGTATTAATGCTACAATTGTAGCCACAATAGAGTCTAAAGGCATTATGACCAGTTAAATTCACCTCAGATCTAAAATACGCCAATGTAAACCTGAATTCTGAAAAAACTGAAATATTAACTTTTGAAACATTCAAAATTACTTCTTGTACCTCAAGGGTGATCAGGGGTTAATACAAATTGCCGAAAATGAAAGTTTTTTGGGAGTCCAACTAGATTAACCCTAAAAACAATTGAAAGACTCATAAAAAGTTAAGCAGCACTTGTGATGTAATTCGAGTGTTGAGAGATAACTGTCTCATGAAACTATAAGAACTTTATAATGGAAGTATGTTATTGCATAGAAACATATATTTTAAAATTTTAGAAAATTTTCTTTAATACTAATTTTGTTCTACTAAAAAATATTGTTATTGTAATATATCGTAGAATTAAAAAAAAAAGGTGTTTCATCAGTATTTTGCGTTTGGTTTGTGTGTCAAGACTCAAACTTAATTAAAAAATACACTACCGAATTCGGGATTCTCCGTTGTTTTCTGTTTTTCACAGTATCTTAAAAACAAAACACTGTAGGACTGTTAAACTGTAGAAAAAAAATTGAGTACGCCACGGAGTTCAGGATTTTAGGGCCTAGACAGTTATCCTCGGAATAGCGCATGCGGAATTCGTAATATATGCAAAAAATATAGTTTGTGAACGTCAATTTTGCTTTTTTTCTGTATTGTATTTGTATTTTTTGTAACAAAATAAATAAAAGCCTGAATAATCCACGGGATTCTAAATAAATAGATCCATAAAATTCTGTTTTCAAGATTATGTGAAATGGCAAACAAAAAACCAGGGACTATTTTGAAAACGGCATCTTTTGTTTAACGAAAAAAGGTATTGTTAAAATTGTTTTAAAAATTCCCAATTATTTCAAAGGAGCTATAGTTTATATGAAAATTCGAGCATTGATAATAGAAACAGGAAATTCGCGAAATCCAGCTCATAGCTCCAATTTTTTCGAGAAGGGGCTCATTACTGTAGTTCGGATTTTTATGCACAGAAAACGCTTAAAATATGCGTATAAATATGACAAATATATGCTTTTTTCTACCATCTATGTACTTTTATGCCCTTTATTTTTTACATATATTGTTTACTAAAATTTAAGGAAAGAACAGTTAAACAACGAAAAAAATTACAGTATTATATTTACAGTTTAGCTAATAATAAATTAGTGATTTATATCTTTATACTTATACCAAACCTATATTAAAGTATTTTGGTAAAAAGTATTTCGTTTTACAATCAGACCTATTATTATTATTGTACCAATTGACAATTAAATGCCGTTCTCAATTTTCTATGGTTAATTTTTGTCTTTTATCGCTTAATGTGCTTTTGTACTTGGAGAACGTCCTTTCGACGTCGACCGAAGTAATTGGCGCGAATTTAAATAATACAAGGTGTTCTGGTAATGATAAAATTTCTGAAATTTTTAGTAACTTTTGAAACCCTTCATTTTTTGTTGTTGCACTATTAAATTTATCAAGAATAATTTTCCCTATTCTGCTTGGAACTTTTTTCAACAAATGTTCGCGCACTTCTACTATTGAAATTGACTTTAACAAAGGCATTTGTTCGGTCTCTAATTTTTTAATAAAGCCAACTTAAAAAAACTAAAATAAGCTTCGATCTATAAGTTCACATTTTTCATATAAATTTTTAGTTTTTTTAATTGAATCAGCTGGAAAGTCTCATAAAATGTTTTTTATTTGATTAAAGCGATTCGCGTGAAATAAGGCGACGTCTAACCACGTTCCCTATCGAGTAATTGCAAGTTGAGGAGCTAAAGCAACATTTGGCAATGTTTCTCTATAGACTTGAACTCGAAGAGATGCTTTAACATATATTTTTTTACTTTCGAAATTAAAGAATTAACTTATGGAAACTGACATCTAATTTTCTCCGCAACCCTATTTATTCCATGCGCTAAGCAAGTCACGTAGATCAAATTTTTATGTATATTTTTCAAATTTAACCGTGCTTTGGTCATATACGCTGCTGCGTCGATGACTAAGAGAAGTATTTTATCAGTTGATAGTATATCTGGAGCAAAAATTGCCGTTAAGCGTTCATTTACAAATCGAACAATCCCTATACTGTTAGTTTTTTCCAACTGTTTTGTACTTATTAAAAAACATTTTTATTCAAAACACCAACTAATAAATTCGCAACACAGCGACCATAAGCATCTGTTCTCTCGTCTACAATAATCTAAAGATGCTGATTTTTAATATGATTTCTTATGTCTTGAATTACATTTTTGTAAATGGAACTTACATAATTTTTTCTTAATGTACTTTCATGAGGTACATTTTTGTTGCAAAATGTTTAAATTTAGTATTCTGTGCTTTATTAAGGGGAATATTTGCACTTAACAGCACTTGACATAAGTGTAAATTAATAAAATTAATAAATAATAAATAAATTAAGTGTAATAAACTAATGAGTGGGTCAAAAATATACGATCTAATGCTCGAAAAATAGAAAATAATCACTTTATGTACAACAACTAAAAATATGTACTAAAGTTTCATTTTATGCGAAATATGTAATTTTTTTATATCGTTAATCTAATTGTTTCATTCTAAATATTGGGTTTATATTCCTAATAATAAAAAAGATGTTTTTTACATAAAATTGTAACTCTACCCATTAAAATGCTATAAAACAACCGGAAACAGTTTTATAGGTTTAATTTCGATTTTTAACGCTTTTAATTTGTCACTTTGATTGGATTGGATGGTTGGAAAATTTCTATGATTATGTTACCTCGCATTAGACAATAAAGAAAATAAATATATAAATATGGGATAACGTAGGCATGATGCGCGTGACCGGGGCGGCCAACCCACCCGCGCCTGCCACGGAGGACACATTTGGAAGCAGAAGGAGAAGTAAATTAGCGGTGGCCGCGGCTTTGACTCTAGTCAAAGGTCAAGTGCGTAAGCCTTCTAGATCCTCGTCGGGATCGTCTTCTGGCAGTTCAAGCGAATCGGACTCGTCCGAGTCCAGTAGTTCGTCTAGCAGGAGCGCATCGCCGTTACCCGGTGGCAAGAAAACTTCCGGTACAGCGAAACCGTGCCCTTCGGAATTATCGTTCTTAAAACTCTCCTCGATTTTTGCAGAAATAGTGAAGGCGATGGACGCGCTCAAGGGAGGGGCTTTGGAGAAGAACAAAATTAAACTGAACTTGAAGAATCCGGTCAGCGTTCGGAAGCCTGAGTCAGCAGAAACGCGGAAGTTGGAGCCGGTAGTGAAGAAGCGGCCGGCGAACTCTCCTCCGCCTAACGATCCAAAGTCCAAGAAGGCCACTTCCCGAAGGGAAGAGTTGTTGAAACAGTTGAAGGCCGTAGAAGATGCCATCGCCAAAAAGAGGTCCAAAGTGTGAAGGTGGTTCCTTTATAAGGGGTCGTTCGAGTTCCGAATGGGAAAAATACTGACATTTGTAATATTTCTCGAAGCAAACTTTGAATGTTTCGGTATGAAATAAGTTATAAAATTTTTTCATGTAGCTTTAGGAGAAAATTTCGATGTCATTCATTCTAGGATTAAACATGTTTTGTCTCGATTTTAGTTGTTATGATTTTTCCCTAACATGTGTCGAGTATTGTAAATATACAAGTTGAAACGTAGTTTTTTGAAAGTTTAATTAAAGTGCAAAAAAAATTGAGTCTAATAAACTAATGTCGATCAGGAAATAAGACAAAAAAGTGAACCTGCACAGGGAGTATTTTCCAATGAGTAATCAATTAAGTTTTTGAATTTACCTAATAGGCTGATTGATGGCATCTATTGCAATCTGTCGCGAAGTTAATAAACTCATAGAATATAGGGAGTAGTTCCTGTGATTTTAAAATGGATCAGTTTCGTAAGTAATGGGTATAAAAGCTCTATGTGGAGAAAATTGTGACTGCCAAGTCTTTCGGATTTCAAGAATAGCACTCAAGGTGTGTGACTGCCTCCTGCTTTTTATTATTAGATCCAAAGCAACCAGAATTGAATTTCACAATTCCATGGATGTCAACTGTTAATTAGCTGATGATACCGCAATGCAAAAAACTCATTTCCGTTTTTTTCATGGCGTGTTTGTGTGTAAGATTTAAATGGCCTCGCTTAATGTGAGTAAAATCATAGATGCCCTGTGCTAACTTTCAGTCAAACGTTAGTTGTCACAAACAAGCTGAACATCTTAATTATTTTTAGGGATGATAATAGTGCCTTAAACATTAGCCCGACATTCATGAATATTCCGTCTGCGCCTCCCTGTTTTCCACCAATAAAAAATATCCCTGATTTTTGTCCTCGAAAGATATTCTTTTTTTTCGTGTATGTTAAAATTCAATCAAATGTCAGTTGTCACAAACAAGCTGAACATTTTAATTTTTTTTGAGGATGATAATAATGCGTTAAACACTAGCCCGACATTCATGAATATTCCGCTCCCTCCTTGTTTTACAGCAATAAAAAATATCCCTGATTTTTGTCCTCGAAAAATATTCTTTTTTTCGTGTATGCTAACATTCAATCAAACGTCAGTTGTCACAAACAAGCTGAACATTTTTTTTTTCGGGATGATAATAATGTCTTAAATATTAGCCTGACATTCATGAATATTCCGTCTGCCTCCCTGTTTTCCAGCAATAAAAAATATTTCTGATTTTTGTCCTCGAAAAATATTCTTTTTTTCGTGTTTGCTAACATTCAATCAAACGTCAGTTGTCACAAACAAGCTGAACATTTTTTTTTTGAGGATGATAATTAAGTCTTAAACATTAGCCTGACATTCATGAATATTCCGTCTGCCTCCCTATTTTCCAGCAATAAAAAATACCCCTGATTTTTGTGGTCGAAAAATATCTCTTTTTTCGTGAAAAAAAAATATATGTATCATTCTGATTTGATGATCGAACCAGTAATCAATTCCATTCGGTGTAATAACCTACGACCAAAATATGTTGTTTTGTTTATGGAAATAATACAAACTTGATATCATCGTTAATTTCAGGATAGCGTTTTATTCGTCGTAAATCCAATAATAATAACATACAAAATTATCAAGATTTAACAAATTAAAAAAATACTTTATACATCAGAGGCACTTTATAAGTAATGAGCCATTACGTTATTGATTCGGGTCGCTCTTTTTTGAGTATTTATGGATATATAACCATAATTGAGAGCATCATAATACAAACGCAGGAATTTAACATTGCCGAACAACAATAAATCTCGCCGACTCGGAAACATTCCATTGCATAACGGAAAAAACAGACGGTCCAGTGTCCTGTTGTTTGTTTTGACCGGCATTATTTTGGTTTTCCCTCTCTTCGCACTTCGTTCATTGAAGGGTAATCACTTCTTCGCTTTCCTTGTCCTGCAATGACATCACCGTTGCGCGATTCAATGAACGCGAGTGAGACAGCGCTAGTTAGTCATCGAAAAGAACTTCGCCCGTGAAGTCGTAGCCGCTATTTTCACAACAGGCAACTGCGCTGCAGAGTGGTTAAAGTATCTATGAAAGGTCGTGAGCTGTGTTTGCGAGTGTGTTATATTTTCATTGCTTTGCAATGGATGCCCCATTAAGAGAGCAAGTTATGATAAACCAATTCGTTTTGGCTGCGGGATGTGCCAGGGAACAGGCGAAGCAGATTTTACAGTCGGCTCACTGGCAATTTGAGGTAATTAAAAATATCCGTCTGTTATTGTAAACAAACGTGTTGAAAATGGCGGACGTAGACGTCTGCTTCCCCTCTCCCGTGGCATATTATTGCGGAGTTGCCGTGTTTGGAGGTATTTGTTTATTTTTGTAAATGTGGATATTTTTAAATAAACTTGCTTGACGAAACTGGCGAAAGAGAATTTATTTTGTCTGATGAAACGTTTTTTCATACGGGTACTATTAGTACCGGCTGACACATTAGGTAATAACATTTTAAAACATCTTTCCTTTTTTATTATGCCAGCACCGTTAATTGTTTTCTTTTGATATTATTTGTCCATCATACAGGTATTTTATTGTCATTTGGCTATTAAATAGGTTTTTCGACAGAGTAGAAAATATTAGTGGATTGAAAAACATTATTTATTGGTTTTTCTATAGAGTTCTGCATTTATCACGTCACCGTCACGTAATTTTTGTCATGACTCGTGGAAAAAGCGTAGGATGGCAACACGTGCATAACTTTATCTTGCAGACATCGGTTTGTTAAACACTCGCTGCGCTCATGTTCAAGAAACTGATGGCTAAAGTTTCGTTTATACAACTTATTGCATAATTTATACCAATAACTTAAGTTAGTAGTTTAATATTGAAACCGCTGAAGGTTAATTTAAAATTGATAAAAAATTAAAAAGAGAGTTCTAAATATATATACTAGTCCAAAGGCAGATATAGAACAAAAAATATATTTGGCACCATCGTTTAGGTCTCCGGGGCAACAACCATAACAACCGGAAACAATAAGGGCCGCAAACCTGACGACCTTGAGCACTTCGACGGCAAAATTGAACAGTCGATAAAACATTAAGACGAAAATACAAAAGCGACGTTGCCGATCATTTGTCGTTATATCGGTTATTAGGGTCTTCACTCAGAGTGCTTGAAGTAGAGCAGACAGTTGTGATCCAGAAATATTTTACGGAATTTTTTGTGTCGGTTACTTTTCGTTTGAACTTTGGATTATATAAATATTAAAAGAAACATATTTAAGAAGCTAAAATGTTCGTAATGTGAAGGTAAGAATATATCGAGGAGTAATAATACCTACCTTTCGTTGTAATAATTTTTTTTTGGCATTAGACGATACTTGGTGGCGGACCAGCGGGTTGCGGATCTATTCCGTTTAGCGGTAATATGCGGCCCTGCTTTATGCATTGCGAACGTTAGTACAACATACAGGAAATCTTACGTCGGTAGAAAGTTTTCGCTGGGTGATAGCTGACTGGGAATATTTTTAACCCATGTGAGCATATATATTCTCACCGTTTTATTTTATTTCAAATAAAATTTTCTCAAAAACAGAACCACTTCATGGAATTCGAATTGTTTTGTCCATAACACAGCGGGGTAAAGTTTGTATCGACCAACGAACAATAATTATTTGTAGACACATTATTTTATCTGTAATTGGAACTAAAACAACCATAAATTTCATTTTCAAAACGGAGTCGTATATTTGGCTTGTAAATACAATACAATTCATTTTGTAATGCGTTACTTTGCTTCGTTTGTATTGCTTACAAGGGTGATTATAGTCGATTATACGACGATCCCATACATGAAAATGAAGCGAAGTTATATCTGGGGATCTCGCCAGTCATAATGTTTGAACAATTCGTTTTATTTAGCTGGCAAATATTTTGTTCTGAGTGACTCTTTAAGCAGTAGGTGATAGAATTTTTATTAAATTATTATTTACTGTAATTTTTGTGTCTACATTTTTTTTGCTGTTCGTGTATGGATAAAAAATTTACCATTCTAAAACAAAAGATTGCAAATATTTTTTAATAATTTGAATTTCCGCTCCCGTTTTAGAGATAATTTTATTCGCATTCGGCATTCTTTTGAAAAGGGCTAACCTTGATTACTAAAAAAAAATGTCGGAAAAATTAACGTAGCTAAGCTTAAGAAATGATAATTGTTAGCAAGCTTTTTTTGGGGGCACGCTAATTGTTGAAAGTGCCCTAATAGGATATTGTTGAGATTTATGAAGACTCTAAAATTGTGTTATTTTTGAATGGTTGTGTGTTGATCTGCATTTTTTTACGTATTATATTTTTCGTTAATTTTCTTTTAATAAAGTGCACTAAGATTTTTTAACTTTGTTGAATCCTTTTATTTTAAACAATAAAAACAACAGGTATATACAGTGATATAGGTCCAAAATAGTCCCAGGTCTCATACAGTGAAAACTACTTATCAATGTACCCAACATCCTGTATCCGTCATATTACGAAAATGTCCCTAACAATAAATTTGTTCATTATATGTGTAAATACAGTTACGCATCGATTTGCGTGTGGTATAAATATATTTTGTTTTCAGACTGCGTTAAGTATATTTTTTCAAGATGCCGCCTTACCCAATTGTCCACATGCAAATCACTTTGGCCAGGTTAGTAAAACCGTGTTGTAAGTTTTGCTTGTAATGTAGAAAATTGAATTATTTTGTTTCAACGTCAGAGCGAAAAGGTGCGTCCGGCAATTTGAAAAATGCTGTTCCAGGTAATGACTCCCTGCAACACACCCGCCACACCGCCAAACTTTCCAGACACATTATTGGCTTTTTCTAAGCTATCGGCAGGTAGTTCTCCTTCAGCAGGGCAAAACATATTGGCTGGGGGTCCCGGGCCACAACTTCAACCTGCCCAGCAACAACCACAGGCCCAGCCGCAACGATAATGTAGGTATCCAAAGTAGTTATCAAGAGGGAAAATTCAGTGGCTGTTTCAGCTGAATTGGACTATTTTTAATTGTATAAATTCTACCAATGACCCTCCAGTTTTTAGACAAATTTGTTGAAATTTTTTTTTTAGTTTTTTTATTAGCACCAATGACTTGGTGTAGTTTATTATCAGTTGGTTTCTGTTGTTGATCAATTGGAGAGTTTGTAAATTGTTGAAAGGATATTTGTAATTCATTTTGATTTGGCCTTTTCTGGGAGGAAATAGATTGGGTTGCAGGCAAAAAACAATGCAATATATTTTTTTTACACCAAATTCCTTGATCAGTAATATCCACGTTTTTATATGTGTGAAATTCGTCCAATGGCGTAATTTTATAACAAGTAATAGTCTGTGGCAAGATATATATCAATAAGGTAGAATTACTCATTGTTACCTGCTATAAATGATCATTGATATCACTAAGTGGAAAGAAAATTCTTCATTTGGTTTCCAAGCAACTCGTTATCTAAATAGTTTCAGTGTGCACTGAGTGGTTTTTCTCTTTTAATCAATTCTGTCATAATACATAATAAATTAATGATACATTTCGGGTCATAATGCTAGAAACCACTAGTGAACTATAGATCAACTATTTATCATTCTCTCTTCTCGATGTAATTAAAGATTAATCCTTATGATTACCACAAAAGTTTTTAATATATTTTTTCTCATTTCTGAGCAGTCTTAAGTTGATTTTCGACTGATTAATAGGGTTAATAGTACTTTGTGGCGGACACGTTGTTTTTGCCATTGCCTAGAATTCTGTATGGTTTATTTTTTCTTGCAAGCTTAAAGTATGTTTATTTATTTGTTTCTAAAGACAGGACAAGTTCCAATAGTTTAATGCTCAAACGAGGGGTGCAAAATCTCTTGTGATAATCTGGGGAATTATTTGAAAGTTATCTGTTATAAATAAACCTGTAACTTTTTGAAAGTAATAATTATTATAAGATGCATTACATTGGCTATTTTTTAGTCAAGCAAATAAAAACGGCAGAAACTTTTGTAAGGTGCTCACGCCTGGTCGAATTTTTGTATGTTCACAAGGAAAGAAACTTTATTTGTATATATTAGTTTTTAAGTATCAAAAGTTCAAGCTTTTAATCCTACTCTTTCTGTAATTCATAAAATAAAAGTTCCAAAATAATGTGCATTAATGTTTTTGTTACACGCCTAATTGGATTATTGTGTTAATTAGATCCCTTTACAAGTCATTTAGTTTGCACCGTACATATCCAAAAAACGAATTTTATTCCCAAAAGCATATTTCATTCTAATTTCCTTTGTTCCAATCTCCCTAGTGAAGTAATAGGTTGAAATAAAATGATGCTCCCTCTAATCACCGTCATATTCTATAAATCACATTTCTATACATAAAATTTTGATACAGGCTAATAATAATAGCTATGACACTAAGCGACGTATAAAAAACATCCAAATTCTTTCATTTTTGTCCGCACTCCCTATCCTTTAAATTATGTCATATAGTCGTTAAGCCCCTTTATACCGCCCCTCAATTTTAGGTTGGAGTTACACAAACATAATCAAAAAACTGACCGAGTTTTTCCGCTTTCCCGATATTACTTTTGGGCTTGAAACTTAAAATATTATGGAAATGGAGAGTTTAATCCAGGTTGATATTTTAAATTTGATATAAAGGGGCTTTTATGAATTTACCAGTTCTCATTTAAACCATAAGCACTATTATTATGAAGTATATATTTTGATTATTATTTCTAAAGAAAAATAAAAATCACTCTGGTAATGTACCATTGAAGTAATTTGACGCGTTCGGAAATCTCTCGGGGGTAAAGTCCTCGTTATCCCTCAGATTCGCTTGCACACTGTTCCGGAGCAAAGTTCTATAAGCGTTTTGGATATCTGTGGACGTTCCCGCAGCTACGGCCACGGTCTCCAATGGTGCCACTGTTGTCAACCCGGTAGTCGTGACCGCTTGACGAACGCTCTCTGTAAAAAATAATGCACTACTTACCCATCCAAAGTTGTTGGAAATTAATCTGTAATGATCTTAACTAAGGGTAAACCCATTAAGAAACTCAAATTTAAGAAAATGTTAATATCCTAAAGAATTAGAGAGAGCAACCTTAAAACTGAAAGCAATATTAGCACAGCTCAGAAATGAGAAATCTAATTTTCAATTTATAAATTTCTAAAACCTCAACCAAATTAAACTCACCGGTTATAACTTCTGAAAGATTCCCTGACGGTTTTGAGCTGCTAATCAGTTTCCTTCTTTTGCTGGGCATTCCTGATAAATAAGCATCGCTAAAAGGAGGTTGGGAATTTTGCCTTCTCTGTTTCTGGACGTCCCTCGTAATTATTGGAACCCAATCCTAAAAAACAAGTGCTCATAATGAACAATTCCCATTATTATGCTGTGAATGTTTACCTCTGGGGTTTGCCTGTGCCAAGGTTCAGACCCCCAAACTACGTTCGGTAAGGTTTCCACTTCTTCCACGGGAATTGATTCCCTTGTTTCAACTTCGTAATCCAGATCCATTGCCTTGAAAAAAATAAGAATAATAACACCAATAAGTAATAAACATAGTATCACCGCGCATTTTACCTCTACTCTGTCGGGACGCTGGTCTTCTGAAGTTACAACTGGAGAATCCCGCACTATGAACTGTTCTACATCTGAGGCAGGCACACTTAAGTTGTTTATTACGGTGCGTAATACAGTTCTACTATTCGAAATCGTCCAATTTCTCATATCCTCGGGGATGTCGGTCATAGTGCGTGTCTGACACAAAAATTCATTCCATCGGATTTACATTTTTATGAATATTGAAAATTTGTATTGAGTATTCAAGCACAACAATCGAATATTCAAATAAACGCGTCAAAAATCATTTTTCTAATACCAGAATTTTCTTGGTAATAAGTAGCTTAAAAACAAATGTAATTTCGGGTAGAAAGGATACTTTTTGTAAAAATTTTAGTAACCCAGCATCACTAAAATAACCTTGTTTCCTAGGGTACCCTTTGTTCTTAGGGTATTAAAATTAAGAAATTGTGCAATACTTTAAGATAAACAAAGTGATCACTGTCAATCACATCAATGTCAAGAAAGGCAAGAACAAAATGAACACTTATACAGATTTACTTACCATTAACTCATCAAAGACAGTCTCGACTCCTTGTTGTCCATTTGAACTACTGTTCAGGACAAGGCTGAGCAACTGTTTTGCTGCAGTCCACAATTGATTCACCAGCGGTTGGACATCGTCAGTAGTTAAATTTATCGCCAAAATTATCACTAACGGTATATGATGTCGCAAAAGCTTCTCTATAGAACTCGTCAAATTTATATTGTTACTCGTTTGAATAGATCCCTAGAAACTATTATTATACCTACAAGTTGTTATCAGATACGGGTACTTACGATAGAGTTAACGACACTTCTTAAGTCATTTACTACTCTCTCAGTGGCCCGCTCCACACCCTGTTCGCTGGTGTCATTTTGACAAACGTCTCTGACAAAGAACTCTTGAATTAAACTTCTGTTTCGGTTGAGGGGTGTCATGTTTCCGCTGTTAATCACTATCAAGTCACTAAAAGTCACATGCAATGAACATACTCTATGTTTTGAAATATATCATACGTCAGTCGCAAATTCCTGATTAGTAACATGACTAAATTCAAAATGAGACTGTCTTCTTGGGTATCAAAATCGTACTGGTGAAACACTTGTAATAATTGATCTAATGTCGGACTGACTCCTCCTAAAGAATCTGGTATGTTCTAAAACAAAATGATTATGTTAACTGCCCCCACAGGTTAATGGAAAATATTTACAGTTATTAAGGCAATAAGTAATCAAAATTTTGTTCAAAACAGAACAAATACTGATAATATGATAGTTGGAATTAAAACTCTATGCTACATTTGTTCCTTAATAATTAACAATTCATTATAATTTTATTGCTATATATTATAGTTTTAAAGTTTGAGTTTTTATCTATTCGCTTATTTATTGATTATTTTTGAAGTAAATCGGACTGAGGTGGCTTTTACTAGATGAAAATGCATTCAACTCAAATTAAATTAGAACAAAGAATGTTCAGTTTTCACAGTTGTTAATGCTTTATGACAACTGTTTCGGCCTTTATCAACTACAAAATATGTTCGGACAGCACAAGCACAGTGTTGCCGAGACGGCTGTCATAAAGCAATAAAAACTGTGAAAATCTGAACATTTTTTGTTCTAATTTAATTTGTATTTATGAAGTATTGCATAATTTTTACAAGTTACTTTTTTTGAACCTTTGACCATTTCATTCTACCCGCGTAAGCACAATTTTGCGAGTTTTGTTGATAACAACATAAGAACATCTTACAAAAAATTCAATTTTTTTGATAATTGAACTGTAATGTAGAAAGGAGCTGGAGTTTTGTAGAAGATGAAACAATATTAAATTCAAAACAATTATAAGTGGATCTACTGCAGGACATTTTTACTAGCCTAGGTTAATTAATTACAGTAAAAAGCCAAGTATTCATTAATTACATTGTAAGTTGCAAAGCTGGTTTGTCGGTAAGTTGCAAATATATTGCTAAAAGTGTGTTAGATAGGTTCAAAGATTAAGAAACAACGAATTCTTACATCAAAAACCATTATTGGGATAATTGAGGGTAACAGAGCACGAAGGTAACAGAGTACGAATTTTTTGAAATTAAAGATTGCAACTTGATGTACTTGTTTTGTTATGGCGAAGAAAACACTTACCCCACTTACTAAACCGCCCAATAATGACGTCACCACGTTTGGCAATGGCGGCGCCGCCGCAGCCGCTTCACCTTGCCCGGCTGCAGGGGTACCTGTTGGTGCCTGACTCTCTCGCTGCGCGCCATCTTCCGCACGGCCAGCGCCACCCGGTTCGGTGAAGAGGCGAACGACCTCTTCAGCTGCCCGATGGGCCGCCATCATTTCCAAAAAATCTTGGGTGCTACGCACAACGTCCTCCATCCTTGCCATTATGTTCTGAAGACCCGGTTGCTGTTGGGTATTCGCTCCGTTGGCGGCGGCCGCTTCCGGACGATTGGTCTGTTGAGTTTGCTGCGGGCCTGGAAAGAGATAAATGAATGATAATTATTACGCCAAATAGTAGTTCAAAATGTAAATTTTATTTCGTCTATAGAAAACTGTTTAAACTCCTATGTAGGTTTTGTTCCTTTCGCAATCTCGTCGATGCGCGAGGCAACTGTCTTCTTGTCTTAGAGACACACATTGTTTTTCTATCGTGTTCCTGCGGACCACAAAATCGTCCACCCTGTATAAGGGGTCTTTCATATCTCGCCGAACTTTAAAGGTACTGCAAACTTTGGTAAATATAAAAATTCATTCCAGTAGCAGCGATTTCCAATAATATTTTTTCAAATATCTCGCGCACCCTGTATGATGGATAAAAACCGTAAGTAGAACATTGTAGCTTTCGAGCCGTTTTTTATTTACGACCAATAATTTACCCAAAAAAATGAAAAAATTTCAGGACTTTCAGAATTTTTGCCCCAAAACAACAGGTCCTGTATATCATTTAAAAAATATTCGAAGTAGAGGTTATAGCTCTGAATCTCCCACGTTTTCTGGTCCATGAATTTTTGCAATGACATTAATGGTTTCCGAGAAAATAATTCATTTCTGAAACTATGCAGTGCGCCGTAATAGTAATTGACGTAATCGCGTGTTGAGTGGGAGAAATAGCGATTTTCATATGGATTTTTTCAAATTTCTCGTTTATGTGATAGATCAAAATCGTAAATACAAAAATTGTAGTGTCCTATAACACTGTTTAAACCTATTGTCCATATTTTTTATGAACTTTGATTTACTGCAAATGATTTACTCTGGAAAAACTTAATTTGTATCTGCTGTATGTAATCCAAAAAATTACTGAAATAAAAGTTATAGTTCCTGATCTTCCGCTTCTTAAGGTTCATAAATTTTGCTCATCGTGTTAATAGTTTTCGAGAAAATAATTTAACCCAAAAAGAATTTTCAATTAAATTTCAAAAAAATATATACTTTGCGAAATTCGATTGCGCACAAGTTTAGCAGTTTAAATGTGAGTGTAGATTTCTAATACCCTACCAAAGCTGCAAATTTAAGACACTTGTTATGCTTTTTAATATTGCACGGAATATCGGGAACGCGCTGTACAATAGTTGAAGGGCTTAAATAAAAAGTTTTAGTTGTCTATACGGACCATACCGTAGTGTGAAAGAAACTGACAACTGAATGGTATGGTCGATTATCCTTATAAGGGGATTCCAATTTTCAATTTTTAACAAATTGCCGACTCACCCCGTACATTATTAAAAAATCATCAAGAATAAAAGTTTTTGGTCCGAATCTCGCGCGTCTTCTAGTTCAAGATTTTTTTCGTCCGTATACACCGTTTTTGAGTGGTGTTTTTTTTCTCGAACCGCTACAAATGCGGTTTTTAAATTTTTAAAAATACTTCCCGACCTCCCCAGCTCCCCCACGTTGAATAGGCTTCGTTAAGGACCCGAGCTCCAAGCGTGTTAAATTTCAATTCGATAGCTTCAAATTTCGGACACGTATTTTGTATCATAGCAATATCCAAAAAACGGTGGAAAATTAAAAAAAAAAAAACATGGACGCCAAAGTCCGATTGAAGCCATTTTTTACAGGTTTATGTGTTTCATGGGCTACTTAAAAGGAGAACAGAAAATCTTGGAGTTGTTCAACAATACGAGAGATGATAAATTTAATGTTAAGTTTTTGACAACACATTTTCCCTTGTTTGCAGGAACTATAAAGCAACAAAAGTTATCCGGAATTTAATACATATTTCCAAAGGCAAAAAAAAAGGAGAGATCACAGTGACTATTTTTGTTAACTAAAAAGAACAAAATATTTTTTACTTTTTGAACGTTTTTTCATATTTTTTTTTATGCGGTTTTTGGCAATACAGTGAACTCCGTTTATAATATGGGAACATATACTTAATTTTTCGACGGATATTACGTACTTCTTCTACTGTTATTTTCACTATTGTTCTGGTTATAAAGTACGAGCGTATGCTAAAAAAAAACGGATTAGTGAGCGGTGGTTCCCCGAAAAAATCGGGGATTTTTCAGTAATCATTTGCGAAGTTTTCCACTGTATTGTTTCATGGAAAGGTGCGCTAGAACGATTTTTTGAGTTTATCGTTAAAATGACGGATCGGAGCAAGTCTTTAACTGTAAAAGAAAAGATAGAGATTATCAGAAGTATTGAGAGTGGCATTGGTAAGGCGGAAATTGCTAGACAAAAGAAATTGGCAAAAACAACAATATTTACAATTTGGAGTAATCTCGAAAAGATCAAGAAAGCCAGTGACTAAATCGCACAGGATTAAAAAACTAGAAATCCTTTACGTTCAGATGTAGATAAAGCTCTTTTACGATTTACGATATTGCAGTAAATGGTCCAGTTCTGAAATCGAAGGCCAAAGAATTAGCTAGGAGATTACAGGGTGAGGATTTTAGTTGTTCTACAGGTTGGTTTGACCACTTAAATTTAGAGGAGAAAAGTGTTTGGGCGGGAAGCAGTCAAAGTTGAGGTACACCTTTTGGGTTTGTGCAAATATGACAGGAAGCGAAAAATGCAAACTTCTTGTTATTGGTCAATATAAACGACCGAGATGCATGAAAAATGTGAAAAATCTACCTGTCATTTATAAGTCAAACCAGCGAGCGTAGATGACTTCAGCAATTTTTTATAATTATTTAAAGAATTGAGATGAAAAACTAAAACGTCAGAATAGAAAAATATTGCTTCTGAAGAATACCCTTTGACACCGATCAGAAAAGTAACTTTTGCAAAACTGCAACACACCAAAGCATTTCAGTTTAGCAAAGAGCAGGCGGTGGTCCAGCGTGTCAAGTGCCTTGCTATAATCAAGCAATATTAAGCAGATATTCAGGCCTACATCATTTGCCCGAAATATATCATCACAAACTTTTAATAGAGGCATATTTGTACCATAATGTGCTCTAAAGCCCGATTGCGTTGGGAGTAGAATATTAAACATCACTATCCTAGACTCCATAAAATTACTTGCATAATGTTGGAATCATGTTACTTCAACCACTATTTCAAGCTGCTTTCAACAAGCAGGTCTGATAAAATCGGAAGATGTTTGATTCAGATGATGACTTACCTCTGGTTCAGTGGTTCGAGAAGAACAAAAATAATTATGATGATGACTGGGAGGTTCCCCTAAGTAATTGGTTGCTCAATAGCGGCCAAGATCTAACCAACATTGAAATGTATCTTCCTGAGCTGGATAACTTCTCAACTGTTGATGATAATTTAAATAGACAAACAAAAATAACGAATCTTTCTACTCAAAAACAATAAAGTATGTGTTTTTACTTGTATGTTTATATATAGATAAGTTAGTTTCTTTCGTTTTTTAGTACCTATATTAGTATTTATTAGTTTTCTATTTTTATAATAAATGAAAATATGCACGTACTTACATTTTTTTTGTAGCATACTTCCCCTTATTTTCTGGTTCCTAGAGGGTACTTAACCGGAGTTCACTATAGTTGATTTATTTCTAAATAAATAGTCTATTAAAGACCAATACAGAAACAAACTGTTTCCTTCGGCGTGTAAAATAACCGGGCACTCAAAAAATAGCGATATTTAAGAAAGGCTACCAAAAAAAAAATCAATTTACCCGGATTAGTGTTCTGGGGTGGGGCGGTCTCTTGACGGTTTGGGTTGGGTCGCTGAGGCCAGCCCCCCCTCGACGGTCTCGTATGGTGAGAATAGCAAGGCAGGAAGGGATCGAATCCACCCTGGACCGTTTGCTGCGTCATGTGAATGTGCGGCCTTGTCGTCGACATAGTGTGGGTGGCCGTCGTTGGATGAGTTTGTGTATTGCCGCGGGCTTGCGAATTTTGTCCAGCTGTGGCGGCTTGAGATGGCTGGGAAGACGCGCCGGAGTCAGTGGTAGTGGTCTGAGGCTGCTGCTGCTGCTGAACTGGGCCATTACCGTGGAATAAACGCCCGCCCATTTGAGCATTAACCAACTGCATGATGGATTGTAAAAATTCTTGCGGAGGACCGTTTGCGTTTCCCCTCAGCCCTATTGACAAGGCAAAAGAAATTTTTATTTCCAATGACTTTTAACAAAGTATAGGAAAAGGTCAACAACAACACCAACATTGTTCAATTTGACGCCGGAAGAAATAATAAGAAAATGTAGGATCAAGAGGCAAGGCACATTGTTCCATAAAAGCCAAAATTGTCTAGCATACGCGGACGATGTCGCATTATTGGCAAGAAGTAGAACAGAGCTGGAAAATACCACCAACTTATAAGAACGGCAGAAACTTTTGGGCTCCAACTTAATCTGGATAAAACCAAATTTATGGAGATCATTGTGCTTCGCGATACAGTGAACAGCGGTAAACCGCGATACAATGAACTGCGGCACACGTCGTGAAATACATAACGCTATCAGGTTCAGTGCGGAGTAGTACTTTTAATTGTAAGCTTTTACACGGCAAATATGCCGTAAAAAAGGAAGTGTTTGAATTTAAAACAAAAAGGGGAATTCCTAGAATCCTTGAGTAAAGGTGATTGTGTGACTACTTGCTAAAAAATATGGAATAACCAAGTATGAGCAATAAAAAAGAAAAGGGCGCCGATACTAAAGAGATTATCACAACCATTTAGATGTTCAGAAAAAATAAAAACGTTAAAAGTGTCCAGCTATTCCAACATGGAAAGATATTTATAGAAATAGTTTCTAAATTTAAGAGAAATAAATATACCGGCGAGTGGGCTGATGCTTCAGCTAAAGGCGAAGGTTTTACAAAAAGCAATTGATGTAAATTCATCATCTAATGCTAGCAATGGTTGGCTAAACAGTTTCAAAAAAGGTTTAGGCATACGACTACTCCAAATAAGTGGAGAGAAACTGTCGTCCCAGCCTGAATTAGTCAATCCATTTAAAGAAACTTTGAGAAGCACTATTGAAAGGCTGGATCTGACGTTAGAACAGATTTATAATGCCAATGAAAATGGAAGTTGTTACCCAGTAAGGCTTATGTATCAGAAACAGAGAAAACTGCACCGGGTAGAAAAACTTCTAAACAACAGATAACATGTTTGGCATGTACAAATCATATCAAATCATAAATTGAAGCCATTAGTCCTAAGAAAATCCAAATATAGTATATATGTATATATATGTATATATATATATATATATATATATATATATATATATATATATATATATATATATATATATATATATATATATATATATATATATATATATATATATATATATATATATAACCAAAACTACTATTCTAACTCTCCAATTGATATGTACCCGTGCTATAACTAGTGTTGGGACCTGTCAATTGACCACTTTTTTAATGTCCAAAAATGCTTTAAATAACATCTTGCAATGGTAGAATGTTATCTATCATTATTTAATAATATGTATTTTATAATAAATTATTATGCGTTTGTCTTCGCGCTCAATATAAAAAAATATAAATTTCAAGGTATTTTTCAAATTATTTCGGTTAACTGACAAAAAAAATGTGAACGGTCAATTCCACAATCCTAGCCATAACATAACGACTTATTTGCTCTGAGTTTTGACGCCTTTAAACTACATACAAAAACTACTAATTTATTTCTTTATTTGGTTTTGCTTGCAAGGAATAATTTGAACTGGTCTACTTCTTGTCCGTCTTTTTGTGATATTCTGAGCTTTGCTTTCATCGGACAGCCTGTCTGTACCACATTGAACAGTTTTTAAAGGCACTGGTACATATATTTTTTTGTTTACAGTTTCAATAGAGACTGCCAAACTACTAAACAGGTACGGGCAGTGACGCCCAAGAAATATTACCATCTGGATTTAATTCCATGAAAAATTCTACGTTGTTGCCGCCGAATGGATGCTGCGGTTGCGTTTGTTGAGGAGGCGGGGTTTGCTGCTGAGGTTCGTTGTTGCCAGATGCGGGAGTTGCCGTCTGTTGTGCTGTCGAACCGCCATTGTTTGACGGTCGCTGTCTTGCTGCGTTAGCTCGTACCGTTCTGATTTCTATGGGTGCCGTCGTGATTACTCGCATAGTCGAGCCAGAAGGCATAAAAGGAAGGCCTAAACCAAACAAACTGCTCACTGACACTGGTATTAGGTAATTATGCTTTTTGCATCATCGTTTTCATGCCAAAAATACTAGAAAAGGGATACCCCAAATATCTATAGAAGTTGTTTTAGGGTAGCCGAATATGTAAAACATCATTTTAGAATTTTCTCAACAAGATTGGATTAATGCATTAATCTCTTTTTTGCTCGCATTTACCTGTGCTTTTATTTTAGTTTTCTTGCTTGTTTTTAGTCATTTGCTGTATTTTGGTCGCTATCATTATATTAAATTACAATCAATCAGTTACAGAATGATATAGATTTATCTCCTCTTCATTTAAATTTTATTACCAGAGCGAAAGGATTGATGACAAGTAAAGGCTTTAGGTCAACTTTAGATCAATATTGTAATTCCCAAACGGAACAGATTTACTTCTCGAAGTTTGGTATAGTAATAAATACCTCTTTCTCTTCAAGGGTTCGCCATATACATTTTTAATCCTTCTTAAATTATTAAATAATAAAGTGGACCACTGCATTTTTGCTAGCCTTTTTTGAAAAAAAAAAAAAGTACATTCCGTTTTTTCTATTTTGAAAAACAAAATTCTCACCGACAAATCCCAGATTTGGCTGGCCGGTTGTAGGTGGAGGTTGAGGCGGTTGGGGCTGGGCATTCTGATTCGGAGCAGCAGTGGAATTTCCACTTTCTGGAGGTGCTGTCGGAGCGGGCTGCCCATTGGGTGTAGCTGAAGTGACATTGCTCGCTCTGTACGGCGAGACATTTATTTGAGCCTAGAGAATTCAATAATAACCTTTTTGCATCAATCTTATTCCCCTACATACCTCAAGCTGTATAGGAATTCCTGCCTGTACAACTGCAGATTGTTGAATCAAAATAGGTTGACACCGTAGCAATCTAGGTGGGGGACTCTCAACACTAACCATGATGTCACTGAATAAGTGATAGGCGTGGCTGAAATAATGCAGGACTTGGGATACCCTCCTCAGCAACAGGCGCGTTTGGTTCAAATTCTGAAAAATAGTTTGGTAAGCTTTTGAGGAGAATGGCAGTCAACTTGAAATTACCTCTGGTGAAATTTCAGGGTCCTCCTGCATAAAACTTTGATATCTGCTTAGAAATGGGGCAAATCTGGCCTGAAGTTGGTTAAGCTGTGTTATGAGCTCCGCCATTTCTCTGCATCTGGTACCACCGCGGTTACTGTAAATTAAATAAATATATTTATATTCTTGTTGAGTCCGGCGCACTTACTTTCTATTTCTTCTGGCATTAGGGGAAAGATTTTGAGATGGAGCACTTCTGGAAGGCGCAAATTGATTAATATTTGCACAAAAAAATTGAGCATATTTAGATCTAAAAAGATTTATCTGAAATAATTGACTAGAGACATCTCAAATTGAAATTTTGGTCAGGAACTGTAATAAAAGTTTGGTTTTTGCTGTCATGTCATGAAAGGTTGTTATTCATCATTCCGGCAAGTATCCAAGATAGATATGCTGCTGTACAGTCAGAAAATTGCTCCTTATGTACGTTTGGTGAAATATTATTGAACATTTCATGTGATTATGATAGAAGTAACAGAAAAATATACCTACCCACTCGTTTGGCTCGTTTCAGCAGTGCCACTGGGTTCAAGGTCTTCTGTTGAAGATACGGGAGTAGAAGTGAAAACAGTTGGTATAAAAGTGTTGTCTCTATTTGCAAACTCTATATTATTTTCAACACTGCTGCCTATACTGTCATGAACAGTTCTATCTAAACCTCTGCCAGGAATCAACAAGTGAAAACGAGAACAACATAACAACATTAACTTACGTGGTGTCAGCATTCACATTTAAAATGGAATTTTCTACAGCATCAATCACTGCATTTTCATCAACAGGGTGGTCGGCATTGTTTGGAACAATGACGCGAGCTTCGATAATTGGGGTCATCTCCTCTTCCTGTGGCTCATCTGTTTGATTCTGCTCTGGAGTTAATCTAGGATTCTCTAATAGGCGGATAACACCTTCTGCCCTACGTAACATTCTAACAAAAAAGATACACCAGTTACTTGACAATATAAACACTAGTAGTCTTGTTTATAAGTATTTAGGCATATAGCAGACACTTCAACCAAACATACCTTCTGGCAACATTGAGTCTACTTGCAGACAAACTTTGACTGGCTCGGGAAGGTAAAAGGCCATAATTAACCATGAAGTCATCTGGCAAGTCCATGGAGCCCATATAAACAGCATTCCCGACCCTGTCAAATCCCACAAAACCGCCTCTACCTCGATTAGCACCCTCTGGCTGTGGAGTATCTGGCCGATTTCTAGAAGTTGCATTTGGAGGTGCTCTTTGGACTAAATGCACTACTTTGCCATTCACGTCTAACATAAAAATTGAAACTGTATGTATAAATTTGACCAAAGATGTATAAAACTACACCGTAGAAGATATAAGGCGTTATTATTGTGATGAGTCATATCAAACTATAAATACAATTTATAAAGTAATAGTGGCATTAATAGTTTAAATAACATTGCCAACTGAAATAAATCTGATACAGAGTTGCACAGAAAGATAAAAATATTCTAAAAATTGTGTTAAATGGAATAGTAGATTATACATTCTTTAAAAAAATAAAACGACAACGAAATTCTCAATGTGTCACCGAGGGTTCCTAAAATGTTCAAAAACACCACCCGTTTTTAAATAGTATGACTTGGAAGTTTTGAAAAACTACTGACCAATAGTTATTGCCAGTCCAATTGCAAAAGTTATATAAAAATCTATATATATATATATATATATATATATATATATATATATATATATATATATATATATATATATATATATATATATATATATATACATATATTAGATTGCAAAAGTTCTTTGACAATAAGAAATGATGTACAAACTCTTTTAACTGAAACAGCAACAGAAGTCATGCAATAACTTCATGACAAAAATTGGTGAAAATGTTAGCTTAGTTATTTAGTTAGTTGTTGGAATTTTTTTTTGACCTCTCCCAAGTGTTCAGTACTCTACACCCTCGGGTGAACATAGGCATTAATAAAGTATTATCAAAAGAATGAATGAATGAAAATCATAATTTTATTTTATCCAAACCTACCGTAATCTGATAATTTGGCTTCATCTTGCAATACTCTTCCGCAGTATATTATTCTCTGAGTTGCAGCTGGAATGTTTACCTGTTCTGCAATCTGAGCTTTGAATTGTTCAACTGTAATCTACAAGAATAATATTTCATCACTTTTATAAAAACAGTAGGGTGTTTCTTACATCATCTTCAACAGTGAATTGATGATTCTGAGAATCAAGTGTTTTTACGGTGAGCTCAATCATGGTATTAGAATCGATGTGTCTTTCTTACAATGATGGTAGACCAAACCTCCAATTTTAGCAAAAAAATAGCAAGTGCCCCTATTCGGGCATAAAATTACGCTACAAATGAAAAACTACAATCTTAATCTTCAGCTTTATGAATTGAATTGAAATTGTCGTATACACACAAAACCTTTGAAGCGCAGATTCACGCCTCTTAAAATCAAAATGGCTACTTGACACTTGCCCATAAAATTGTGTCAAAAGTCAAAACTCAGTTTAATTATGGTTTAACCTTAAAAGGCATTTGGTTTTAAGTTTCTATGTTCTGTGGTTTATTAATAATTGCTGAATAATTAACACAACGAAAAACAACAAATGGTCGATATAGAAATACATTTTTATTAATTCTGAACGTACTTATTTAGCGACGTTTGCACAACTATTATTTTAAAGGCTTTACTGGTTTAAAAGTTTCGTTTTTCTCACTGTAAATAGTATCCAGATATTTAGTTCTAGCCATTTACACTTGTCACTATTATTAATAACTGTCTTATCTCAATATTTTCATCACGACTTTTTATTAAGTGCAAGCATAAAAATTGTTCAACCTTTTGGTACCAAGTTGGCAATAAAAAAACAAGTGCTAAATATCATAATGGTAATTTTATTTCAAATTTCATGACGTGCCTTTAAGACAGGGATTTTCGCGATTTACCCAAAAATATAAAGTAATGACGTTACCTATAAGATGCAGTTCAGACAGTCTTCAAAGTCAAGCAAGACCCAGATCGCGATTGTGTTAAGTTAAAATTAGTTAATATAATTCATGATGTGAATCTGTGGGAAGCATTGCACATGGCAGGTTGTATCTAATTCGCTTCTCACAGATTGCGTAATCAGTTGAAACTTCTTGTTATTCGCTTGACTTAAGTTGTAATAGTTAGTGGTGAATGCTTATTTGTGACGCACGGCTCCTCCGAGCAGAAGCCTTTTTTTTACATTGGTCAAAGTTCAGCAAAGAAGAAGATCAATGTGATCATTTAGCTTAACTTACCAGGCAAAATATGTTTTTATCTGTGTCACCATGTAAAGGAAAAATCAACATGTGATCATGGTTAAATATTTATATATTTAATATATCGAACTATCCTTGTATCTATGATTATTTAATTTTTCTATTTTTATTTTTAGTTTTCTATTGAAGAATGTTAAATGAAGCACGTAAGTTTTTGCAGAACTACTGAATTATTAAACAATTCATTTCGTCTTTCAGTTTGCCTAGTTTGTGTTTCAGCTTTATGGGGTTTAACGAATCCTATAATAAAAAGGAACTCCAAGGGCATAAAGGATATCAATTGTGAATCAAATATTCGGCAATTTTGGTCAGAACTAAAATTCTTAGTTACTAATCTAAATGTAAATGTTAGATATTTTATTAATTTAGTATTTACAATTATAATTTTAGTACTTAATGCCGATGGGTATTAACCAGTTGGGTTCAATATTGTACTTCATAGCACTGCAACATATTGATCTTACACTGTCTGTGCCAGTTGCAAATTCACTGACATTCGTTTTTACCGCAATTTCTGGTTTCTTTTTGGGAGAATGTTTACCCAGGAGAGGTACGTTGTTAGTCACCGAAAATGTAGTTGAAAGGCAATTGTTTTTTTTTCAGCTAGTATTGTTGGAATTTGTTGTGTCTTATTTGGCACAATTCTATGTTGCTATGATAAATATATTATTGAAAATCCTTAAGTGCAATTAATTAAATTAATTTTTTTTTTGACGTTTCTTTTTTAGTATATTGTCATTTTGTTTTTGTTAAAGAAAACTTTTGTTGAATGTGTATGATATAGTTGTACGACAATATAGTAGTATATTTTATAAATCCATTTTATAAAATTTTAATCACTATTAAACTCCAAATGCAATAACTTTAATTGGTATTTAAATACTGCTTTCTCTAAATTTTTTTACCTAATCCAACTATAATCAGTCAGCAGGTAAAAAAAAAAGTCTTTGGAAATTTGGAAGTGGAAAATAAAAGATTCACGTTTAAACAAAATTTTATGAGTAAAAATATTCAATCATACTTTAGTTTAATTAGGTACTCTCTTGGGCAAATTAACAGAAATGGCACATAAATATTTTTCGATGCGCTAAACATAATAGTAGGTTTATTTCTGAAATTTACAGGATTTACTAGTTTGAATTAGCATGGAAGTTTAAGAGATTTGTAACGTCTCATCGCATCATATCTAGTGTAAAAGCATGTTTCTTCGGGTCCGTTTTTGCATCTATCACAAACTCGTCAATAAATTACATCTGTTAATAACCTAACTGAAATATAAATTTAATACAGTGACTTTTACTAACTAATCAAGCAGTGACAACTTGTACCCAACAATAACAAATTTGGGTTGTCTACAACATGTCCATATATATGTATGAAGAGGGATTCTGTGCTTTTATGGAAAATGTAAACTAGGTTCTTTTAACCAGATTAAAACTGCGTGACACTATTTTAGATACTGTTTCAAACTTTAGTGATCATTTCATTATCCAGATATTTAACATTTTTTGAATGATGTCATATATAATATCTGAATTGTGATGGTTTTTCCTAATAAAACGTTAATTAAATAAACCGACGTCGAGAACCTAACAGTTATTAAAATGACTAGTAATAAGTTAACGTTGCTCAAAAAAGAACGCGATTTTACTAAGTTTTTCTACTGTCGCCCTCTTTCGGCGATCGTTGCAGCAGCTCTTTTTGTTCTAAAATCGTTTTATTGAGAAGCAGTTCATTTTGAGTGCTCAGTTGGTCGATGCGACTTCTCAGCTCTTCTATTTCCGAAGCCAGTTTCGTTATCTGCTGTCCTTGTGTTATCGGATCGAAATTTGTGGAGTTTCTAAGGTCGTTGCTATCTGATGTGCTGTTCGCGATATTCAGGGGTTGCAGTGTCAATGCTATTGGTTGGTCGTGGTGTATTCTCATTTCTGGTGTTATGCCTTCCAAATGTTCGATAGAATACTTTTGGCTGGAGTGAAATTCCACGTTTGCCACCCCCAGACTCTCCGGATGTAATTTCGGTTGTAATTGATTAGTAGAATCTAATACATTTGTAAGGGTTTTCGCGTCGAAGTCGTGATCTTGGGTTTCCAACTGGGCGTCCGTTTCGGGTATGTAACCCAAGAAACCGTTCGGTTTTGAAGTTACCGGTTGTTCGCTTAGGGGCGGGCAGTGCGAGACCCCGTAAATGCGGGTGTGGTTTATTTCCATTGCGGACATTATTTCCGGTAGTGCGGCGTCGCATAAAATTGGATTATCTGAAACATAATTGTTTATTCGCGATTGAGAATCTTTGCAGCGCAATTATAAAAGTTTCTCAAACCGACAACAGAATAAAGTGGAACGTTTGGGGCCTTTTTTGTTTTTAGGTCTTGTTTGAGTTTCAGAATTTGGATATAAAAAACAGGCAGTCAAAATAACGTTAACAAACATTTAACAACCCGCTCTGTTATGGGTCATACTGGTTGATACAGATGATCTAATGGTTGTGGTACTAATATTCTCTTAAACAGAAGCGAAGAGGCTATTAAGATCGTGGAAAACTGGGGCTAAAATGAGCAACTAGCAGTGAACCGGAAGAAAACGAGAGTAGTAGATGGTGAAAGACTACATTTTTACAAGCAAAGTTGCTAGGAGTTTGAAGAAAAGTTTACTTGAAAATTGCACATTCAAAGGACCACATTTTGTGCAACAATTGCAATAGGAAGGTGCATAAAGGATTGGGACCCGAAAAACTTAACAAGGAATAGAAGTCGCAATATGAACCCAGGACGCAAGTTAAAATTTCCATTCTAGCGGCCAGAGTTAACCGTCCTATAGCACCATACAAGAGAAAGACGAAAAAGATCTGCAATAAGTCTTATGCTATCCAAGTTGGTTTTGGATTGTCATAAGGGATTAAACTAGATAGAAAGTCAGAATAAAATGGGTGCCGGAGCACTAAGGCAACGAAAGACGAAGTAGCTCGGCAAGGCTCGTTAAAGGTGGTTAAACCGATTGCAGAATCATCTAAAGATGGATGAAAGATAACTCCTGCCAATGGTGAATAGACACGCAAGACGGAATAATTCCCCAACTACTGTAAAACTGACAGGCTATTCACGGCTTGTAAGCCTAATGGGAGTGGGAGAAAACACTGCCAAGAAGGGGAGGACAATGCGACATATGTGAAGTAAAAGTCTATCGAGAGTGCGTTTTATCTGTAACCATACCAGAGGCAAACAGGCAAAAGACCTACGGAGTCTAGTCACGAAAACAAACCTAGGTAAAGGTTTACGATTATGGAGGGAGTTACAATAGAACCTTTCGGTCTCAGTGACAGGCAGGCTAAAGACTAGCCCTCCCAATCTGCAATTTCAGATAAACTATAGCAATAACCGTTCATGGTTTTGAAATAGTATTTAATTTAAAGGGTGTCGAAAAAATTTGCGGAGATTTGACTATATATAGTGACTATAAATTTAATCGAAACTTACCTTGGAGATATATTTTCAATGTGTCCCAGGTGCCCTCGTGAACGCCGTGTTCAATTTTGCATCTGGTTTTCGTGACCAAGTCCCTACCTAGCGCCACGATCTGATTACTCGATAAATCTGCGTGGCACAGTACCGGAAGCCCGTGGAAATCTTTCTCTAGGACTGTCAGGTTGTTGTGACTTGCACGGAGCTCGGATAGTCGTGGTAAAAAAGTCTACAAATTGACAGTTCAGATATTTTTTCAACTGGTAAAAACGGCTGAAATTACTCGACTGGTCTCTTCCAACGTCGTTAGCAGGTTGTTACTTATGTCGAGCAATCTAAGTTGATCCAGTCCAATAAAATCGTCGGGAGAAATCCTCCTTAACTTGTTGAAGCTGAGATTCAGACGGAGCAATTCGGGCAACCCGCTCAGCGCCCCGTTTAAAGTTTCTAATAGGTTGTGGTCTAGCTTAAGTTCCGTAAGTTTGATATCCCATTCCACCAGGTTCTGGAAAGGAAAACAGCTTTATACTGTAGAGGCTTTTTTACTCTAGTAGGTACTTACTGCAGCTGGTCCAATTATGTTCGTTATCTGATTAAATGACAAATCCATGCTTCTCAATTCCTGGAGTCCCACGACGTCTTGGAAAGAAAATTCTGTGAGTCGATTGAATGTCATATTGAGGAAGTTCAAATTTCGGAGGCCGATGAGCGAGTTGTTCAGGGTCGTTATGTGGTTGTGGCCCAGGAGTAGCGATTCTAGCATTTCAAGTTCTTGGAAATCGTCTTTGGTTATCTAAAGGGCACGCTTCGAGTTGTAAATTCACAATCAATTTGAAGGATAATCGTGTAAAATTATACCGCTAGGGCAAATTAGAAATATACCCTTAATATTGATGGACGATTCGCGGGCAAACAAAAATGTACAACAAAACTGATAAGTGTATCTCCTGTTATGCAAGATCAATTTAAGAATTTTAGACATCGCAATCAATCTTAGCTATATAACGTTTCACGCAGAGCTTTGAAGACGTGCACAGTAAAGTGACGTGAAGTGAAGTGAAATCAATTTTTAGTTCAGTATGAGCCGATCTATTTGTACTTTTTTCTGATCAAACTTACCATATTAATGTTATTATATTCCAAAACCAGCCTCACCAGCTCTTTTGATTTTGTTAGCGCACCTTCTAATGAAATTAACGCGTTGTGTTGAAAAAATAGAGAGTCTAACGCTGGGTAATTCTTCAGTTGCTGCGGTAGCCGTTTTATTCTAAAAAAAATATGTACAATTTTTGTTTTCAATATTTTAGAATTCCAATTTATCGTTGCAAGGATATAGGCTAGACAAAAATTTGAATTTTTCAATTTTTAGTACTTCTTTAAAAAAAAATGGCAACATAAAAATCGTTCAAATCGACGAATAGAAATGTCGGCGTTCAATTCATTGGTTTCCTAATCGGTCCTAAATTATTCACCTATTTTGAGAAGCATGTATCAGCTTCAGATCCGGCGCTTCGCTGGGCAATTGATCTTCCAAATCTTCGAGTTCGTTAGTGTTGACGAAAAGCCACCCTAAATCTTTTAGTCCCACCAAAGTGTGGTTCAAGTGTCGTAGTTTGTTCCTACCGAGGTGTAAGCGTTGGACCCTTGCCGGTATGGATCCCTTGTCTAAGCGACTGATCTGATTGCCCGGCACAACCAAGCATTCCAAATTGGGCAGATCCTAAAAATTACTTCAACTAAGCACAACGCAAAGTCAGAATGAAATGTAAAAAAAATATGAATTTAATAATTGTATAAAATTTGTTTGACGTCCATAGTAAAATTGTTTTTCTGCTTCCGTCTGTAAAATGCCTAATTACGCACCGATCTAGTGTGCGGCAAGCGTCATTTTACCACGTCAGTTTTGTTTCCCACGGATCTGAGCCACTTCGGACATTTCCGGGACTTTCCCGCACGGGTTTGGCACCAATCGGATGTTTTTCGATATATTTCGCACGCCTTGAATTTTGACATTTGTGAGTTCTGACAGTCATGTCAGTTTTGCGAAAATGTACCCAAAAACTAACGGTCGTAGAAAAAGTATAGTACAAAACACGTTCAGTAAACTTTTTAAGTCACTCGTTTATTAAACACTCGCTCCGCTGGTGTCAAATAAACTCGTGAGTCAAATACCGTTTACCGCACTTGTTGCTTTGGAATGTTCCAAAGATGGATGGATACTTTAATAACTACATATACCCAATAAGTCATTATTTTAATGTTCATATAAACGAATAGCGCAAATATTTCTTCAAATTGTTTCAATATGAAATATATCTTTGATCGTTTAAAACATTTTTTTAAAATAATATTGTTAGTATAATTACAGACTTCAGAAGTACTTCCATTTAATTCTCTATAAAAGAGAGGCAAGGCAAGTTTTTTTTTTAATAATTCACCTTTTCCTTATCCAAGTAACAAATTGCTGTAGGACTTTACAGCAAAAGGAGTTTTAAAAAATATATAGGGTTAGTTTGGTTAGAAATTCATTTTAGAAACCTCACTTGCAAAAACTTACTTTAAAATTGGACAATGTTATTTCCGTGATTTTCGTTCTTCCCAAGTCCAACGTTTTTATTGCCGGCATTTTCTTCCACAACTTCTCAGGTACCCTTTCAAGTGTCGTGTCGGCTAAGCTCAAATAATTCACTTTGTTTAGTCCTTCGAAAGCTTGTTCATTAATTTCGCTAGAATTAAAAATGCCATTAAAGTGAGTAGATACACATATTGCGCAAAAAATGGACTCTATTTAGTGATTTAGGTTTGAACTTTTGACTCGTTCTTCATTTACAGAGTAAAAATGGTGGATTGAGTTACCCTTGCAGATATCCGACAAAAGAAAGTTTATTTTTTGCAAATTACATGATTTAATTTAATATTATAAATAAATGTTAACTTTGTGAGTTGTTATATAAATAAAATATGTAAATATGATTATGTAAAAAGTATTTGCAAGTAATAACGAAAATTGTCATTTGTTTGTACAATTTGTATGAAACGATAATGTATATTTGTGCGTATCATATTTAAATAAAAAATAAATCACCATTTTGGTATCCTTTCTGTATTTAGTTGTCGCAAAAATTAAATTAAATGAAAAATATTAAATATATGTATATGTATATGTAAATACTTGGGTATTTTAAGTTTTTTTTTTTTGAAAATGTACATACCGCTAGTTCCGAACAATAAAGTTTTGTATAATCACGAACATATTATTTTGATTATCACATATTATTAATGCAAATATTTCAGTAAGAGTTATGCCTGTAAACATAATAATCGAACAGATAATTACACTTTATTCTCCCGTTTATCTCAGTGAGCAAGAGAAAGACAAGAATCGCCATTACTAATGGTTCTTTTCGATTGTAAAATTTGCCTCACTTTTTTAACATGCCAGTTCCCATCAAGCTTTGATCCGGTTCCATTTTTTATGCCGCAACTGTCAATAAATCTGCGAGCTCAGTCAAATCAAATCGAATAGTTGATTTGTCATAAAGAATACAAATAAGAAAAATAGTACATTTATAACAAAGGACCTTTTAATAATTATAAAAACAAAAGGACCCTATACCTACTATGTATATATTATTTTGTTATCTATTTAAAAATAATAGAGCTAAGAAAAAGAATAATATTGTTTTCTTTTAAAATTCTTTAGCACTTCTTTCCTGAGACATGGGAGGATCAGCATAAAGCCGGCAAAATCATTGTTAGGAATTCAGATATAATTTAATAAAGAAAAAGGGTTAATGCTTAACCCGAAGATGGTTTTTTGGTACTTCCTGCTTACCATTTTTTAAATTATTGCTCGGGACCATAGTTCAACAATCGTTACGAATTATCTATATATACGTTATGCTGAGCATTTGAGCACATCATATCCGGAATTTTCGAGTTTTGATCCAGCATAAGTATGCAGTAAGAAATATTCGCAAAATAAATAAGACCATTCAATCTACAATTTCTATTTTGCTATAATTAATTTCTATCTCGGGACAAGCTAAATAATGAAGAAAATTGATGCTTTTTATCCAATTATAATTTTCGATCCCGTTCACCGCTATTAATATTAAATTTATACCTTTTAGCCGCAAGACGTATTTGTTTTACGATTTAGTACATGCTCAGATGTCATCGGATACTTTAGTAGATCAATTTAAAAAAAAAATACTCATTTTAACTACATTTTTATTTCATTTTAAATAGATCAGAGGAATGAAAAGAAAACACTAAAAAAATTGACCTAGTTGTTGAACAAGATTTACTTAGATATACCTATTATTGGTGTCTAGAATCGCTCATAAGTATGTACAATATGCAGTAACTTATTTTATTTTCTTTAATGTAAGTAAATCCTTTTAAAATTAGAGATGAAAAGAGAAATAATTTAAGAGAGGTATTTTATAAGAATAAGTAAGTAATAACTAAAAGAAATGCGCAAGTTTTTATATTAGAATAGACGCCAGTACAGAAGTCATGATAGATGTACTAAAGTCGCTCTGTTAGAAAATCCGTTTTAATAGGTAGCTGAAAAAAATTTTGGTAAATGATAAAGCAATTTGGTAAAAAAATAAGTCACCTTATTAACACAAGGTGGTTGGATATTGGGACCACATATTCTAAGGAGTGATTCTAACATCTAAAATAATCAGACGTATGTCCAGAGATGCTTCCTAACCTGGAAGTTAAAGGTATGTATGAGTCAGCGATTTTTCTTCCTTTCCTAAGGGCTGATTTATTTTTACTAGAATAACTTGTTAAAATTACTTTGATTTTTTATGAAATATGAATTATTTATTTTGAATAACTATTTTATATTAATAACTTAGAATAGGTATGAATAATTCGTCTTGCAATTTTACCAATACACTTTTGGAGTTGCATTGTAAAATGTAAATATAGATTGGATCCTTTCCAAAGACATCTTACCAAATTAGTGATTCGTCTTTTGTTTTTCTTTTGTTGCTTATTGCACTTCTCTATTAATTTTATGGATCATTAAGCCATATCTCTTGAACTCGACTAGACACGACCTTCTAACCTCCATGCACTTGATAATTCATTAGGAGCACCTCGAAAATTCTTTCCAAATCTTAGTTACTAGTTACTTAACTCTTATATAATATCTCAATGGAATTTTTTAACAGTGTTTAAGTTTATTATTATTAAAACACCCAAATCTTTGCCCTTTATTGCGCCAGATATTTCTTTAGTCAAACATATTATAATTTTGATCTCGATTTTTGACTCATTATTTTCTATTTAAAACTTTTGCTACGGTTTATCCCTTATTATTTTGTGATTCTTTTAATTCGATTTTTGTTAGTGTGTATAGCAATTGATATTTTCCGCCAATAAACTAAAACATCGCTAAACCGTTTATTAGGTACATTCACCGGAAGATTACGGCTTTTAAGCACGTCTTCTGTGACAGCACGGTGATTATGCACGCGGGGTGCATGTATGAAAGATCAGCGATGGCCGGCTCGCGATTTCACCGTGGCGACCGATGGCGCCACTGTACGATGGCGACGACGGGTCATACACTTCCGACTTGTACTAGGCGCCGTCGCGTGCCACCTCAAGTTGTCGATGTCGGCGGAATTGAATCGAAAGATAGGCGGATAAGTCTGTTGGCAAGTACCGTACCTAAACCACATCGTTTTTATAAGGCCTCTAGCACAACGCGTATAATGTTTTTACGTTAAGCTTAAACATGCGGCCACAATTTACCACGTCGCCTTAAGTATAAAGACTGGTTCAATAATAATAGTAATAACAATAATAATCATGTATATAATGTTAATAATAATAATAAGAGATATATCAAGTGCACGAAAAGAGGAAACACCATGAAGGTATATTACACCAATCAAAAAAGTTTTTTATGGGAAGCTAGGAACTATATCTGGAATAAACTAATCAACCTACACCATCTAAGGAGACCTTGCAGAAGAGAAGCGCTGATTGCATTGAATCTGAAGAACATGATCACATCAAGCTAGAGGAAGTCAGTCAGTTATTCAACATTCTAAAGCATTCGAGAGCACCGGGTGTCGACAAAATCCAAAATCTGATATAAAAAATTCTACGGTTTACACAAAGCGTTAGCGTAACAATGTGTACATACAGACAACCCAGATAATATCTCGGCGTTTTATACTTTGGGCTCAGACGGATGACCAGTTGCGTGCTTGTCCATTTTATACAAAATCCTTACAGCTCGTATCGTCAATAAAATTTATCGAAGAAAATAACATCTTATGATGGGAACAAAAGGGATGCGGAAGATTCTGTGATACTCAGGCCGGCTTAGAGAGACCGCGGAAATATACAGACTGCTTCGTAAATGACAAGAAAGCATTCGATAATGTATTACTTACATTCTTGGCTTATCAATCTTGCAGATGTACAAAATACATCCAAAGATAGCAATAATGAAACAATAGCGGACAACTCTTGACCTGCAAATTGATCCAAACTTCATAAGTACTGATGAAATACCTATCCGTAAAGGAATTTATTAAGGTGACTCCATTGTATTTTTGTCTCGCTGTGAATACACGATGTTTAATATCGCAAAATATGGCTTAATCATTAAAGCCCACCGAAGCAACTGTACTGTACTTCTTTATACGGATCATGCAACAAAATCATAAGCAACTTGAACATCTTTTAATGTATAGATTTTCCTCTGATTTGTATGTTTGTACTTTCCAACAAGTTATTTAACTAGTCGAATTCCTTTTACTATTCAAGAGCAGGTCATTAATATAAACAAGTACATGAAATTTGTCATAGGGGATTCTAGCACCCAATATGATAAGTATAGAAAGTGACAGCAAACATCAAAAGCTATACCGCACATAATAGCAAATATCGACTACCCACATAGACACAATCAAGTATGTAACCAAAACCAAAAATTGTCCAATAAGTTTGGACTCCTTAACACTCCCCATATACCGTACTTCAAGTATCAGTCACAGAAGGTGCTTGAGAAAGACAATTTTAAACCATTATCACCGACAGACGGGTGACGGATATCCGAACTGATATAGAGATAGTGGATAGAAAAGTCAACCCAGTCCTCCTCATCGACGTAGCTTTACCAAATACATGTAATCTTTCTACCAAATTTCAATAGAAAACGGCCGCGCATTCAGATCTCGCTTTTGAGATTCCTAAAACTCTGCCCGACAGTCTGGCCCATTTTGGATTACCTTCGCTGACATCCAGAAAGCTGTAATTTTGGACATGCAAGTATGTGAACTGAACCAAATCGCTTTGGTACTAAATTCTTCGGATAGGTAATAATAATAGGAATAACAATAGTATTGAACTTAAGAAGTGATAATTCCACATGATCTAATACAAACAGGACAGGAAAAACTTTCAAAATATCTATATCTACTAATTGAACTCAAAAGAATGTGGAAATTGAATAGCATAAATACAATACCAATAACTTTTCACAAAACTTCTGGATTCCTTCTGCGTGGGTTTTTGTTGAATGAAACTTACTGACGTTTCGACGATAATCCTATTGGCTTCTTCAGAACTTAACTGAAACTGGCTCGCATTTTGCACTGTACCTGCTTATATATAGTCGGTTGACTGATTCTCATATTAGGTTAGATTCTTAGGTTGCTTATAGATTCCTATAGTCTCGGATTTTTCG